CTGACCTCCTGTGCCATCTCAGCACCACACACACACACACACACACACACACACACACACAGTGTCACACACACACACACACAGTCACACACACACTAAACGATGTCAAAAATGTGTGAACACACGCAGGCACCCATTTAAAGAACTGCACAGTCACCACACTTTTAAACAAGTAAAAATATACAACGTGAAAATAGATAGATAGATAGATAGATAGATAGATAGATAGATAGATAGATAGATAGATATTGCCTCCCCCTCTCTCTTTTTTCTCTCTTTCTTCACAGTCTGTCAGTCACTTGACACTCTCGCTTCTCCATTTAGCAAAAGGCCAGCAAGCTGGTCGCCTTTCCCTGTCTCTTTCTCTCTGTTCAATTATTGTGAGTTTTAGTGGCAGGTCTATGCAGCCCTGGTTCCTAGAGTAATATGATTAATTGCTGCATGTATTATGTTCACTGGTAATGATTTCTCCAGCCACAAGTGCTTGTACCCCACAGACGTCTTAAAACTGACACTTTGGTTTAGGTTAGGGAAAGATGGTTGTTTTGATTAAGTGTAGCAGAGAGAAAGAGACACACGTCATCATTGCATCATTTTTAAGTATTTTACTTTAACCTGATCCAGGTGCTTCAAGTCGCCTTGATGTAACTGTAAAACTTCAATCATGCTTTAGTTGTTACAAGCGAATATTGGAGCAGGAACTAATAAGATAATTCAGCAGTGAAAGTTTTGCAACTTCTAAGATACATTAATTAAAAACATTTCCTTATTATGTTGATAAAAATGTAATCCGGGCAGCATTAATTGCCTTTCAGAACATTGCTGTTGCAAATTAGTAGCATATAAACATAATTTTTATGCAAGTGCATCAGTTACACAGAATATAAAAGGTTACACTTTATTAACAACATTATTTTCAGGGGCTCAAAGGAACATTTTATCTGTGTTTATTTGCCATTTGAATACCCTTTTATATCTAAATGTCTGCAGTTTTACTTTACTGGACTGTTAATGTGCAGCGTCACCAAAGCAGTATAGGTTCTGTTTAGTCAGATATTGCACTGTTTGTGTATACGTAGAATTATGTCTTTGTCTCCTCTTCAGTCATCGTTCACAGTTCACATCCCTCTGTCTCTCATCCCTCTATCTCATTAGTGTAATAACCAATTAACTCCGGCTCTTGGTTGCTTACATTTTTTATTTATTTCCTCATTAATTCATTTCCTGTTGAAAGCGCACTCCACTGTGATTGGCAGCTCACGCTAATTGCAACTCAGACTGTGTGCGTGCAAGATACAGTCACAAACACACACATTCAAACTCGTGAGCACACACGCACACTCACAATTGCGTGGATGCAAGGTCATACATATTCTTGTGTACACACTTGTACGCAAACTGAACACACATTGAGTAATGCTTGCTAGCTGTGCACACACATTAAGGGGGGGGGGGAGAAAAAACATTTATTATAGCACACAAATACACACAGAGAGGGATCAGTGTGATAGTTTTAATTAGATTTGGCCTCCAACTCAGAGCGGGAAAGAAGGCAGATTACTTCTGCCCTCTTTAATGGCCTTCCAACACTTTATCTGAGATTATAGTGGAGGAAGATGGCTTCAGGGTCACTAGTACTATTGAGGAGAGGAGATGTGTGGAAGAGGCTGTTTAAATACCTAAAATACCAAAATACCAAAATACCAAAGAGAAAATCACATAGAATATCATACTTTTGGTACAAATGGAGGAGTATTCATTTTGCATCCTTTCAGATGATATTTTGTGACAAAATGGCCGATCACATATGAAAATGTGTTTCTGTATTTGACACATATTCACAGAAGTATCCTCATTATTAAAAGCCAACTAACTTATTTTGTTGTCCATACCTGCTAGTCAGTAGATTTGAACACTTTGGACATTTGTGAACAGCCGTCCTGGAGCCGTATGAGCTGTGTGAATAAACAGCTCCCTAATCAGCTAAACAAACTTTTCTGTGTACATGACTGATTACTGGATGATTACAGCCACGATTCAGTGTCACGACTGATTTTCAAGAGATTGGACGGAATCCATGACACACACACACACACGCGCAAATCAAACACGCATGCAGACACTCACAAAGTGAAACACACAGCCTCAGACAGAACATGTCAGAGCCTTCTCCTCGTAATATCCGGACTGATCCCCATGAGTACACACAGCTCATGGTTTATGCTTACCCTCACTGATCCATAATTCATCCCCTAATAGCATTTTACAAGCATAATTGAGTGAGCTGTGTTGAACCTTTCAGCCTATAGATATGGACTAAGATGAAATACCACTTTTAATTTACCACCAGTGTGCATTGTTTTAGCTCCTTAGCTACAAATGATGTATACATTACATTTTTGCCAGCCATTTTCCAAGTCACATTATAGTTTTATATTTCTTATGCATTTTTTTGTACTGCACCATTTATTTCCTCACAACAATAATGTAGTCTTGATGTTGATTGTGATGGGAAAACGCTGATTGTGAACTTTTTAGATTCGATTTTACTGTTTTAGCCAGAAAAAATGAAATAAAAAGGATTTATGCACCAGAATAATACATCTGTCTCCATCTGATGTAGTGGAAGTTTTGTTGGTGGCAAGCCAAGAAATGTGTAGGTGAGTATGAGTTTAGTAGGTGTAGGTGGTTTTGCTGAGGAAGTTTGGATTTATGATACTCTCAGTATGTCTAAAATCCTAGCCATGATAATTTGCAGAGTGATTAGCTGTGATTAGGGATGCAGTGATCCCACACACTGGATTAGTATTGGCCATGATGTAACCAATCCACTTTTCTTTGTCAATGTAGTTTTACGATTCTCTGTCTCCAATATAAGTTACATTCACTGAGTCATGTCGGGCTGCCAACTAATCTTTTAGTGCCACGGCAATTCCTGGCCTATAAACTACTGGTATGGTCCTTTTAATATAATGCTGAGGTATGACTAAACACTAAATGTTTTAAAATCTGTCTACCTTAAACCAACAAAACAAATGGCAAGCCTTTCCTCTCGACTTTCCTTTCCTCTCTTTTTCCTCCCAACCAACCTAAAAAGGACCAACCCGTAAACTAATCTCCCTTCCTCCAGAATAAAGCCTTTTTGCTGCCTGCCGGCGGTAATTATTCTGCTGTGTTTTTATTACCGTACATATGCATGTGCATGTGTGTTGTTGGATATTAGTGCATGCTGTGTCCCTACATGAGCAAAGGTGTGTGTGTGTGTGTGTGTGTGTGTGTGTGTGTGTGTGTGTGTGTGTGTGTGTGTGTGTGTGTGTGTGTGTGTGTGCAGGCATGTGTTTTGTGTATTGTGAGCACCACAGAGGCTTTCCCTGTGTGGCTGTACAAAGCATGCTGGGAGAAAAACGCTGAGTCTTTGATGCTAATATGAAGTGTCATATCATCCCTCGCAGTGTGTGTGTTTGTTGTGTGTGTGGGGAGGGGGGGTGTATACAGTATGTGTGCTCTGAGAACTTACGCAATTATGGTTCCTTTTTGTATTACCATGCTGACTAAAATGCTGATGGACGTACAGCCCTAAGCTGACACAAGCAATCACCCTGCTGCCGTGTGTGTGTGTGTGTGTGAGAGTGTGAGAGTGTGAGTGTGAGTGTGTATGTGCGCGTGTGAAACATGTACAAACGCACACTAATTCTTGGCTTAATGTTTGGTGACTTAGAGTGCTAAGTTGTCGGCAGAGGTCGGACGCACACATAAGCGTGCACAGACACACACACTATCTAAGTATAGTCAGTTCACACACAGCGGTGCTGAGGCTCAGAAGGCCAGTCACTGTAAAAGGATTTTCATAAGTTGAGTTCTGAAGGTAGATGATCTGTACAGCAGGCCCTCTTCTACTCCTCCAGCCTGAGAACTGAGAGAGAGATAGAGTCTCTCACCCTGGGACATTAATCGGCTCATTAATGTTCTTTCTTCTAAACTGCTGGAATTAAAGTTCCCCTCTCCGTTTATGGTCTACTATTGCAGCTACAACCATTACTTCTAAAGGAATCACTACTTAAACTGGGCATATTATCACAGCAGTGGTGTCTATGACTACTAATGCTGTTACTAATACTATTTATATATCTCTACTGGTATTACGACTGCTATAATATCAAATCTGTTCAATACTGTATCAATACTTACTCACTGTTGTACAATCTTCATGCTGGAGAGAAGTGATCATGGCATTAGGAATTTTCAACTGTATCACGTAGTTTACATCATCAAAGTTCATCCTTGACATGGGAAATAGACTCTAGAAGCTAGCAAATGGAATTTATGTCAAATGAGATTAAAAAGAAGAAAGAATAAGAAAAAACTCAAATCTTCTCTAAAAGAGAATTTAGAGGTCATTATGCATCAAAACTGAAACAAAGCAAAAGTTATTTAATGCATTCAGTGTTCACTGGTTTATAATGGCAATAATTTTATGCCTACAATCTCTTTAATCTGCAGCATATATAGCAGGAAATGCAAGAAAATGCCACAATAGACATAGAAACACATGTATGCTTTTTTTTTGTTAGTTATGGTAATCTAATGTGTCTAATTGTCTCGGCGAGAGACAAGAGAGTCTATCAACTATAGATTTTGAGAGCATATACAAACCTTGCAATCCCACGAATAGAGATTGGATTCAAAGGTAGAGAGTGCAATAAAAAAAGGTAATAATACTGGAAAGATCATGTTGTGAAGCCACAGGTGGTGTACATTGTTTTGTTCCTGCTTCCATGTCGTTGCCATGACACTTTCAGCATGTGCTAATAATGTTTGCAATGAATAAGAGGGGCACTTTAGGAATCAGGCCTATAAGCATTAATCTAGCAGAGGTGTTTCCCTTCCTTTATTCATATTCTGTACATAAACCACATCCTCAACTAATAAGTACTCTTAAGTTCAGGTTTATTTCACTATGCTAAAGTCACTTCTCTCTATGTGTGTCTCTCTCTCTGCAGCCATTGGAGTTCAGATGACTCTGGAGATGATGGAGTCCAGATTCTGGGCCATTGCAGCACAGGTCAGTACATACAGCTCAATGTGTTTTCCACTATAACTGAATCTCTCCAATAGTTCATCAGCATGTAAGTGAGTGAGACAACTATCTACAAGTTGACTTCTAGCAAAGTTGTCAGCTATTTACAACTTTTTGCTTTCAAAACATCTGCAAAAATGTTAAAACAAAAAAAGAATGATGGATGTCAGGTACTACTGTGCACTGTTTGGAAATTAAACCCTGTCAATATTGCATTGTTGCAAAAAAAAATTCCACGTTAGATTTATATTATTTTGTTTGTATTTTTCAATGTCCTATATAAAACAAGTTGATTACCGTACTATGCTGGCACTAATGAGGAATGTTTGATGTATTTATGGTTATAGCAGTTATAATGAACAGTGTTTGTGGAATACAAACAACACAATCATGCTGTGCTTCAGTTACTGAAGAATAATGACTGCTGCAAATAATGACTCTAACTGTATCTCCTAAAGTGATAAGTCTAAAAACAATTCAAATCTGTGCATCGACATCCATCAATTCTCTTTTTTCAATGCAAATACATTTTTAAAGTCCTTTCATTCTTGCTGGACTGTCGCTGTTCAATATCTAGCTCAATAGAAGACATGGCTATTGATGAATACACTATCTGCTTCAGAGGTTTTACCCCGTGGACATCGTCCTGTATTCAGTAATATCCCTTGAAACCACTAGGCCGTACTGACACCATTTATTACCGTATGACAAGGAGTCAAGGATTATTATAGGTTATTTTTCTGCTCCATTAGTTGGTAATTACAGCATTTAAACTTTGTTTAATTCAAAGCTTAATGCTGTGTTTTTCCATATCACTGCACCCACTGTTAAAGGGGTGCTTACCCTGCCTAAAACAATATTTTGAAAGATTAGATGTCATTAGAATTGTTTTCAGCTGATATTTTGTGTGCTTTTCAGAGAATTTCATCAGTTCAGTGAAGGGTCTTAGTATCCTTTGAGTTCTTCCACACCTTCAAGAAAACATGTTTAAAGAAAAACTTGCTTAATTTGGCGTAACACCTTTGCTGTAGCAGGTGTTTCATAGCTTGGCCGCTCCCCCTGCCATGGCTGTAAATGACAGCAGTTAAAAGAGCATTAAAGGCTGCTGGCTAGCCATTAAATGGTCGATAGCTAGCACAGCTAGGCTCAGCAGCTCCCAAGTGTGTTTCTGTGTGTGTATGTATTTGTGTTAGTGGAGGTGTGAAGAAGAGAGTACTGTATATGTGTATGTGTCTGTTAATGTTAATGCGTGCCATGTTGACAGGGACCATATGCATGACCATCTGTGCACAAGTGTGTTGTTATGTCCATATTCATCAACTAAGATCTCATTAGCATCATTTGCAGCAGCCTTGTTAGCCACTGGATTTATGCAGTGTAGAAAGTCATTCCCATTCTCATTTACTGTGTGCACTTTCCACTCTCCTGCATAAATTCTCAATTTTCTCTCCTCTCCTCTTTCCTCCTCTTTCTCAAGTTCTTCCCCCTTTTCATTTCTTTCTCTCAATGCTTTCTGTCCTCCCCCTTTCTCCTCTCCTGTATTCCCTTCTTCCCTTGTCTCCTTACCTCAACCCTCCCTCTTACATAATCATCTTATCTTTCTGTCACAGACTCACTGTCAAGCATCTTTATTTCATAGGGTTGTGTGTGTGTGTGTGTGTGTGTGTGTGTGTGTGTGTGTGTGTGTGTGTGTGTGTGTGTGTGTGTGTGTTTGTTTGTTTGTTTGTTTGTTTGTTTGTTTGTGTGTGTGTGTGTGTGTGTGTGTGTGTGTGTGTGTGTGTGTGTGTGTGTGTGTGTGTGTGTGTGTGTAAGATCCTCTCTGCTGTCTACTTTAAGTGTTCATCTCCCCTCGGGGTGAAGATATTGTACCTATTGTAAATCCTTAATGAAAACGTATATTCAGGAGGAAGTACAATAACCGGTCACATGGCAGCTGCAACCATCTACCTAAAAACACTTCTGCCAAAGAGGGCTTCATATTTGCCGAGTGGGTTAAGAGAAAGAAAATATCTTATAAGCAGTAAAGGTGTTACGAGCATGTAATTGAATTTTATTCATTGTGTTAATGCATTGGTGATGATTCATGCATGCACTGAAAAGTATTAATTGTCCCTGATTTTCACAGTAGTCCATCATTAGGTGTTTGTGGGGGGAATATTTTAATCACAATTAACTAATAATTGGTTTGCTTTAACTACTAACAAAATCAAATTAGCTGAATCTTTATCGTTGCATGGAAGCCTGCACATAGTCCTCATATCTCAGTTATATAATTGTGGGAGACCTTGTCTAAACTTATAGCTTCAGTATAAAGTTGACCATCTTAAAATAAAATGTTATTAGTAGATGAATTATGAATTAGTAAGGGTAGGAATAAATCATGAGCTGCCATCTAATGGGAATCAGTCAGAATGTTAATAGGAAAATGTTCTGACATCACTGTACAGCACAGTGCGTGTTCGTAGTCTCTTTCTGTGTGTACACCCATGGTGTTTAAGAAAGTGACAGTGAAAGAGAAAGACACAAGTATAAATAAATATTAAATATATAAAATACGAAGAAGAATAGAAAGACTGTGAATATGTGTACTTCATCGCCCTGCTCCACTGGCACGTCATCCCCACCTCGGTTAAATCTGTACATTACATTAAAATACACAGTGTGAAACCTACAGTGTAAGGACCCATACGTCTCTCACAGTCCATTGCTGCTATATTTTGTCTGACAGCGAGTGGAGATGCGGTGAGTGGCTATGAGGTGATAGTAATGAGAATCGAAAGATGATAGATTTTTTGCCTTTCACATCATGGCACGCTCTTCATCTCACAGACAAGACTGAGCTGTTGTTCCTTTCTCTATACTCTCGTATTTGTTACTTGCGTACTGTTCCTGTGTTTGTTTGTGGTGGCACTGCACTGCAACTTTTGAAATATGAAATGAAAGTATATGTGTAATTTGTGAAATCCTAGTAACAGAAATTTGTCTATCTTTGTCTTTTGCAAACAAGAATATTTTATGGTTTTATAAAAAATATGTTTGTCTTAAGAAATGAAGTATCTTTCTTCAAAACATATTAATGCAATTTGGTCTTTTATAAATGAGGTATTATAGCATATCAAAATACAGAATAGAATAGTATATCGTGGTTCTAATACTGTAGTGTGTTGCTTACTTTGAGTCCAAGAGTCTATGTGAGCAGACAGTGGTGAGAAACTGTTCGATTGAGTTTCAGGGAATGGGAGTGATAATTGATGCACTCGTAATCACTTTGGCTCCTCATGGATCTCCTATACGAGGCACTTTTACCGACCCAGGATCTGTGCGAACAGCCTCTTACGTACTGCCCATATTTAGAAAGCTGGCTCTGATGTTAGAGGCTGGATAAGACATAGAATAGCTGCTTATAGAGGAGATAACGTACATTAAAACAAAGAGCGGGCCTGGGGCAGTTTGCTGTGATGAACAACTTGGCAGTTACTCATTTTAATTCATTAGTGACAGGACTGCAGATGGAGAAGACAGTCCATCAGTCCATCTGGCAAAGCTTTGGTGATTACCTCACTGTTTCTCTAAAGCAACCATCATGGTAACGTTTTATTTGTACACAGGAAATATCATAATGTAACTGTCGTTGCAGGTTGATGCTCCCCTGGGGATGAACCTTTTCCACTTCATCAGAAAAAAATCAGCAATCGTGCACACAAACAATAATAATCTAATGTGCAGTTTTACAGTAAATTTGCTGACCAAAGGAGTTCTCTCAACAAAATAAACCCTTTTTGATTTCAAGGAGCCCAAGCCTTTCATTCTAGTGCCACTAATCACAACAAAATATATACTTTTGGCCCAATTCCAGTGCTAAAAAATGGGATTTAAAAAATTGTGACCTGTGGAAGGTCGTAAGACTTAGATTTGTTAGACTTTATATAATTAGCAGAAACAGATAATATAGTTTCCTACAAATTTTGTCCCTCATCAAGCCAACAGCATGTGGGGAAGGATCATCGTTTCTGTCGGTCCACTCACCAAATTGTGGTTTATTTCAGGAGGCAGCGATGGGAAGCAGCGAGAACTGACTGACACTTTGCTGTAATAGGATTGAAAAGGATGATAGATTGTCTCATTCACTTCGACACGCTCTATATAGCCTGACCATGATTCCAAAGACATATTGTCCATAGACACCAATCCACACATACTGAAGACATAAGATGTGACCATGAAGTTATGGGGAGAACTGTTGACATTTTGGCTCATGACCCTTCCACTGATGTTAGCAGTGTTAAAAGAGTACTCATTGTCCACCTGCAAAGGCTGATATATAGTAAATAAATCCCATTATCAGAAGAAGCGCCCAAACACCCAAGTTTTCATTTCATCGATTTAAAATGTTGAAAAATTTATTTGTTGAATTTCCTCAGGCCTGCTTGAAAACCTGTTAAAACAGTAATGAAATGTACAAAAATTGGCATTCATGAAGAAGAAAAACTGCAGTCTTTCATCCATTCCTGAAACATGTTCTCTGTGAAGATGTATGACTTTGTCAACAGCAAACTAACAGCAACCGAGTGAGACAGGCTAGTCAGTGCATTGAGTTACACATCATTAACCGAAGTAATGTTGCTTCTTCATGCTCTCTTTTTATCTCTCTTTGTCCCTCTTTTCATGTTCTCTCAGCCAAATGACACAGATGTAAGTATGCATAATTTCCCCTCTCCTCATTTTTCAAAACGTTACTCTCCTTTTTGTACAGAACCAAATTTAACATCTTCAGCACCTGCTGAGCTCTGTGAAGTCAGCTTCACACTCCGAACAGATTACACACACAAACACATACAGACATGCAGAAATTAAACATGCACAAACTTGCGAACGAGACACTCAGGAGCCCATCACAGGTAGACAAGACACGCAAATAACACGTTCTCATTAACACAGACACGTTTTTTTCACACTCTCACATACACATGCACTTGTCTACGCTGCGACTGTTCAAGCATAACACCTCTGCGGGCAAACATAGACAGAGCATGTGTTGAAGTAATTTCCTCACATACACAAACGTGCCCTCGTCTGAACACACACACTTACAGATAATAACACGTATAACACTTTCAATCACCTTCAACTGTGTTTTCTGTCTCTTCTTTCCTCTGTTTGTTAACGGTGGAACATATTTTCTTTTCTTTCTGTCTGTCTGTCCTCCAGTGCTCTAATGTAGAGGGGAGTTGTCCGCTTCGTTGTGAAAACATGGTGAGTATATCCTGTGGTGAATATAAATTCTCAAGTAAGCATGAATTGATGACTTTACCTTATCATATTTAGGTATTCGAGCCCCAAAAAGTTAAAAAACATTTTTATCTTTCCTGCTGTTTGGATCCACATAGGTAAAAAAAAAAACCTGTAGCTTTCATTTTAAGTCAATTCATAACTCGTGGTTTGAATTAATGTAGGTATTGTTGTCTTTGTCAGAGTTGTTTGACACAGATATTTCTTTACCTAAGTAATTGCTATCTCTGTCTCTTTCTCTCATCTCAGGATATCAACTGTTACGTGATTGACAATCATGGCTTTGTCATAATTTCCGAACAGCGCAAGGATGTGAGTTCACACACATGCACTGACACAGAAAAAAATGGACTTTCTAGACTTTCTAGTCTTAATTGTTTGAGGAATTCATTACCTAACAATAACTGAGCACAGAATACTGATCCAGAAAATGCTGTGCCTATCATTTAGAAATACATTTATAGATCTCACAATCACTTGAATTTTCCTTGTGATTCAGATAGGATTCCCACCTCCCATTCTCTGAACCAGCAGTGCAGACATCCTGTCTGTGGCAAACTAGCTATGAATATGACTCAAAACAACATAAGTGATATTTTTTTAATGTTTAGAATGACTTCCATGACCTTTGGGCGCAAATAAAACTTATCATAATAGGTCAAGTCATAATATTTTTACATTTTCATATTTTCAAATTTCAGCCTTTTCCCACAGTAACTATCAATAAGTGTAAGTGCATAAGTGTAAGCAGTAAAATGAGTCAGTGCTCATGAATCACACAACTGTATAAGTAGTACAGCATTACGAAGGCACAAGGGACAACAATTCCCAGCCTACAATTATGCAACACAACAAAACATAAGCAAAGCAGCAATGTGCTTTGTAATTTTACTGTAGCAGTTTTTTAAACACCCACATAAAGTTCTGAGGCAGGAAGCAGTGCTAAACCAATCTCATACAAAAAGGATTAAACAAACGAGATAAATTGAGTTAATAAGTCAGTTTTAGAGGTGTTAGTATGCAGATTTGTTACCTTTGGCCAAGCTTGCTGTTTTCCTCTATTTCCAGTCTTTATCCTAAACTAATCTAACTGTTGGCTGGCTGTAGCTTCATATTTCCCGAAATATTCATTTAAAAACACACCTGTAGGGGTGCATGTGAAGGATACACTACAGCTAAATCACATGTGATTAAGATACATTGCTTTTAAACCACAATCACAAACACACAATATAACATAGCCGGATGAATAATTGATCATACAGTTCACAGTGAGGTGAAAGTGGAAAGGATGAAAACCAAGGAAGGGAGTTGATATTTCCTTTGTCAGTTTATCATGATATGAATTTAACAGGTTCATCCACACACATCATTTCACACTGTTTTTTTTCCTCTCTTTTGTGATAGGCGGGAAGATTCTTTGGCGAGACTGACGGATCAGTGATGACCACACTAATCAGAATGGGCATGTTCAAAAGGTAAAGTCTGGTTGTCATTGCCTGACTGGTTGACAAGATAGTTGTGTGTCTGTCTGCTTCTCTGTCTTGTCTGTCTGTCTATTAGTAAAGCACAGTGGGTTGCTTAGTCCTGACAGGGCCTGCAAGAGCTCAAGCATATTGACCTTGTGTAAACATCTCTAAGGCAAGAAGCTGCAGTGCCCCCACATTGCAATCTTAAGTGCAATATTATGCATCCTGGTGTCTCATGCTCATAACACCATGCATTTGAATCTGGCTCATGAATTTTATTACATGCCATCCCCATGCTGCATCACAAACAGACGTGGTTGCTGTTAATCAGGAGGTTGCTTACAAATGTATTCCCTTTGGTTTTTGTTTCTTATACACCTAAGCCATGCATTAGAATGCATTTGAAACCCATAGCCTGGGGGGGCACGCTTTACTGTCATTATAGAGACTGAAAGGCTTTGTTTGTATTCCTATATAATGGTAGAGTTTCTGCCCTGTGTTGTACTCTGTTGTACGTGTTGAGGGTAGCTAATTTGCCCACATTTGAATTTGTGGTGTAGATATCCCTGTTTTCCCCTTTGCTTCCCTTTGAGCTTCTTTGGCTGCTCCGGATTTTTCTCCTTCTTACTTTTTGCCCGTCTTTTATGTTTGAAATCTCATGAGTGATGTGCTATTTTTAAAAGATTTCGTCATGCTTCATTTGACACAGGATATTACATAACTGGTTTCGAGCATGCATGAACTTCACTGGCTGTGTGTGTTTTTGTGTATGTTTGCACTCTGTATGTGCATGCTTCTGCTTGTGTGTGTATTTATGTGTTCTTGTGCTTCTGCCTGCATAAGAGCCATATATACACAGTGCAGCAAAACCAGAAAAAGTGAAAATACTTGCCCAGTCTTCTGTTTAAAATGGAAAATAAATCCACTACTGAGATGATTTTATCTCAGGTTTCTTACAGGTCTTAGTTAAGTTAGGGATCAGAGTTTCTACAAAGGTTAAGCTCAGCTACATAATGCTGTGTGTAATAGGCTGTAGGGGGTCAAGGAATCGATTTAAGCAAGTGAAATACTGCCTGAAGAGCAACATCATGTACTTTTTGTGTGTGTGTGTGTGTGTGTGTGTGTGTGCGTGCGTGCGTGCGTGCGTGCGTGCGTGTGTGTGTGTGTGTGTGTGTGTGTGTTTCCTCAGGGTGTCCTTGTTCGACTACCAGGCCATGTGTAAGATGAACTTGCACTCTGTCAGCAGCGCCCGTCCACTTCTCAGTGTATGTACTGTACTCTCACTCTGTATACACTATTATTAACATAATGGTCCAATCAATTCTGCAGTCACTATAATCTATCTGTCTGTCTATCTCTTCAGCCATTCTATGGTTTGGCTTCAGCCCTCAAGTGGTTCCTCTCCAACTTCCTATTGTAAGTGTTGCTAGGGGCAACCAGAATGTCATTATGTCCATAATAAGGGGGATTTTCGTTAAAATTTGCTATTGCGTATCACTATTCAGTAAATGTAATTTTTACAGTCTTTACACATTTCTTATGGATTAAACAAACAAGATATAACTTGTTAATTAGTGAGCTTTAGAGATACGAGTAGGCAGACTGTTGATGTTCTCTCTTGTGTCCAGTCTTCATTACGAACTAAGCTAGCTGGCTGCTGATGAAAGCTTCATATTCATAAGAAAGCCTATTTCCCAAAATGTTGAACTATGCTCTTTAAAGTTATCATCCTAAATTGGATCATGAAAATTTGAAAGGGGGATTAACAGCTTCAATTTTTACTGCAGTGACTTGATAAGGCTAAAGTCACATGGTCCTTTCAGCAGCTTCCTTAAAAAGAACATGCTGGTTATCCATTTAGGAAAAAATACGGCTACCAAAGCTACCAGTTACTGCTGAAAAACTTAAGGACCCATTTTAATATTCCCATGACACAACTTTGGGTCCTGGCCCAGTTTTTGAAAGCTGCATGCAATCTGCTTGCAATCTGCTTTGGTCTAACGATGGCTGCCTAATTGACTCCCTCTCTCTGTCCACTCTCCTCTTCTCTCTTCTTCACAAGGTTTCTACTGGAGTTTAATATCTGTGGCTTCTGGCACACGGAGCATTTCGCCGACGGTAAGCTCTACAAGAAAAATGTGGTCAGATAAGGTCAAACTCTATCCATTTGTAGGCCAAATGTCCCCTAATATGTGCTCTGAAATGTATAAATCATGTTTATTCTGTAAATCATCACATTGAGAGCAGATCGTGATTGCTGTGATATTAACCAATTATTTATAAATAATCATATCTACATGGCTTTCAAGTAAATTCTTAAGAGATCCCAAATCATATTTAAAAATGTACATAAATAAAGGAAGTCTGAGCTAATAATACTAACCTTTAACCCTTCACTCACTCAAAAAACCCCATTACAATTTCACCATTTCGCTCTGTGCTACCAGTCTCCACAAACATGTTACAGTGGTTCAATACCAGTTACTCCTGTGAGTCGTGTGCAACATTGATCACCAGTCTAGAGATCATTATGGAAAGATAACATTGTGTCCTGTGACACTCTCACCTCTCATCGGCCTCGGTCTCTCCATCGATCACACGTTCACCCTCCTCATTACTCCACTTGTCCATCATCCACTTTTCCTCATACTCTACATCATCATCAACATCCCTTCATTCAGCCAAGCCATCTTTCAGCGTGTGTGAGTATCTGTCTTGTGGTTTTTTTTTTGTTTTTTTTTAGGGAAAACCAGTGCTCTCTGAAACTACCCTTTTTGCAATTTTGTGTATGTGTGTAGTGTAGTGTTTGTAGTATACTTCAAACAAAATGAAATTTGATTGTGAGAGTAGCTTTTGGTGGGAACAGGGGCAACTGGCACATTCTTCAAAACAAGAACCAAGCTTTGTGTTTCACTGAAACTAATGTAATTCTGGGGAAATCAGGCAGAAAGCATGGCACACATCCAGATGTGAAATTTCGACAAGCCATTATAGGTCTTTCTGCTTTCAAACCCATCATTTTACCTGTACACAGACACCAAATTCAATTTTGTTTGGAGTACACAGCGAGCTAGAGTACCTCTGGTCATGGTAGAAAGCGCAATAAATGGCTGAAGTGTGAACAAATTTAAATAGTGCCCAGTTTTCTCCTGTCACACACCCTCAGCCTGTCAGTCACAGACAAAACATCACACATACACTTTCACAAACACTTATTCTAAATCCCAACTTCGAGATATGACCCATATCTATTTTTTTATTAGCCTCAGCTCATAAGAAAAAAGGGGACATCCTGCAGCCGTGCGACACCGAGTACCCCAGCTTCATCTACGAGCCGTCAGTCAAAGAGACCAACAGCTTTATTAAGTGTGGACGCTGCCAAAAGTAAGCACACACTCCAGCACACGTATGCACATACAAATCTGCAGTGCAGTCCTCTCTAAGCCCTAGACCAGTCATATTAAATTGTCCTTCCAAAATCCATTTTCTACGGCTTTGCTCTGCTCTGCATACTGAGGGCAGTGTGTGTTTATACAATAGTATCGGGAAGAGGGAAATAAGTAGAAAGGAGCGGAATTAGATCACGGTGCACAAGGTTATAGAAAGCATGTGGAGAGCGAGAGAGAGAGAGAGAGAGAGAGAGAGAGGGGGAAACTGAGCAAAAGTATTAAGAGGGGTAAATGAAAAACCCGGAGAGATGGGGGAAGAGTGAGAGACAGAAACTGAGAGGGAAAAACAGTGGAAGGGAAGAGGAAGGGGAAGAGGAGGGAAGCATTAGTGTGTGTGTGTGTGTGTGTGCGTGTGTGCGTGTGTGTGTGTGTGTGTGGTGTGTGCGCGTGTGTGTGTGTGTGTGTGCGTGCATGTGTGTTTGAAAGAGACAAAGAAAGCTGTGGTTCTGTGTTTACTATATTACTTCAGTAGGTTTGTAATCATAGGTTGAGTGTGAGCGCCCCCTTGAGGCTAAAAGAGGTACAACATAGCACAAAACCTGCTTACAGAACCACAGCTGGGCAAGATTTCTAGATTTCGGTAGTGTTTAGTTCACTTTATTACCCATTTCCCATAGATTGCCCCATTGTTTTTTCATAATATTATATTTTGTTTATCAATGTAACACTATGGACATTGAATCTGCCCTAGCATGGCATCCCTGACTTGAAAAAGTGTTAATGTCACACATTACATGAGAGGTTTTGTTTGTGTGCACGTTCTCACACTTTTTCTATGCATGTGTTTGTGTGTGTTAGGATGTTTGTGGTGCAACAGATACCAGACAGCAACCTGTTGATGTTGGTGGTGCAGGCAGACTGTGACTGCTCCAGACACTACCCGCCCATCACCATGGAGCCCAAAGAAGTCAAATATATCCTTTGATATTTTGGTATTTGTGGCGTATGCTGGTTATCTTGAGAAAATGTATTATCTTATCACACATGCTAAATTAGATATTGTTAGACTGTGCTTGTTTTGATTTATCACTGCACCTCCCTCCTTTTATATTCACTCATTCACACTGGGAGCTGCTGAACACAAGCACGCTAGCAACTATTATTTCAGTTTATATTTTACTGGCATGTTAGTAGCAGAAGGTTAGGTGGAACAGAGCTGTACCTTATATTTGTACCTTTAAACGTACAGTATGATTACATACCCAAAATGACCAAAATGTACCTATAAGTATAATCAGTTTGCTGCACCTTTTTGTACTGCAGTCCCTGTTGCTGCAAACTCTCTCTTTTGCTCTGCAGAGGGTGCAGACAGAGGAACAAACAGGAGTCATTAAGGCTGCAATAAGGATATGATTTCTTACTAGCCGCCCACCCGTGAACACTATAATTGTGTTTTGATTAAGCTTTTCCCTTTGCACCATGCTTGCCACACTCACTCAAACTCTGAGGCCCGGTGTGTTCCTGCTATAGTGCATTTCTCAAATATGTCATTTCCAGTGCAAAACGTTTTTCTATTATTTTGAATTAGAAAGTCAAGACAAGCCTTTCCTGTTCCTGTTGTACTCCTTGACCCCGCTGTACATAATGCTTCAGTGAAGTGCGACAGGATGAGGTCCCAGAAGATCCGCCGACGCCCAGAGTCTTGCCATGCCTACCATCCCCAGGTTAGCTTCTCGTTGGCTGATTACCCATGAATCACCTTGACATCAACCAGCATCAACAGCTTTTACCAAGTGTAGATTTTTTGAAAATGTGTCTTGAATGCAGTTCTTATAAATGTCACTTCACTGTCTTGCTACACTGGCTCTGTGCACCAAATAGTACTTTCTAATTTGAGTGTGCTGTTTTTATCAATCGTAGCTTCTGTATTGACAGGAAAAGGCTTAAGTCGTGGCATAAACGCAAAGTGAAATCACTTTCTGTTTTGTCCCTGTAGGAGAATGCCAATGACTGTGGAGGAGCTTCTGTTATATCTCTCTCTGCCTCTCTCTTCCTCACCTGTCTCTCCTTCTCTGCACTTGTTTCCTGATGATGGACAACTTGGCTGTTTCACCCATTCTCGTATAAAGGAGGAGATTGAAGTGAATCAAGAGATGTGTTTGGATACTGGACACCTCAAGTGGATTCTTTTTTTTAAATGTACCTAATTCTGCACATTTGGCTCATTACAAACACAAACCTAGCCTCTAATGACGGACCTTTGATGTGGTTTTTGAGCATTTGGTTAACTGGAAAACTGGAAATTATTTCATATGAACTGAAAGCTGCAAAGAAAGCAAGTTAATGGGCTGTTGTTGCCATGGATACTTTCCCATTTGTTACTTTCTCATACACCACTTTGCATTTCAAAATGAAAAGGGACTAAAGAGATGCAGGTGGTAGCTATGACGTGCATTGATAAAAAAGGGGATTATGAGTCACAAGATGCAGCATAAAGTCCAGGGGGAAAAATATGTCTCTTGTTTCCTTTCTCCCACTGAACTGAATATTGCAGACACACATGCATATTATATATGCAGCTGCAAGCATGCACACCTCGAATACTTCATCATCCTGAATGCTTCATCTACAGACTACAGGCTTTTTTAAACATTGAATGAGAGGAGGGAGAGAAGGGCTACAGCAATATATGGTAAACATTGTGTAACATCAGTGTTGCTGCTCATGTTGTGTTTTACAAGGTTGTTTTTTTAGTTTATCTGAATCTTCTGCAAATGTCTTCAAAGTGTGATGGCTCAGTGCCAAGAAAGTAATCGCAATGGAGTCACATGAATATAAAAATGTAATAAAGATAATCAAAAAATCTGAATCTGAGTTCCTTCAGGATCTCTTTTTTTGTTGAGTTTTTACTTTGATTACATCCCAAAAATATTTGTTTCTGTGACATCTTTTTAAAATGTCTGCCTTTCTGTCTTTATCAGCTGTGTCTTTCTGTGTGTTGGTGCATACTTAATGTAAATAAGTCTGTCTATTTGGCCAGACAACTGGAACTGTCTCTAGGTGTAGATCTACAATCGGCATGGATGACATGATCATGGATTCAAAGTGTCTTTAGATATGATTTTTTTAATATGGTTTCAACACAAGTCTAGTTTATAATGTATACCACAGAAAAGATGCAGTTGTACCTTAGCAAATATGTTCTGAAATTAAAATTAAAAGTTTTTTTTAAGGTGGCGACGGATGCTTTACTTAGCCCCCAAGGTCATGTAACTGCTACTTATTACTTGGCCTACATAACAATATAATTTTATGAGAAAAGCAAAAAAAAGTGCTCACTCAAGATTGTCATGTGAAAACTGAGTTCAATTCTCATTGTGTAATAGCCTGATTTTGGAAGCGTCATATATATATATATAAATTGCAATGTAAATTAACAGTGTAAATCTAATTGCATAGGGTATTTTTGTATGTGTTTCATATTCTGGACTTAACCATTTCATTGTATTTTAGGCTGTGAGTGTCCCCCGTAGCTTTTTCTATGGTATTTCTGAATCACCTTACAAAGCATGTCTTTGAGTTGAGCTTATACTCTGATGACAAAATTGCCTGAGAATTTGCCTGTTTATGTCATAGACTCAGATACATCTTGTGTGTGGCCGTGCATCATTACAGTACGGTCTGTCATCTGTCTCATTTTTGTTTGTAATTTCCACTATACAATATTCTGTATATTGTATGATTGACATGTGTCCACGTTGTATGTCGGTTGACTGAAGCCATGATTTGTACAAAGCAAATTAAATTATCCATATGGTTTTTGTACTGTTTTTGATGACTGTGTTTTCTTTCTTGGTGATTAAAAAAACAGCTTATAAAAACAGAATCAGTCAAGGAATTCTACTAATACTGAAAGAGATTCATATCATAAATGCATCATAAATTAAAGCAATTAATTAAATTCAAATTTTTTTGTATACATATATATATATTTGGGGCTTTTATTGCCTTTAATTGATAGTGACAGGAAAGAAGGGGAGAGAGAGAGGGAATAGCATGCAGCAAAGAGCCACAGGTTGGATTCAAACCCTGGGCCTTTTCATGAGACTGGGTTGCACCCAATAGGGCACCAGCTCTACCAGGTGAGATTCAATCAGAGCACCCACTTCCGATGTCTTTTAATCTATTTGATAGATACATATATTAAATCCCAATAATTTCTGTCCATTGACAACATACTACCAACATCAAGTGCTTGAAGTGCTTGAAATTGTTTGATAATTTACTTTAAAATAATCTGAAATATCACAGTCTTCCACAAAGGCATTTCAAAATATAATATATATTGTTTAATATTTGAATGGGTCATTTGGATATTTGACATTATTCCCCTGAATCCTTAAAGCAAGATCTTTGAATTTTACAAAGAAATACAGCAACTATTCTGCAGCCTATGTTCTCTGCAAGATTCAAGATTCAAGAGGTTTGTTACCATATGTACAGTAAGAAACACCGTGGTTTGTACATACAATGAAAATCTTACTTTGCCCGACTACCTGAGGCAACACACAAAGTACAAGAGTAAGAATATAAAAATTTTAAATATAAAAAAAATGTATATGAAATATAACATAACTAATAACTTAAAGTGCAGAACATTGTACAGTAAACAAAGAAACCTGAGTTGAATAAGGTGCTCTATGCCTCACAGTTACACTTAAGGTGCTGAGTGACATTACATCACAGTGGGAGTGACTACAACTAGAAAAAAGTGTGAACCTTTATAAAAAAGGTAAAGTGTGAGTTTACTTTCAAATAATCCGAAATATCACAGTCTTCAACAAAGGTATTAATATTAATATTAATATCTTGATGGGTAATTTTGATGTTGCACCATCAGTTCCCCTGAATCCTTAAAGCAAGATCTTTGAATTTTACAAAGAAAAACAGCAACTATTCTGCAGCCTAAAAAGGTAAAGTGTATATTATAAATAACAAATGACTCATCTGTAGCATCATCCAGTAGGTTGTGTGTGTTCAGGGTCATACATACATCCCTCATTATTAGGCCATAATAGAATAAACGACTTTTCCACACTCGTGCTGGTTTGATTGTCAACGCTGTCCACAGCAGGTGTTGTAATTAGTGAAGTCGACCGGCAGGGGCGCTCGTTTTCCCTCTCTGTCTCATTGTTTGCGGCTCACTGTTGCTCTGCACCGCCGGGCGGAGAGAGCGACGGGTCAGAGGAAAATGGCGGACGGTGTGGATCACATCGACATCTACGCCGACGTAGAGGAGGAATTTAGCCAGGTATTTAATCCACATTCGCCACACTTCGACTAACGGTGCTATTACCCGTATATTTCTCTAATTATTTGTTATCATTATGTTCGGAGAGTGCCGTGCTCTGCCTGTCAAACCAGCTTCTCTGGCACACAGGCCCCCCCCCTTTCACCATGCTGCAGGTCTGCATCCTCGGCTACAATTATCGACTCCAAATGTCGCATCCGTGGTGTTTAACACGACTTCTGCTCCACGTAGTTGTTCATATGCAATGTGCAAATATTGGCGCTTTCTTTGGGTAAATGCGAAAAGGCAACTACTTCATTTTTCGGCATTCACAGCTTTCTTAAGGCCTCGGCCTCGACGACTGTGGCGGGCAAACAAACGTAGTTGCGTTATCTCGCTAGCGTTAGCTGCGTCTCAAATAATTATGTTTAGTAAGTTACTTTCTTAGTGGTTTGTGCTGTCTCTTCACACAAGCAGACATTATGTTGGGACGGAGTTAATTGAATTGCAGTTAAATTTGTTAGGTGTGAAACGTCGAGTGTGTTATAAACTCATTTAGTAACGTTAGAATTATTATGAGTTGTTCTGTTAGCTTCATGTAGCATTAATGTGTCTCCTAGATGTTTTCTTCCTACACACACACACACACGCCCCTTTTGTTTACAATTTCGAAAAGTCCCTTTTAGCCCAATCTAGGATGCAAATAATGGGGTTTTTGGTTTGTAGGTCATTTAGAAACTATGTTATCTCCACCAACATCGTAACGACACCGCTCTCAAAATGTGTGTTAATCGTGCACCCTCGAGATGCGTTCAGGTGCTCATGCTTGCAGGAGTCGCACAGCTTTGTCTGTTTCATTCATTACATTTATCTATTTGGCTAATGGTGTATTAAAGAGATACTCGAGATACGATATACTTCGTGATGTAACATCTAAGTAGAAAAGGTGTCAGCTTATATGTCAAAACTTAGTAAAAGACTCATTTTAGTTTAGTTAGTTAGGTTTTATATCTGAGACAAAGAGTAAATATAACCTGCCCCTGACTCTGTCTATGGCCGTCCCATGTTACCCTGACATGAACCTTGTGATGAGTATTTCGACATGCTCCCATCTACAATTTACACAATAGCTGTTCCTCAATAACCTGTTGCTGCTACATGCATTCAGCTTCTGCACAGAAAATATGGCTAAGGCGTTGACCTGCTCCAGGCACTTCTAACTAATCAAGCGTCACTTGCTAAGATTTAAGATAATCAGATTAAAGTACTTAAAAACAAGTCTATTTAACAGTGTGGCAGTACATAAGAGTCCTACCATCTCAGTGGATTTAATGTAATGTACAGTACAATGTACACTTTAGTAAAAGTTGGGAGAATATATACCATTATGTGAGAAACAATTGTTGCCTTTATGTATATGATTTGCATCCTGTCTATACAAAAATAAAATAAAAGTTCTGTTTTTCCCGAAATTAAGAACATTTATTGCACATCAGACAAATCATCATGATTTTATATCCTATTGGATATAATAAGTAAACTACAACACAAAAGTGTGATTGTGCAATGTCTTGAATTTACTGAAAAATCTAAAAATGTATTTATTCCACAAAGTTTGGTTCTGAATATCGTACAACTTTATCAGATTTACACGCACTCACAGACGAGACAGGTATAATCAGTGTTGTGGAACTCAGTCCCTCATGTTTGCCTGTTACTATCATGTTTAACAGGAAGCCGACTACCCAGTTCACGAGCAGATCGACCTGTATGATGATGTAATATCCCCATCAGCCAACAATGGCGATGCTCCAGAAGACCGCGACTACCTGGACACACTGCCTGCACCAGGTGGCGCAGAGGGAGGAAAGAGTGCCCCGCCCAATGTGGTGTACACCTACACAGGCAAAAGGATTGCCTTGTACATAGGAAATCTAACATGGGTGAGTATCAGAGAATTCTGTTCAGGCTACTTGGGTCTGTGGAGGGCAGTATTGACATTATATCCTCTCAAAGTAGTGACATTTTCCCTTAAAGTAAAGGCATTGAAGACCGATTTATCTGCTAATGATAATAAAACAATTAAAAATTGAGCGTGTTGGTATGAATATTGATGGTGTCTTCTTTTATGCAGTGGACGACAGATGAGGACCTGACAGAAGCCATCCGGTCAGTAGGCATCACAGATGTGCTGGAGATCAAGTTCTTTGAAAACAGAGCCAACGGCCAGTCAAAAGGGTGAGGTCTTTAATATCTGTCTGTGACACGATGAGACTAAATTAGAGCCTGCTACAATTTATGATAATTACTTCCGGGTACACATTTAAAGTAGTAAGTGGAATCCAATGTTGGATTGGGTAGTTTTACATATATCTGGTCATTCTGCTTTAAGTTATTATTGAAACCAATAGATATATGTATGAGTTTAGCATTTGGTTTTTGTCAGCTTAAGATTGAAGCAGATTTTTTTTTTTTACTTTGACTCACACAAGTCATGGATGAACAACAGGTCACACAGGTTTGTTTGCTCTGATCTGATTGTCTGATGTCTATCTTCTGCAATTATCTTACAGGTTCGCGCTGGTGTGCGTGGGCTCAGAAGCGTCATCCAGGAAGTTAATGGAGCTGCTGTCAAAGAGGGAGCTCCATGGTCAGAATCCCATCGTCACACCATGCAACAAACAGTCCCTCAGCCAGTTTGAGATGCAGTCACGCAAAAGTAAGTTTTAAAAAAAAAGTGCACACTTGGCATCAGTATATTTTATACTGTACTCTGCACACATTTATTATTTATTACATATTAAACAGAAAACTGTTGTCTCATCATTTCACAGGTACTCAGTCAGGCCAGATGTCTGGAGAAGGTAAAGCTGGTCCCCCTGGCGCTGGCCCTCGTGGAGGTTTCCCCATGGGTCGAGGTAGAGGCAGATTCCCTGGACCACCCGGTCCTGGAGGAGACCGCTTCCCTGGGCCTGTTGGGCCTGGCGGGCCACCACCACACTTTCCTGGTTAGTTTGTGGCAGTATGATAGAGACGCCCGTATCGGTTCACTCAGTTGAAATATAATATTTAAAAAGTGCAGAAATCAGTCAGTACAAGTTATTGGAGGAGTGGGGGTCCAGTTATTGGACTTTGTTTAATGTAACATTGGTTTTTCTGTACCAAAGAAGGTGAGTTCATGGCAGAAAAGATAGAAAATCACTGGAACCCCAGCTGATTTCTATTTCCATTCTTATTTAAATAGAGTTATTTTCCAGGCTCTGCAGTAGAAAGGAATTCGTGAATGGATGCATTGAGAATACACATTATGAATTACACAGTTGGCTCACAACAGCATGTGTAATCTGTGATGTGTATGGATAAGTTTAAGCACTTCTGGGGGTGGTCATGCTCTATCACCTTTTGAGGTTTATGTGTTAATGGAGTCCTGATTTAGACGTGGTATAGTTTTTATTTTTGTTTTTAGGCTTTTGTCATTCATGTGGTGATTATTTATAATGATATAGCAGTGCAACAGATTGAAATAATCATCATAGTGTGACAAGTGCCTGGAAAACTAAAATTCTGCTTTCTGTCTGGCAGTGCTGTTCTGTTAGCACAATCCAGGCTTTGCTACTACTCACACCCGCATGGAACCAAGGATAGTTTGTTGTAGTGTGTGTTTTAATGTGAGGGAGCTTTCACCCATTAAATCTCGCCTGGCAGGGATGTGTCTTTGCATGTTTCCCTCCCCATCTGGTTTGTTCTTTCTTTGTCCCTCTTCACCTCGAGTTGAACAAATACTCCTTCCCTGGCTGCAATTTTCTGCTCACTGAAATTTCCAACACCATTCCTTGACAGGCAATTTGCTCAAAGCTGTACTTGGCAAGCTACCAACCTTAACCTCCCTGCAAATATTGGATTGGCCGTCTTACACGCGTAGCGGGAGAGAATGGAGTTACCGGCTTTTCTCTTTTTCCATTTTTGCGTCTTTTTCCCTCCATCCCACCTTTTTCACATTTCTTCTTTCGCTTAGTGGCTGGTGCCCTGTGCTGCTGGGCTGTGACAGGCCTTCAGTTAGTAGAGGGAAGTTTATAAAGGGAAGAGTTGTGATTGGTTTGCTTTCTTCCCCATTAGGCTCGGGGATGAGACCAGATCTGATTAGACACCAAGATGGCCCTCTGATGGATATGAGTTTCAATCCCTTCCCGCCGGGGGGCAGGAACGGGAGCTGGCGTGGCAGAGGTGAAACACCTCGATTGATCTAATTGATTTGATCGATCGCCTTTTTATCCTAACCCTCAGCTGTTTGTTGGTAGGAGTTGTGCCATTGAAACCGTCTGGTTGACTGCCCCAAAAACAGCTGAGTTTCTTACCAAACTCTCTAAATCCCTTGATAGACAGTTTCCATCAAATACTGTCGGCCCTACATGGGGTCAGAGTAGATACTCTGATGTGTTCACACAAGTATTTTAGAGAAGCACATCGATTTGATCTAAAATTCACAATACATTTTCTGAAGACCATCCTGCATTCTGCCCACTGAACTACATTCATACTACCTAAGGCAAATTCAACTTCTTTCACACTATTAAATCTGGTTAGAATACATACAGGTAATTTTGTACAGCTTTTGCTTCACAATTCTCTCAGGATGTGTAATGGCTCAATGTCAAGAAAACACATCCCTTTTAAATTGTTTCTATAAAATTCTTTCATGCAGTTGCGTGAGAATTTAAAAAAAAAAAAAAAAGTAGTCTAATGACAAAGCCTTGCAGTCTCTCCTTTTAATGATATCTCATGAGTGGCCCTTGCATGGAATAATCTGTGTGCTAACTGCAGTGTATACAGTTTCTGGCCATGCTGAGCTCTTTGGGCTGGCAAGTAATAGCAGTGCACCCCTTCAATGAAGTGTTGAGAGAGAGAGAGAAAAATCCAGCATTAAATGCAGGACCTCCGGTTAAAAAAAAAAAAGCCTGCTTGAAACAGTGTGCTACAAGTGTATCTCATCATCTGTTCTGTTGCCTTCTGATTTCATTTGCAGCATTATTTTATGTCTTTTTGACATGTGTTGTTCCCTGTAGCTATGGCTTGCTCTTCCTTATCTGTCTGTGTCATTGTTTCTGCTTTGGACTGCCTTTAGTAAGTAAAGCATGGAAAATACAGGCTACTAAGGGATATTAAAGTTTGAGCTTGACCGATAAATTGGTTAAGCTACATTGTTTTGTTTGAAACCAAGTCAATTACACATTCAAGCAGAACCAGTCTTTTATTTGTTATATATATTTATTATTTTATTTATTTCTGCAATTTCCCAGCTTGGGATCAATAAAGTATATCTATCTATCTTTTTTCTCAATGTACTCAAAATGATGGGGAAACCTCTACCTGCTAACATGGGCAACTTTGTCTTTGTCTCATGCGCTTCTGTTTTGTCCCTTGTGTTCTCTTTTAGGTGGGATGCAAGGTCCCCCACGCCCGCCTCCCGGACCCCCTGGTCCCCCTGGCCCTCCAGGACCTCCCCCTCCTGGCCAGGGTCTCCCCCCGCCTCTCGCTGGTCCTCCAAATCGTGGCGACAGGCCGCCTCCCCCTGTCCTCTTCCCTGGGCAGTTTGGCCAGCCTCCAATGGGACCCCTGCCCCCAGGCCCCCCTCCTCCAGGTTACGGCCCTCCCCCTGGTCCCCCGCCTCCTCAACAGGGCCCGCCACCCCCGGGACCCTTCCCTCCTCGTCCCCCAGGCCCCATTGGGCCCCCCATGGCTTTGGCTCCACCTCCACACATGCCAGGTCCCCCACCAGGTGGACCACCACCAGCACCCCATGTCAACCCTGCGTTCTTCCCCCCACCTGGCAACAACAACATGCCCCCTAATGACAGCCGAGGACCCCCTGGACCAAATGACCCATACGGACGGCCACCACCATATGAGAGAGGGGACTATGGTCCTGGAGGCCGGTGAGAATCAGCACAGCAATTTATATAATGTTCTCTCACAATAATTTGACTACATTGGCACAATGTGTTGATGATAATAGGAATTATGCACTAACCAGAAAGTTGCTGATTTACACACGTTAAAGATAGTTTGCATTGGTTGCAATGAAAAGTGTCAATATTTGAACACGGGAACTTAACATATGTCGTGATCCCTGTGTTGTGTTTTTTATCGTAGGGAGATGGAGGCCTCCCGGACACCTCTGAGTGAGGCAGAATTTGAGGAGATCATGAACAGAAACAGAGCCATCTCCTCCAGCGCGATATCTAGAGCAGTGTCTGATGCCAGTGCAGGTAAAATAGTTATATACGATACATACTATACAAGTACTCATTTACACTGGGTCTTCAGATTTTACGCCAACAAGACAAAACCTTGGAGCAAATTAAAGCTAATGCAACCTTGTGTTTTCTTTAGCTGACTATGGCAGCGCTATAGAGACCTTGGTGACAGCCATCAGTCTGATTAAGCAGTCCAAAGTGTCAGCAGACGACCGTTGTAAGGTCCTTATCAGTTCCCTGCAGGACTGTCTCCACGGCATTGAGTCAAAAAGCTACGGTTCCGCCTCCAGGTAAGATTTTAATTTACTGCATTAGCCATTAAATGTGACTGAAGCTGTTTACAAGTTATTCTAAAAGGACACAGCTTGTCAGAATATTTTGGATTTAGCAAAAATATAAAGAGATGAGATTTGTCTCCCATTTGATACGGTCATGCCTAGTTTTCAATATACTATAATTACAATAATTATTTTGTCCCTAGAAAATTTGATATTTAAAACTTGGAACCCTGTCTAATGATGCTTCTTGGTCTCCGGCAGGCGAGAGCGCTCCAGGGAACGAGACCACAGCCGCTCCAGAGAAAAGAGCCGAAGGCACAAATCCCGCAGTCGCGACCGGCATGAGGACTATTACCGTGAACGCAGCCGGGAGCGCGACCGCCATCGTGAGAGGGACCGGGACCGAGACCGTGAAAGAGAGAGGGAGAGGGAGTACCGACACCGCTAGACGACAAGGAAGGTGGGTACAACTGGTCTCCCATGTTATCTGCCTTCATAAGCTCTCTTCTGTCCTTTTCATCATTGCATTTATCTTAGACTTGGACTTGAGCCAGTCTAGTTCACGCCCGAATAACCTTCAACTACATGGCAGAAGGAGAAAAACACCAGCGTTGAGTTTGAAAAAGTCTTCTCTGATTACTTACCTCGTCTCTTCTTCATTGGAATAATGGCTTCAGTTTAGCTCACAAACCAAATTTGCTGTAGGGATTTTCTATAGAGAGTTGTCAAGGAAATGTTGTCTTTGTCCTCTTGAATACACTCGTGTATGCCATAAAGGGCTTTTGAACAGTTTCAAAACTTTTGAAGTCATATAGTCAAACTAGGTTACAGCTTAAAAGCTAAGTATTAATTTAAATGCCCCTATATGAATATTTGAGGAAGGGGTCAAGGAGAGACGAGGTAAGCAAGGTAACGACTTTTAAAACTCAGTCCTTTTGGTTTCAGGTAGGTTTAAGGTAAGTGCTTTCCTTAAAATTTCATGATGTAATGACAGTTGTGTTATTGTGTATTTGGTCTTTCAGTCAATATATGTAAAGCAATGTATTCACAGAGGGGTTTGTAAGAGCTGTATCTATGCTGTGGTTCTCCCCAAAATCAGAAAATACAGTGATAGTTACTGGAAATTTCATTTGTGGATGCATTGTTACTTTTTGGTCTACATGCCTCTGAGGCTGGTATCTGCTAAATTTGTCAGCCACTTTTTGTACTCTGCCCAAATAAAAAAAACAAATAATGAATTCTCTGACAGATAACATGAACATGTGTAAATGGTAAGACAGCAGTACCAGCCTGCTGCTTGTATATGGCTGTGGTGGGTAAGGTTTTGTACTACTTGGCACGTCAGAGACTCTCTGTATAAACACCTTTTTTAATAAACATCGTATTGGCTCGTACAATTTTGGTTTTACCAGCAGCTATGGCCAGTGGACCAAAATAACTTCTGGCTTCAATATCAAGGTTTAATTCTTACTTGCCATTTCTTTATATGTGAGTTTAAGCTAATTCAATTGTGACTGCTGAGTTGGTTTGTCAGTGTGCTTGTTATAATAGTTCCTTGACTGATCGGCTTCTTTGGTTTTAGATGTCTTACTTTTTTACGATACCTAGTACAGATTTAGCGTTTTGTGTGGTCTGTTTGTTCAGATTATAATTTTAGCAAAAAAAATTACAATGTTCAACTTGTCGATAGACCAATCTACACTTTGTAAATGTTCCATTCATAGAAATGTTGTATACATATTACCATTTCAGTTTAAAAATGAAAATATATAATTTTCATGTTTATAATTACGAGAAGGTCACAATTTATCAGTGTCAATATCTGATGATTTTTGGGCGCGAAATTTTTTGACAATGTGATTGTGCCATATTTGCATGTCAGTAATACTGCCTGACATTTTACTTTCGTCAGATTGAATGTTTTGTAGCCTAGTGTTACTCACAACCATTGTACCTCAATTTAAGACATTGAGGTGAAGTGAAAAAATGAAAGAGAAAAAAATCATACCTTTTTGATATCCTGTTCTAGTACACATAATGTCACACAGATCATTTTTTGAGGCAACGGAAAAAAACAATTTGATACTCTGCATGGATAGAACACTGGCTTTAAATTGAAAGAATTCTTAATTTTTTGATTATCAGAATTGGTTTACATGAAGGATCGTGACTTATTCATATTAGTAGCAAGAGTATATGATAATTATAAATTGGAACTCGAAAGACAGAATAAGAAAATCGTTGTTTTCACATCCTACGTTTCTTTTGGCTGTCACCAGGCCGTCAATAGATATTTAATTTAATTTTTATTTTTTTAATTGAGTTGCCTTCAGTTAAAGTAACGTAGCGCAGTTAAACTAAATGAAATCATAATTTTGGATAATAATAATCAATATAATTTAGAAGGTATACAGTAAAAGAACTACAATTTTAATGTCAATGCAGAAAATTCATGATAACATGCCAATTGTTATTTGACATTGGCTGATACATAGAAGAAATTAACATTTTAATATTTGTTTTTCTGTGTGATTTTTGTATGTACATTGAAATGATTTCCATTTAGGCTGCAGTGTTGATTTTAAAATGATAAATAGCCCTAGGTTGCCAAGAGATCATGAAAGTATTTTTGGCACATAGCATTATGTGTTTTGCTGGCATTTTGGATGTTAAGTCATGTTATGAATGAGTTGTAGATGAATTTATCTGAAACTACTTGACACCAACTTGTACGCAACTAATAATGATACCACACTGACTACGTTTTCATGCATAAAATATTCCGTTTTTTGCCCTTATTCTGAAAAAGACAGTATTCCTACTAAGCTGTTTACATGATTAATGAAATTCCACACATATTCCTGTTACATGCAGTTGTACATACTCCGATTAACATAGCTGTAAATGACGTACTGTACGTCCTACGGAGGAATTTCCCTCCTTTTTTCCTTCGTTTTCAATTTGTAGTCATGTTGCTCCTGCGGCACAAGTGGAACAGCTTTAGCCATTTTGCCTTTCTGTATCAAAAGAGGTATTATTAAAGAAGTTTTCCACCAGTGGCAGACTTGTTTGGCTGTACAATCAGACTCTTTCTTTCATTCACTCATTCAACCACCTTCTTGAAAAGGTCAGTGTTGCACTATTATAATATTGTCATCCAATCTTTCATAATGTTTAAAAGTAGTTGTGTTCTCCTTCCGAACAGAAATGTTTTTTGTGCATGTATTTGTTGGCTAGTTGGTTTGTTTACAACGCGCACCGTAAACAGACAAGAGGCCATGTGTCACAAACTACAGTAAAAACCCCAAATTCACTGCCTTTCTGAAGAATGCTTCTGAACCTTAATGATATTGACATGTCCCACATGTCTTAATCGGAGAATGCTTAATTCGGAATATGCTGGTTACATGACCCTTATCAAATGAGGAATATTGTCATGTTGGGAATAATTGCAGGAAATCAGCGTGCATGCAAACGTAGTCATTGTCAAGGTTCTAAAATTATGAGTTAAATATTTTTTAGGCAAATATTTTGAGACTCGCTGTTTTCATGGATTCTCCGTGTTAGGGTTTCACCAGTCATTTGTGATCTTTGTGGCAAGATTCCATTGCGTCACTTGCGTATTGTCCAACTTTTGTAAAGTTTTGGAACTGCAGTTGAAAAATATCAGGTTTGAACGATATTGTGTATCGTTCTGATGTCCTTTACTGCCAAAGCACTAACATGTCTGTGGTGTTATGTATAAACCAGTCCTTTTATAGAGCAGAGTCTCATAGGTTACATGGAGCCTTCAGCATCTCTGTAGAGTTGCACATCGCCCCAAATAATATTTCTCATCATTTTAAATGAGCTTTCAGACATATACTTGATTCACATTTAACACCTTAATGTATACATGTGCACTCACAGAGCAGGATTTATGTTTTATACACAACACGCCATTTATGATTTATATATGCACTTGTATTACAAGTGTTTCCGTTTTTCTCATACTGAGAAATATTAACTGGGGTGGTTTTGCTCGTGGAGTTGCTGAATTCTAAAAGCAGGCCAAACCTAAAAACCAAAACTATGTAATTTACTAACTGTCTCGGTAATCTGTCATGTTATTTAAAATAGTTATGCAGATTTCTAGTTGTCAGCCCTAGCTAAATTGATCTAATCTCTGTTCCAACCAATTGTCCCACAACAGTTTTTACTGAAAGACTTTGTATCCACTGGGAACCTCTTTACAAAAGATTTCTAATTTTGTTAAAGAGAAGTCTTCCATGTTTTCTTTCACTGGCAGCATATCATCTGTAAATTTTCAGAGTGGCAACAGCTTATATATTTAATCCTGTTAAGTTTTATGTTTTTAAATGAGCACTGCATTTTGATAGAAGCATTGCACTAGCAATGACTGCAGTCTCCTCTAACACTTTGTTATCTCTGTTAGAGAAGAGATCCCCAGTGGGCACAAGGCCTGATAACGTTTGGTAATTTGTAGTTGTCTAAAATGCATTTATGAGTATAATTTTTACCAAAATGTGTCTTGCCGTATAAATGAAATGACTAAAGATCTAAATCTGTCTTTGCATTCAGTCTGATATCTTGGGGCATGGTAACGGTAAAAAATGAGAAATAAGCATATTGCTTTTATTCCTGATAGTAGTATGGCTATTTGTTGTGTCCACAGATATGCTTTAACACTGTTTTATCTGTTCATACTGCCATGGGGGAATGTACACTGTTTGCACCCGGCTGAAATGACTTTTTATGCTATCTCTTCAGTCTGTCTGTAGGTGTATGTGTGTTGGGAATCACAGCCCCTTTTCAAACTAGCATACTAATTGCTCATGTTAAACCAGGGTCAAACAGAGTTTCACATACAGGTCAGTGAGAAGCATTCATGCCCATTTTAAATAACAGGGTGTAAACAGAGGTTGTCCTTGAATAAATGACTTTTGAAGGCCCAAGGGTAGGGAATAGAATAAGGAAATTACAATTTTGACTGAACTGAAGCAGCTGAAGACAATTGTCATTCTTGTAGTTCTTAGTATAGATGTAGCAAAAGTATACATTTTCCACACTTTGTTCACTATTAACTATTTTCTGAAATACCAGAAGCTTTCTATAAGCCTTTCTGAACATATGATATGATTAACAGTGGAAGCAAAGTGTTGTGGTGCCCACTTGCTTGCTAAATGTTATATAAAAAATAATTTTTCAAATGGTAAGTATCGCATCTCAGGCAGTTTCGTGGAGGGCTTTCTAGCAGCTAAACAAGTTGGAAGAGTATTTCATGGACTGCTTGACCCTGGTTTGACTGACATATGACATATTTTATAATATGGCAAAAGATTTGTTGTAATTTGAGCATCGACAAAAGTTCAGTCATGTCCATTCCCACTTGTACTGGTGTAATAAGACACTTTTAAATAATAGTGTGACAAGAATCACCATTTGACCACTGTAATGTAAAATATTGTTATTGTCAGCTGAACTGTATTTATCTGTAGTCGTGCACCATGTCAAACTAAATCCTTTCCACAGCAGAAACGTATTGAATTTCAGTGTGCATTTGAACCGTGTAAAATGATCTGTACTTCACCTGCCTGTAATTAAGGCTTTCTTTGGTGCAGATACCACTTCTAATTCACCCTGTAAAGAAAAACCTTGTGTTATTGAGCCTTAATTGGTTTGATTTTAAATAAGAGAATACCTAGCACATTTGAAATGACTTTCTGTATCAGAATTGTTGTCATTTCATTTGTTAAGAGGTGCTTTACCATTGTTGACAGTCTAATTGACCATTGCTGCTGCCATTTATAAGTGGTGAATGATAATGAGGTTGCCTTTCCAGTTTCCTGTACCTTGCATGCTGGCCATGCTGGTCTTTCTCAATTATAAGTACAAAATATTGCAGTTTATTCACTGACATTATGTTATGTCTGCTAGACCATAAAGGGGTATGCCAAATCGAAATTATTTTCTCTTGACGTGTTTGTGTGTGTGTGTGTGTGTATATATATATATATATATATACACACATATAAAAAACACTCACTGGGCGATTGTGGCAAAGTATCACCTGTTGTGCCTGAGTCAGATGCGTGCCTTTCTCTTCGTAGTTTTGTGTTTTGATCTACGGCTCTTTTTTTGTCCTTTCTGTGTCTTTTACTCCTGTATTGGTTAATTTCCTGAAGTGTCGCAATCAATCATGCACTTTCTATGTGTCGCAGTGGTTAAAGTTTTCAGTTTTTAGCTCTGTACCTCATGCTTATCATTGCCAGTTGGTTGAAAAGAAAAATATGAAAGACTAACAAAGTCCATCTTAGCTATGGTTGGGAGAAGTGGCAGCAGGGGGAAACATTACTTTTAGTTCATTATTCAGTCAAGGTATTTAAATACAACTACTAATGACCCATGTCTTCAACAATAAAAAAGCTAGTGGAGTTTAGAATTTTTAAGCTTACATTTAAGACCTCACATGGGTAGTAGGCAAGTGTTTTAGAGTACCTTTTGGTTACATAATTGCATTCTAGTAATCTAGTAAACCTTACATTATTGATAGCTTGATTTCATAGGAGATTTATTCTGATGTTGTCTTTGCTTAACAGCGCAGTACAGCATGAAATATCATTTCACAAATATATTTCAAATCACACAACTCAGAACAAATGCTATATAGTGCAGAACTGATCCTGTTTAGCCAGGTGCACACTGTATATATGTATGGCTCAGTTGAACTGTCCACAAAGGATGAGTCTTTCTAATCCAGCATAGCTTTGCCCTTCCCTCGCGGCCATCTGAGAATTTGGGAGTTCAGTGTACACACAGTAGGCAATTCTATAACAAAAATGTTCGTCACAGCCTCTAGTCTTGAAATTTACATTATCTATATGGATGTCAATTCTTGTATGTCAAAAGAGCGACATGTAAGGTGCAAGCATTTTATACATGCATTTACTTCACATGCATATAAACCGTTTCAAATCCAACAGTGATGAATTGCATTTAGGCATAGACTTGACTGAATATTGTTATATCATCTGGTGTGTGTATGATAGAATTCAAATTTGCTTCTTGAATATTTCCTGTTCAAGTTTGCATGACATGTTTCTCTGTCTGTGCTAGGGTTGGGGGCAATACACAGTCAACTGAGCATTAAAGGAAACAAAAGTTAATGTCCTTAAAGGAAATTCTGCCTTGTTTTCAGATACTCTTTTTAAGTATTGTTGACCACACCCCTGTCAGAATAAAATATTTGGTAAGTGGGTGACCGCCCAAGCTTTTGATTCAAGGTGATGGTGAATTGAACCCAGCCCTGGTGTGCATTATGTATGTGTAGTCTAGAGATTTAATGTTGAGGGAGAGAAAAAAAAGTGTTCACTATTGGGCTGCCTCGAAACCAAACTCCACCCTTCGTTTTGACACCTTTTCAGCTAACGAGGCTCAAGGATGGATGGAAGAAAGGGGGGAAGAATTTCAGTGCGCCACCACCTCCCCACCCTGCATGACCGGACAGGATTACAACCACCACCTCTTCCTCCTCCACCCCTCCATCTCTCCTCTCCGTCTCCACCCATCCTTCTCTCTGTCTGTTCATCTTGTCTGCCTGACTAAGAGCAGTGGATGGAAGACCCTGACCTGTGTAAGGCTATGTTATCTAAACATCTATACTCATGGTAACTAAAGATGAAAGAAAAGAAACTTTCCAAACAGCTCTTTTATTTTTACGATGTTTTATTTGACATGAAGATGACTACGTGTGATGCTTTTTTGCAAAGAAACAATAAAATGGCCCCACAATCCCCCTACTAGAAGACACAAACATTACATCCTATTTTGTTTTTTATTTTTCCTTGGCTCGCTGTACTGTGTACATTCAGTTTAGAGATCAGTTTTTATAGGGTGCATATTTGATGTTTTCTCCCCACCCCTCCCTCTCATTCTCATTTATTCTTTTCATGGTTAGTATGTTTGTAAATGTCTCTCTGCTTTTGATTAAAAACTAGATGGTGTTGTAATAAAAAATGTTTACTGAGGTACTCGATGCATTTGGTGAATTCCTCTACATGTTTGGCTCATTTATATTAAATGTATATTTTGGACTGCAGACTGTTTTTCATATTGAATTTGTCTACACGTAAAACCTTTTCTTTCTTTTTTTTTTAGCTGTATTAGCCAGCAGCTTTATGTTTTAGTAAATGGAACCCTGTCATTTAGTCCCTTTTTCTGTTATTTTGTGTTATTTTATTTTTCAAATGGATAAAACTTACAAGGTAAGGCAAAGTAGACATGTACTTTTTTTTTTTTTTTTTAAATGTGCAGTGATCGTTTGAAGGGCAGATATGTCGACCATGAACATGTAGATGGTCTATATGGACATGCAGCTCTTTGGGGCTACACACTGTACACCAAAAAAACACACAATACTGTTCACAAAGTAGTTTCTGTTTGTGTGTGAACGCACTGAACCGCTATTATGAACCCGATTGTCTATGAAGTCCTTGTTTTGTTCATGTGAAATATTTTCATTCTTCTGCTAAGTAATGCTGGTAAATTCGAGCAGCAGCAGTTTGCATGCTTTACATGGAATTAGTCACCCATACATATAAATTAATATCATTTCCAACACTACCCTGTCACACCTTTAGGTAAACCTTTAAACAAAACCTGAACAAATTAATTTAGTTTGTGAAATATAGACTGTACACCATAACACTAGTATTGTTATGCAATGCAACACGTGTTTTCTCTTTTTTTCCGCCACCCATCGTGTTCATGTCTTGCATTTTGTTTAAATACACTGATTGTCAGCACTTGGTGATAGAGGTTTTAGTTTGTAGTGTTTAAGATGATTGGTTTGGCAAATGAGCACTGAGATACATGTATGTGTTTTACTCTCTACGACCAAAATCTATTTATACATTCAGCCTAGATTTTACTTTGCGTTGCGTCTTAAGACCAGACCAGTTATTGAATTTTAGGACATAAAAATCTGAGTGTTTCATCAGTGTCACATTGCTGTTTGTTCCATTTGTACTCCAAAACAAAGGAATATGGATAAAATTAGATTAAAATGCAAGTTTCTTTGTATGAATACAACAAAATACATCGCAGATATACACAGGTTAGCAAACAGCTCCTGTTTCAATGGTCCACAATACATCCCTTTATTGTTTAAATCGAAGAATCTTTTGTGTTTATTTGATTATTGGTTTACTTGTCAAGATGATTGTTCTTTTGTTTTGTTTGTATTATTTTTAAATCTGTCGTGTCGGTTCAAATCCATGACCATCCCCTGAAATATTGCATCTACAAAGGTATTTAATGATTGTAAATATTGCTGACCATAACTTCCATCTAGTCATTTTAATGGCTACAGGAATCACTGAACTTTTAAAAGCTGTTAATCAGAGTGTAACAGCATCCAAGCATTTTTAAAACCATCACGATGCTCTTGAAATGTCGTTTTTTTCTAACTGTACACTTTAAAAGTAGTATTATATTCTAATTGTTGATCCCTTTGCTCCTATAACCTTGTAATCTCTGTAAAAGAGTAATAGGACAAATTGTACATTGGGGTTTAGGTACAAAAACAATGTGAAAAAGTGGCATTTCACTCTGAAGGGGGAATAATCTTAATGCTGAACAATAGTTTAAAGCCGTCAGTTATTTTGGCCGTCTGGACCTCTTGTCTGTGCCTACATATTATGAATCTTTCATATACATTGGCTTTTTGTGGCCTTCAAATTCACCTCCACCCAGTGTCATCTTGAGCGGAGGTCTAATCAGCCAGAATAAGACCGTCTTTGTGCAGGGCTTTCTGTAAAAATACTCAGGGGTTCCCTGTGGTGCTGCCTTGTGCTGACTTCTCTCCACAGCGCTGACGGTAAGTGTTTACAGGTCACTGCTGAAGAAGAAAAAGTCTAGACTCTACTGCATCAACCAAGACTTTACCTCATGTAAGCGGTTGGAAAGTATCTTGTGTGTTTGTGTTTTCAGTATTTGACTTGTGTAAAGGTAGGATCATTTTTACCAGCCATTACCTGATCTTAAGCTACCTTTCCCATCACCTGTAACAGATAATTTAAGGTTTAGAAATGTTGCGTTTGTGACCCCCAAACTGAAACTCCCTAAAGTGCCACATGGGTAAAACTTGTAACTTCATATTTGATCATTTACAGTTGATTTCTCTGTCTGTAAATGTAATTGATCAACCTGCCTGGTGAAAGCAGGGCCTGTAAGGGCTACATGACTTGTGTCTTGCAACAATTCTTATTGGTATTCATTATTAATGTAATTTGGGTTTATACATTAATGGGATCAGTTCTAATTTATTTACAACTGTACCACTGCCAGCAATGTCCTGTTCTTGTTGCACATTCCCTGTTCGGGAAAGGCACATGGAAGCCAAAGTAACCAAATGGTCTCAAAAAATAAAACATTTCTAAATTCAGTTTGGGTTTGTAGTTTTCCTTTGTACATAATGCATCAAATTATTCTTCACGGTGGGCATAAGGTAATAATGGAAAATATCAGTGTTAATAAGATATTAATGTTCTTTTGGTCCACACATTCCCCAAATTATTAGATTTAAAGTTTAATGAAGGTGTATTAATTAAATGTATTGAACCTAATATCTGTAAAGTAAACCTTTGGACAAAAAGATGTTTTCTCGCTTTATTACTTGTCATCTAGGGACGCTTCATCTAGTATATTCATACAAGGAGTTGAACATGGAAAAGTGTTTCTTTTCCAATCAAATTAGACCTAACTAGGTTGCATAAAGCGAAATATATATATATATATATATATATATATATATATATATATATATATATATATAAAATTAATAAACTCTTCTTTTTCGGGGTCAGTGCGTCCATCAGCCGGAACCTTTTTTGTCCCCGCGCTTGGAATCCAACCGTGCACCTTAACATGCTACACTCGTCACTTCCGGCGGTTGTTTGGCTGCCAGTTTGAAATGAGACTGCTGGCTCTAGAAAGCAAACTTTAAATGCTTAAATGGCAGCTTTATTTAATGTGGAAACCCGCTGTGGAACAAGAAGAGTCCTCTAGACTAGTACACGGGACCAACCTCGCTCTCTCGGCTCCGTACTATGTTCAAAAAGATGACTGAATTCGGTCCAGATTCCGGGGGGCGAGTTAAGGTAACGCAACGCTGTGCTACAGCGGGCTGAAGACATTAACTCATTGTACGGCTTTGAACCTTAAAGCTGCAGTTTCTTTTGTTCTGGCTCGTGTTTCTCGGCAGTGTTTTACCGAGGAACACGTTCACATCATCCTGTATGTATTCCCTCTGTGGTCCGCAGGGGGTAACCATTGTGAAGCCCATCGTGTTTGGGAACGTCGCCCGCTACTTTGGGAAAAAGAGAGAAGAGGATGGACACACACATCAGTGGTCTGTGTATGTGAAGCCTTACAGAAATGAGGTGAGACAACCTGTCCCTATCAAGGCTGTAATTTGGTTGGAAAGATGGCCACTAGTACTGTCTAATACACAATGTTCCTCCAGGATATGTCCGCCTATGTGAAGAAGATCCAGTTCAAGCTACATGAGAGCTACGGCAACCCGCTGAGAGGTTAGTAGACCACCATGTATAACATAACGTCGTCATATATAGGTGGGTGCAGCTGTCTGTCTGACTCACTGTCTGTCTCTCCCTTCCAGTGGTGACAAAGCCTCCGTATGAGATTACAGAGACGGGCTGGGGGGAGTTCGAGATCATCATCAAGATCTTCTTCATTGACCCCAATGAGAGATCTGTGAGAGCTCGATTAACAACATGATCATAATTAGTGTTTAGTGTGCAGCGACACACATGAGTTCTGACCTTTACCTCTCCGCCTGTATGCTTACATTGAGCCGTGTGTCGTAGGTTACTCTGTACCATCTGCTGAAGCTGTTCCAGTCAGACTCCAGTGCCATGCCTAAGAAGACAGTTGTCTCTGAATTCTATGATGAAATGGTACGGCTGCTTTCATGCTGTAGTTTATATATGATTTATATCAATTTCTATGTTCCATCACCGTGAAAATGTAGGCCTATTATTATCATTATATCTAGTTATATTAAACTTTGTCACCATAAATGGTGGGTGAATTGCAAATTGATTATTACACTTTGAATTTATTTAATTTTCAGATCTTCCAGGATCCCACAGCCATGATGCAGCAGCTACTGACCACATCGAGACAACTGACCCTGGGAGCATACAAGCATGAGACGGAGTGTATGTACACACACAATGCACATAGAAACACAAGACACCGTGTGTGTGTGTGTGTGTGTGTGTATAGTTTGTGCATCTGTACAAAAGAGCAGCATTCACATACAGTAGTTTGAATCACTGTCATTATGCTTATGTGTGTGTGTGTGTGTGTGTGTGTGTGCGTGCCTCCCTGTTAACTACAGTCAGTGAGCTTGAGCAGAGGACCAAGGAGAAAATGGAAGCAGCGAAGAAGAGAACCAGCCAGGAGATCACGGAGCTGAAAGACAAACTGAAAGCCAGCAGAGAGAACATCAACCACCTGAAGGCAGAGATCAGGAAACTGGAGGAGGATGGAGATCACAAGGAGCACTGAGAAATGGACAAACACAACACACACACACACACACACGGACATGATTGTTCAAGCAGGGCTCAACCTGCATATTCTTGTGTTCCTAACCATATAACCGATTAAAAAAAGAAACAGGAATTGTTGTGAAATATTTTTTGATAAAATTTTTTTTAATTATATGTTTTTGTTTAACATGAACAATCAATATTAAATAGTCCAGAAAAGACATAAGAGCCATTATTACAGCACTGAAAGATGATCTTTGGGGGTGTTGTCAGCTGTCTTGTGACTGGAAAAAAGGATTTTGATTGGTTCTCTCTGTTGTCATTTGTACCATAACATTGCTGGATCAGTTGGCTGTGAGGTAGAATAACAAAACAGTCTGTATTTTTCTGAGTAGTTTTTATAACACCGTTTCTGTCCTGTCGTCTTGATGTAATTGATCCTGTGTCGGAGCAAGGCTTCTTCCCTGTGATATAACTATGAGCAGAGGTCATTTATTATTCCCGCTATTTTCAATGTAAATAGCTAATTTGTTTGTTTTTTACTGATCTTGTGGTTTTCTATGTAAAGTAAATGTCCTTTCAGTATCGCTTGTGTAAGTTTATTCTGTTGTAACCATTCAGATTGGATTCATAAAACATGATGGAAATACAGGTGTTATACTGCAACCAGTAATACTAAAAGTAAAATTGACAGTTAGTATTGTGCACGAGAAAAAGCCAGTGACATTTTCACACTGACAGTCCAGATGTGCATATACTGGATAACTGGGTGTGAAATGGTTTTAAAAAGGGGTTCATAGCACGTCAGCTGTTGCTGTGGCTGCATGGTTGTTTTTCTTAGTTATTGTAAGCATGAATTTTATACTAACTTAAATGAAAAGTGAAAATGAAATCTGCCCAGATTCAAGTAACTGAACATTTAGACTACTAAAGCATCACCATAAACCTTAGCTCATGTCAACATTCAGTGGATGCATATAGCAGCTCCACAACACACAAAACAGCTAGGAAGCATTCCCAGATTTGATAGAACAGGTGTTTTTATGATTAAGAAAATCACCTTTCTTCATCTAAATGTTTTTGTATCTAAAAAGTTTATTCAAAACTTAATTCCTCCTTAAAGCCAGTGTGTGAATTATCAGATTTCCGAGAGTCCCTGAAAGCATCTGGCAGGAAGTTCAAACAACACTTGCTGCCCGGACACTGAACAACTTCCCTGAGCTGAACACATACTCAACTTTGTGTCCTCTGGCTGTTCTTTAGCAAAACTCCCAACCAAATATGGTCAGATACAAAGAGAAGTTAGAATGGACACAGTGTTGTACAGGTCTGTACGTTTGTTGGCCGCATGTAGCTGTAAGTTCAGTAAATACACTGGGCGACTTAATATAGTTTGTGTGCTCGGGTTAAAATCCCTCCAGGGGTGCCTCGTCAGGAGCAGGACTTCCAGGTAAGTCTACAATGTGTGTTTGTGTTAGTAGTATCAAAAATCCTCCAGACACAGAGTGATGATGGGAGCATGGTGGCATGTGTGTTTGTATTGGGTTTGAGCCGTTCATTTTCATTTTCATTTTCATTCTCTCAGTTATCTGTAAATGTATTCAAATGTTACTCCGTTATCTTATTTAAGAAGAAATGTGACCCAACAATGAGTTTTTCATCTTTAACACAATGGTGACATGCAAAAAAAAAAAAGGAGTTAGACACATGCAAACATAAAATGCCTTCAGCAGTGAGTGAGAGTGGGTGTGAATTATTATTTAATTTAAAAAAGTACACTAATTGAACATGGTTATGTCATGGTTTAATTCATTTGAGCCTCATTGTCAGCGCTATCCATTTCCAGGTGGATGAAACAAAGACTCAGACTGTAACACAGTCCTTACCTTTAAATGTTTAATATATAGAATATGATACACATTTAATTTCCTTTGCATTCAGCTATTTGGACTAGATGTGTCAAAATTATATTAATGAATAAACATAATATATGATCATACATAATGAGCTAATTAAGTGAGTAAAAAAATATATTGATAACAAATTAACAAATAATAAAAACAAATTATTAAATAAAAAGCAATACAAAATATATTAAAGAAAATAAATCAATGACTCACCTACTTTTCTTATCTTACTCGTTTACCTTATTATTATTATTATTATTATTATTATTATTATTAGGAGTTGTATTATTATTATTATTATTATTATTATTATTATTATTGGAAATGTTCATGACCACATGATGAAGTATAAGAGAATATAACCACAATAGTTAACTTACCTGGACTAGTAAGCAATACGTTTAAAAACAACAACAACAAAAAACAAGAAGACAAATTTAGAAATATTTTCCAAGTAAGACTCTTATTATTGTACTAAACACTAATCCTCTCCCGTTAGTTTCTATCCCAATGTGTCTTTTAGTTCATTGATTTGATTTTTGCCCGCAGTCTTTAGCGAGAGCCTCTCGGGCGGTCGTGTCACGTGATCAGAGGATTTTGCACCGACGTCACAGAAACCGAGCTGGTGCCGACTAATGATCCTCACCGTCCTGCTGCATTTCAAACTCCTGTCGCTGAAAAACACATCTTTCCAGCAGCATTTTACTGTTTCCTTTAAGTTTCCACTCGCTGCTGCCTCAAAAAGACACGCTATAGTGATGCAAACTGTAATTGGGACTGCTCAGGGAAGCGTATAGCTTTTAATAATGTTACCCAGTTCGCATTAACGCAGTATATGGCGAACGCAAATGCAACAAATATGTCTCCTCGCTAAAGAAAACAACCGGTGGTATTTTGTTGCGTTCAAGTTTTCAGGTAAGTTGTCTAAAAATAGTAACAACTGGCATGTTTTGTTGTCCGTAACGACGCTTGTGGGGCTCGACAGTGAATGTACGGTGGCCTTATGGCACCCTGTGGCATTTTAATCTGTGTTATGCTATTACTCTTATATCCCCCAAGGGACACCTTTTGGCTGGGCTAGTTCTCCTGTTAAAATACACTATTGCTTAATATCACTCTATTTCTTAAGTGTAAAGAAACTAAGTTAATACTATAGGCTGTGTTTGTCAGGGATGTTGCTGCTGTCTTTCCTGTCTGTGTCAATGCCTGTTCACACATTTTAAACAGGAAATAGTTGAAGAAGTCTTTAAGATATTAAGTTAATCACATGGTTTAGCAGTCAGTATCCCAGGGATTCAACTAATTCATGTTTAGACTTGCGTGTGATATTGTCACGATAAGAGCAATAGTATGAATGTGTTTGCTCACCCTTAACTGTTTTCATGTGGGAAATGTGGCCAAGATAAATGTGATTATCAGCCACTGACTAGAGATTAGTGTACGACTTGTGTTTTCTTTCAAATAAATTGGAGAATACCCTGTGATAACTTAACAGAAAGATTTAATTTAACTTGACTAGAGAGAGAAAACTCTTGACTTCAGGTTGTGTTTGTTGCTAAAATGTCCACATCAGCCACGCTGGCTGGCTACATGGATCTTTGTTTGGTTGTCATCCACAGAGCTCCATTGTTGTCCCACTGTCTGTGTGTAGTGTGCAGTTAAAGTCCATTCATGAGGCCAAGCGCATCATCAGCACGCCATAGCTGTAATGTATGGAGTTCCCCCGAAGAGAGCAAGTAAACTCTGGGGGCTTTCATTGCATTGCTGTATCTGTGTGTATACCTGGCACAGTCAGAAATGTATCCCATCATAACAGGATCCATCAGTTAGCCTCTTATCAATATCATGCCACGAAGGGGCCGCGTTCAATCGATGAGAGATTGCAATGGAGGCCATACTTAAGTGCGTTTTCTCATGAAGTATAAGTGCATGAAGGAATCACTCATGAGTGGATAGTAGTTAGTAAGGGTGTGTGCTGCTCTGTGTTTGCTGTGGATAATAGCAGGATAAGGAAGGGCTATGATTAGTTTTGCTGGTTTTTGAAATGTGCAAAGGTGCCAACATCAATTTATGTGCCCTAGTAAATGTTGGCATCTCTTCTACACAGCGTTAAGTTTGTAGGTAAGATTACAGTCTGGCCTTATCACTTTGTATTAATAGTTAACATAGCCTCTTTTTTTTCTGTGTCATTCATGCGTCGCCACGCCAGTTACTTCCCAATCGGTATTACACAAGAGTAAAAACTGTTTTACTCTTATCTTTCACACTCACCAGGCAACTCATGTCACCATCTTTCCTGCGAACAAGACTTTGAGAGATAAAATCAATGCTAAAACACACATTAGTACGGTTGTTGGGTAGGTTTGGTTTAGACCTTGAATTTGGTGCACTAAAATGTCATCCCAGTAGTGTCATTTGAATACAGTGAAGTTGATCTTGCTGTATGCCTGATTACCGTCTTTCTGTCTCATATGCAAACTATTATGGTTTAACTGTCATCTGTTTAATGTGCTCTGCTATCATTACAGTCAGTGAAAGGACAGATTGTTAATGTACAATGGTGTCCCCATCCTAAGCAGTGTCTGGTGCACCTTTTTTAAGCAAAAGGCATGTAACCCCTGGCTGCTTCAGAAGAGCAGTTTGAGGGCCAAACTACTGACTGTGAAGCACTTAATAACAATGTTGTAAAAGCTGTGTGTGTGTGTGTGTGTGCTAGGTGTGGTGCTGAGCCCATGGAGAAGCCATCATCTTCAGGCAGAGCAGCACTGGAGGAGAGAAAAGGCCTTGTTGAGGTAAGCAGCCTACTCATAAACTCAAAACTAGACTGTGACAAAATGTAATATAATTAACATAACTTGATGTAATGTATGTTTTCACGTGTTGTTAGCTGCTCAAACTTGCTCGCAAATTTGCTATCCAGGGCTGGAAATAGAACTTTTATCCCAGGACGCATTTTGGCTTGTCGTGGCAGGAAGAGCACAGGTGAAACCAATAACATTAACGATGGCTCAGTGAGCCATTCCTGTGAACAAACATGCAGAAAAGCTGCTAATCTCGATGGAATGCGGCCGTTATCGGTTTTATTGATTACACCTGTGCCTTTCCTTCTATCACATGCCAAAATATCTGCTGTGAAAAACATCTAGTTACAGTCACTGCTGAGTTTCCTGTTTACATATCAAAGTCTGTTTTGATGATATCTCGGGAGTGCTACTGAGCTGTATAAAACCTTTTCTAGATCAGAGGGGAGCTGTGCAATATATTGCCTAAAGTAAGAAGACTACAAGTCTGGAAATTGAAAAAGAATTGGGGCTTTGGAGTTCGAAAGAAGTGAGCTTATCAGACCTCTGTAGCCTATCTCTCATCTCTGCTTGAGGCATGAAGATACATTACCGCTAGTTGCATGAAACACCCGAATCTCTGACAGAACTGTCAGGGGGAAAATGTCAATATTATGGAAGTGCGATGCTAAAACGGTGGAGGGCAGGATTGTTACACCCAACGCTACCAGAAGCCAACAAGGATTCCAAATTCATCTTTCACTTTCAGCACTCTACCAGCTAAAGTTAAAAGCTACAGCTACAATTTTGAGGGCACAAAATGATGTCTTAATGATGGTTGGCTATGTGGTTAATGCTTCTTGTTTCCCATCCTGTTTTAATTGCCTTGGAGATTGCTAATTGACTCCATTATATTTTGTGTGTGTGTGTGTACTCCAGGATGTTGAAGGGCTGAGAGGTGCTGAGGGTGGTGAGGTGGATCCTCAGACCCCGAGGAAGAGCAGCTCCTCTCGCTCCTCCCGCAAGAGCTTCCGTCTGGACTACCGGCTGGAGGTAAAACTTCACTTCCCATCATCCTCCTTTCCCCTAAACACACACCCCTGTATCTCACGCCTCCTCATTTCCATAGATTCCTTCCCTCAGCATGCAATATCTCTCCTGTTCTCTACTATTGTGTTCTGTGTATTGTGTTTTAAACTGACATTTTAAATTTAATGGCTAAAATGGAATTGTTTTCTTCAAATTGTAGGAGGAAGTGACAAAATCTTGTCGGGACAAACACGGCCGCTGGACCAACCCCTGGTCCACATGGCGGTTCCCTTCCTACACCACCCTGCTCAGGTTCCTGTTGTTGGATAAGAACCACAGCAACATACCAACTACCAAAGAGGTGGGTAATTATTAGATGGAAGTGTTTTGCCCACAGTTTCATAATGTCACAAGTTGGGCTTCACTAAATGATTAGTGTTATGGAGGAACTCCAGCCTAGACTCACCCACTTTTAAAAAGCTGTTACATAGTACATTTTATAGTCAAAAAGTGTTGAATGTCTGTATAAAAGTCCTATATCAAATTTATTCAAGCCAATGTATGGTTTCACTTACATTATCCTTATAGTGATCGATATTAGAATCCAAATACAGTATTTTTCACCTATGTCAGTAGGAACATTGCTCTTTGTTGACTCTCACAACCCGCACAGTATTTATATCTCCTAGTGGAAACCTTGCTGAGCTCGGTAAAAGCTAAATGGGCTTCAAAGGCTTCTTTCACACAGCAATAGAAAAATGTTTAACCCTGTAATTGCATAGATTGCACAGTGTTTTGTTGTTGTGTAAAACCTATAAGGATAGGATATAAATCAACAACTAGGGAGGTCATAGATCAAAAGTTTGATGGAAAGGTAGCTCACAACATATTTGTAATGTTTTGTGTTAGGATGAAGCATTGTAAACTGCATGTGTGTATAATGTATGTATAAATACTAGGCAGAGATTAAACTTCAAGTCACATAAAAGTTGTTCAACTAGCTTTTTCTCTGTAGTCAGTGCATTTCTTTAAACAAAAGCAGAATCTCATGTGAGCTATCTTTGTGATGTTGCCTTTGAAAATGAGGATAAATCCTGAAGCAGCAAGAAAAACATGTAAACTCCTTTAAACAGCACTGTAACAGAGCAGTAAACAGTGACTGTTATTAGGGTCAGAGGGGATTACAGTTCATTTTTGAAAAGTGTGATCAGACGAAGTCATAAGACTGAAACATTTTATTCCTCATAATCAGTGTGTGGTTGTTTTGTCCCTTTCTCTCTCCCTCTACCTCTCTCTGTGCTGCTTGTACTCATCATCCTCTTCCTCCTCCTGCTTGGGACCTCCCCTCCCATAGGCTCTGGACAGTGAGCTCCCAGTGATGGAACCGTACTTCATCCAGAACCCAGACCTCACCGACTCTGGTCCAGGTCTGAGAGTCACCTGGCTGGGTCACGCCACGGTTCTGGTTGAAATGGACGGGCTGAATATTCTGACAGACCCAATTTTCAGCCAGAGGGCCTCGCCATTTCAGTTCTTGGGGCCCAAACGGTACAGAGGGCCCCCCTGCACTGTCGAACAGGTTTAGTACTATTTATTTTTAATAAAGCAAAGACCTCCATGACAGCATTTAACCCAGTCCTTGTTTCTTTGGCTGGCTCAGTTAAATATTTCATCTACCTGCCAACAGCTGCCCAGGATCGACGCTGTCGTCATCAGTCATTCTCATTATGACCATCTGGATGCTGGATCTGTGGCCAGCCTTAATGAACGCTTTGGAGGGGAGCTACGCTGGTACGTGTGGTGGATCTGTAGTCAACATTGTTTTGAAATATCCTTTATTATATTTTTCAATTATAGTTCATGTTGTCAGCTTACCCTCAACCAAATTGTATTAATTAGTATGCCAGACATTTTTACATTAAGTCCAAATGTGTGTTTCACAGGTTCGTGCCCCTGGGTTTGATGGACTGGCTGATGAAGATGGGCTGTGAGAACGTGATGGAGCTGGATTGGTGGGAGGAGAACTGTGTCCCGGGTCATGATGACATCACATTTGTTTGCACACCCTCTCAGCACTGGAGCAAACGCACCGCACTGGACGATAACAAGGTGATAATTAATTACTTATTAGTAAATACTGATTAGATTTGACCTTTTTATGTATACTTTTTTTTAAATAGTATTTATTTGGTTTGATAGAATCTCCACAAAAAATACATAAGACATGTAAAAGTCAATGCCACCATATAAATCCAATAGCTGAGGCTTGAATGCTTGGGTCATTTTTCAGTAATCAAGAAGAAAAAAAGGCTGTTTAAAATTATTTTCTAGTTCAAAACATAACTCTTTATCTTGTACCCTTTTTCTCTCAGTCTTTATGGGGCAGCTGGTCTATTTTGGGTCCAGACCATCGATTCTTCTTCGCTGGTGATACCGGCTACTGCTCTTCCTTCCAGGAGATTGGACGACGCTTTGGACCGTTTGACCTCGCAGCAATCCCCATCGGAGCATACCTGCCCAGGTTCTGTACATTACATACACTACACTCCAGTTTTTGTCATAGTGGTGTTAATGCAATTATATGTTCTAGCTTTGAGGTCTTTGTCAATGATGGAGTTGTACTGAACTGCATAACATGGAGGGGTTTTTAATATTCTGCCCCTCATGTTTGTTGATGGGCAGGACAAACATTTGAAACATAACATTAATGAACAGAAGTTTCCAACAATGTCAACAAAATCTGATAATGAACTTAAAGGTAGAGTTTATGGCAGATGTTGGGTTGAACTGTAATAGAGTAGCCACAGAGTGTAAAACGCTGTCCTTTCTTCTGTGTGTGACCTTTGGTTTTCCAGGGATATGATGCAGGGGCAGCATGTAGATCCAGAAGAGGCTGTTCAGATTCACCAAGACCTCCAGGCCAAACAGTCTGTGGCCATTCACTGGGGAACCTTTGCTCTCGCCTATGAGGTAAGGGTATACAGTTATTTACATACTGACTGAGGCTTTTTATGTAGTTTAAAAGGAATAGTTAAACATTTTGGGAAATAAACTTGTTTTCCTTCCAGGTGTTAAATGAGAAGATACCACTCTCATATCTGTCCATTCAATATTTAGCTGGAGCGAGCTGATGATTAACTTTAGCACAAAGACTGAAAACGGGGGGAATCAGGTAGCCTGGCTGTCTCTAAAGGTATCACAATCTGCCTACCAGCATCTCTGAAGCTCTAATCGTTTAATCTGTGCAAAACTGCAATTGGTGGTTTTACGGGCTGTCAAATGCTGGACTATTTCTTGGTCGGGACCAGTCACACTTCCTGGAGTATTGTTACCATGAGGTTGCAAAGACTCTAGGAAGTGACCGGTCTCAGCCAAGAGACAGTCCAACGCTTAATCTTCTGTAAAACTACAAATTACTGTTTTTACTTGGATTTTGTACAGATTAAACAAATGAGATGTAACACTTAAATTAGTGAACTTGTGGTGGTGATGGGTAGATTTAGTTACCTTTGGACGGAGCCAAGCTAGCTGTTTCCAACAGTCCTGCAATAAACCCTACCTTAATTTATAAGTTGTTGATGAAACTGTTTTGATTAAACTTTATAATCATTTTGGAGGATGCAGTTTGTAGTGCTATTGACTTGGACTGCATTTTTCTGACAGGTGTTTCTAATATTTTTCCACCCCATTTCTATCAGTGAGGGTAAGATAAATAGCAGAAAAACCTCTCTGTATGAAGCGCCACAAACTGCAGCCTCAAACATGATCATAAAGTTGAATCAACACATCTCAAACAGTTTCAACCAGAACTGATTATAACCTTCATGAAGGGAGGATTTGAATTACTGTTGAATTAGACTACATCAGTTTTAGCTTAGTGTACAAGATAAACTGGAAACTGAGTATATGTTCGGGTGTTGTGAGAAGAATCATGAGATATTTCATTGCTCAGTATTATAAAATCACAGCTCAAAGAGTTTGTGTGTTACTGCTTTCAGAGAGCGAGAGAGAGAGAGAAAGCCAGAGTATTACAGAGGTAAAATGTGCTCTGACACTATTATGTTCTGGTAACGCAACATAACAAAAGGTGTCATTGTTTGTTAAGCTGCATGACTATTTCTGCAGCTAACACAGTTTAACCCAGCCTCTGGCTCGCTGCCCCGCTCGGAAAGTTAGAGACAACCTGACAAAAGCCTGTCGTAAACGCTCAAAACAATGCAGCACCGGGCTAAAATGAACCTGTCTGAAGCCTAAGTATGGTGATGCACACGGATAGTCTATAACACTTTTCTCTGGTCACTCCTTCATCCAGTACTACCTGGAGCCACCGGTCCGTCTCCGAGAGGCCCTGGAACAGAAAGGACTGAAGCCAGAAGCCTTCTTCACTCTGCATCACGGGGAGTCTCGCCTTCTAGTTTCACAAGGAGGAGACGTGTTTGACTGATTCCCTCTGGAGTGTTTTGTGGGCCGTTTGTCTGTAACAAAAGGACAGAACATTTTGTTTATCATATTTAGATGGACTTCAGTGATTTAAGTTTGAAATGCATATACGTATGCAGCTTATCCCAACTGAAATATTCAAATGTTCCGCAGTACTGTTTACATAATGAATGTCTGCCCTACCATTGTCAAGGTGGGGCAATACTACCTACAGGAGTTCCACTATAAAAAACTGGTTGATTAGATGTGTGTAATTCTTTCAGGCAAAACTCAGCTCATCTAATAGCTCATGAGAAACAAGGTATTCGATTTCCACACAGATGTTAAATGTTGTCAGTCAGTGTGGTAAGTGTAAAGGTCAAGTCACAAAGATTTGTATCAGTGTAACAAAAAACAAAAAGCAGTTAACAGAAAAACAAAAGTACCAGTTTTACATGGAGTACTGGAGACAACTAAATATTGTCTCTATTAAGTGATAACTAATTCATTTTGGTGCTTGTAATAATGTTGTATTATATAATAACTCAACAAAATGTAATACATGTTCACTTCATGATTTAATAACACCCACATTTTGTAATACATTACGTACTATGCTGCTTACAAAATGCAGGAGTTGCACTTTTTATGATGAAAAATGTATGTGGTGTATGTATTAGGTAATCAACCAATCATGTTTTCATCTGTACACGTTACATTTTTATCAATGAACCTAAATTAAACTTAGTAAATATTAAATTAGACTGTGACCCGTGGTTCCCCCTTGGCATTATAGTTGACTGATCAACTACTCTAATTACAACCAAATTCAAGGACTTTGTCAAATGCTAAAAAATAACTAATTCATGCTTTTATTTCTAGCTCGGTGTACTACTGCAGCAGTCTTTTGACAGGGTTCCCTGAAAAGACTTCAAAAAAAGGCTTCAGCCTATTCAAATAGAGTTCATTAAAAAAAAAAAAAAGAAGCAACTACCACATTTTGTAATAATTTATTATAATTTTGTGGGAAAAAATACATATCGGTTCAGGCTGTTTATTACTAAATGAAACCGATTGCTACAAAATCTGTTATTACATAATGAAGTGAAAATGTATCACATTTTGTCAAGTTGCTACATAATGTGTTCAAAAGCATTTGCAAAGTGTTTCTAGCTCGCTCCTCCAGTCTGGAACAACCACTGAAAAGAAATCTGCATGCTCGTGCCGTCGACTGGCACAAACCTTCTGGTCAAGAGGCCAAAATCTCTCCAGAATTGTTTTCAGACTTTCTGAAATTGTAGAGTAAAATGAGTGAAATGTAATCAGCATTAAACTCACATGGTGTTCTGGGTGCTGGTCCCATGTTACTATAGTAACCAGTGCTCCTGAATGGAGATATTAGTGCAGTTTGTGTGTGTGGGGTTGAACCACAGACCTTCAGTATGAAGCTTGACTGCAGACAGTGTGATGCAGCTTTCTATTGACACAGCTGGACTTCCTGTGAGCTGTAATATAGACGAGAAAACCAACTATTAGTTACTTAGAGTAGAGATTTTCAAAGATTGCTGCTAGCTAATGCCTCATTACAAAATTTGTTTTTTTCCTGAATGTACTCTGGCCAACCTGAAACTACAAGAGACACAGAAGTGCTAGGAGAAATCTTATTTTTGTTGTCTGATATTAATTCCCAACAACTGTACACAGATAAGAAACTGTAGCGGAAGAGCTGTGAGATGCAGGCAGAAGTTGAGCTGGGTTCAGCTTCATGCACTGCAAATGTTTTTGCTTTGTTCCTGCTTCAGAATTTTGTTTTTGATGCTCGGAAACCACAGCACAAGACTTTTCTCGGTGTGATCACTCACTCATTTTCATCTCTTAGAATTTAAGATGCATTTGCCTCGCTGAGCAACAGTAGAATCATTTTAGTACTCAGCTTTTCAAGTGAATTTTATTTTTAATGCCGAATGTAAGAACAGTTGACAACACAATGATGAGTTCATTTAGTAGCCTGGTTGTAACTACAAGGCCAAACAGTGCTAACTGTGGTTTACACTTGATCCATGTCATTGAATTACCCATTAAATATATAACTTACACTTCAAGTGTGTTTGTTTTTTGTTGTCAACAGCAATGTAGACTTCCAAACACAAGAAAATACCCCTTTATGTACCTACCTAATGGGGGGGGGGGGAGTTTAGGCAATCATAGAAGACTACTTAAATAAATATAGCAATACATCTAAGTACGTAGTATAAACACTGCAGGGTATTTATATTGGTGACATCTTTGACTGTTCTTCTAATAGAAAACCCTCTTTAGCGCCACTGTGATGAACACCAAATTTACTTTCAAGCAAGGACATTGAAGCCACTTCAGAGCTTCGATATTTCCAGCTTTGACCCCCCTTGGGGGTAGGAAAAATAAACCACTGGTAGAATAGTTAGGTTCAGCAGCATTAATGGGAATTTAACATTAAAAATTAAAAAATAAATATATTATGAATTAGTTTCTGAGTATTAAACAGTGGAGCCTGAAACCCACTAGTGGCAGTATGACACTGAAAGAATGATGAAAATGAAATAATGTTAAACCTACTTTAACAAAACATCTGATAACAAAAAATTAAAAGTCTTAAAGACATAGAAAAAAATCCTTAATTGTCTTTTAGGGAGGCATGTAGATACATTCTTAATTAAGCTACACTATAATCAAATGATGTGTCAAGTCCTGTGCATGCAACACTTTTCATATTTATGTGCATTAATTGAATATTATTACATTTCTACTGAAAGTAATGTTGGTATAATACGGAAGCGTATTGCATTCACTTGAACATTTATTTTTTAGTTTGTTTTTCCGAGTAATTTATTTTTTGGTTTGTTTTTCAGATTAATTTTTTTATGGTCGGTTTTTTCGGAGTAATTTTTTTCAGATTTTCTGAATAACTTTTTTTTCTCTCTTTTTCGGACTATTTTTTTTTGAGTTTAGAGAGCATTTGAAACAATAGACGCATTCATTCCTTTATTGAGAGCTCGATTTAACGGAAACAAACATAACCGGGAGATAGTCCTGTCTTTAAGTCATATAGATGGTATTATCATTAGTTTGTCGACTCTACGCAGCACCTGAGGACTTGATAGTTGAAGATGGGGCATGTATGCGCGGGCAGGAGTCAGCATGGGTCCATGGGAGTCCCTTGCAGGTTGGAGGTTCTCGCGGGAGTTCGAAGTATCTCGATAATTCAGAAAGAAAATTACTCCGTAAAACAGGAAAAGACTCAGAAAAACAGAAAAAGTTATTCAAAAAAACAAACCAAAAAATAAATTACTCAAAAAAAAAAAATGGATTTTTTTTCCCTCCAAGTGAATGCAATACGCGTCCGTAGTATAACGTGTTCATGTTTGTAGTTGAATAAGAAATTACGTTACGGCACATACACTCGTTACAAACACTTTTCCGTTTTTCAGTAAATTAAATAAAACAAACAAAAGCAGAGTATAAAGAGTATGAGTGAAGAGAATCGATCAAATGAACTCAAACCTGCTCGGGAGACTGACGCTCACTCAGCACAGAGCTGCACAGGGAAGTCCAGAAGATCCTGCTGGTTCTTTAATGTCCATGTGTACTCTGCGCCTTCCTTACTCCTGCAGGCTGCATGTTCGTTGCTCCCCCCTCCTCCTCCTCCTCCTCCTCCTCAGGCTCACAGGTGTCTCTAATTGATCCCCTCCTTCCTCTCCTACCAAGGTTTTAAAGGGCTATTCTGCCATTTTTCCTCACCTTGCTGCTGCACTGTATCCCTGCAGCGCGCACTGTGACAGGGGCGACACAGGGTGGCAGTGTCTGTAAAGCTTTCTCATCTTCCATTTCAAAAGACTGACACCAAACACTGCCTGACAGTATTGGTTTAAATCAAAAGTATGGGGATTGTATAACACTGTTTATGCAGAGTAAATACAATTAAGGTTTTTAACTAACATGATATTGATATATTTGTATTTAAACAAAAATATCTAAATATTGCTGTTATGGTTGTAGTCTGTTTTTAGAATATAAAGTCCCATTGGAATATTTGGTAGACCATGGTGATGTCATTGTTTAGAAACATTAAATTTTTTCCATAATTTGCCAGCGGAACACGCATCAGATTTCTTTAAAAGGCTGCATTCATTCCCAGACAGAAAGTGTTTTCTCCCAGTAAACAAGGAAAACTGGCATTAAAGGTTGTTTGTCCCCCGTTTGGACAGACTCGAGATCAGACCTGATAACACACTATAGCTGCATCTGTGCACACACGGCTTTCTGCTATTTAAAGTGGGTACCAATAGGGTGTGAGTAGTGCTAGAGACAAGACCAGGGTACATGTTAATCTCTGGTTTAACCTACCTCAAGTCTGAGAGTCAGCAGTGGGAAAAGTCCTGTATGTTCCTGTAAAAATATTGATGTTAACACCTACAAATATGAATGATTGCCCTCAAAATAACAAAAAATAATGGTCCAGTTAGATTTTAGCTAAAACATTTCCTTATGAAAAGCTCTCATGAATCACTTTCTCACACATCCTCTGAGCTGACGCAGAGGTGAGTTTCAGTGACGATTTTGATTTGACAGGTGGGAGGAAGAGGCCCATGGTTAGAAAAAAACAGTTGAATCCGACCAAAATAGTGTTTCGAAGAATGTTGGCTTTTATCTTCTTGCCAAGCTGCAAAGACTGAATTCATCATCATTTTCAAAAACTGAACTACATTTCTGCCATAAGCCTAAATCTTTATTTAAAACCTAAAGTAACTTTGATTTCACTAAAAACTGAATGTGCACTGGGACCAGCTTTTAATTTGATGGTACCAGGAAAAATGGATTTGCTCAAACATCAAAGCAGCAGAAAACAATGGGACATGAAATGTGTCCCTGATCTTATGTAGATGAGGCCTAAAAGCAATAAAATTGAGACATATTGGAACCATTTCCAGTTTCTTATTCCCTTGAACTGCCTTATAAAAACAACTCTCAATAACAGAGATGCGTCATATAAAGCAAAAACATCTTTACTTCCTTAGATTCAGTGCCAGACCATGTGCAAAATTAATATTTTTATTATCAATTAATAAAATAACCAACCAACAAAATAGAAGAAACACAAACTGAGTTTTTTTTTTACATTTTAAACGTTAAAAGTTTGAATTTGATTTCATTTTTCTGCATGTGCACCTTCCCATCACTGCCCATACTTTAAGTTTTAATTCATTCAAAAAAATCACCATCATCAGAGCAAAAGCCCTCGTCTGTAGTCTAGTTTGAAAGTCAAGTGATTTATGTGATTATAGATTCTTAAGAGAGGCCTGTGCTGATTTTTCCAACTGGGGTATACCCTTCAAGAAAGGCCAAATTGATGTGTTTACCAGTCAACACGAGGTTAGACACGTTTTTTTGGGATGGGTGACCACATCCTATAAAAAATAAGTCAGTTTAAAAAGAATCCCTGACGAGCGAGAGTCTCCATAAAACAGCAGGAGGCGTCACAGGGTGTGAGGAATGTCACGGCTCAGCACATGTCCCTCCATCAGCGTGTATCTCCTGTCATACCACGCTCTGCCTGTTGCTGTCCCTGCTGTGCGTCGACCCTCCGGAACAGCGCCGGGAGAAGTCCAGAAAGATGCCGTCGTGCTCCGGCTCTGAGTCCAAAGACTCCAGGACGTGGTCCATCATGATATCTGGACTGGACGCAGGACTGGGACCAGAGCTCGTGTCGTGAGCCAGTACTCTGGAGGATGCAGAGGAGTTGGACACTAGTGAACCCGTGCAGTGCGTGTCCTCGCCTAGGGAAGGCTCCAGGAGGATGCAGGGGAAGTGATGCTGTGGCTGGAGAGGGTCGGGGCCTGCAGGACTGTCGGCATCTCTGGGCTGTGGGTCCTGGCTCGAGGTCACAGTGTCTGTACAGAGAATAATGAACGTTTTAAATGAATGAATGAGACAAGACTGGAAAAGGACCTATTTCTCTCATTGCATGTTGCTATCATTCCTAGTGTTTTTTTGTTTATTTTGCTGTCTGTTGTTAACCTGTACTGCCACAAATGTCTGCAAATATACCTAAAAATATAGAATCTAAGCATAAATTATAACATATTCAACTTTTTGAAACATTTGGGGACAGTTCTTTTCTCTATTTAATTAATTCTTCAGTTACTTAATATAAAGAATTGATTTTAACAATTAATTATTGTTGACTGTTGTAGATACAGCTATAATTTCTTAGTGTGTTGTTTTTAGCTTTTTCTTTTCCTTTTTAACTCATGTGAAGTGTCTTTGAGTTTCCTGAAAAGTGCTCTATAAATTAAATGTATTATTATTGTTATAAAAAAGATGTACATGGTTCAGTAAGATACAAAAAAAACCTGCTCCAAAAGCTCCAAACAGACACTCATCTGAAACAACGATCACTCCAGAACTGCAATCATGACAATATCACCAGTGTAGCAGCACCTGAAAGTGCAACAAAGGCTGTGGAAGTTGGAGAGTGGTTGGTGAGGCTGGATGTGCTGGTGTTGTTGGTGGCAGTGGTGGTGGATTCAGCCGCAGAGCTGCTCTCCTCCAAGCAGGACGTCATCTCAGAGACGGAGTGTCGTCTGATACCTGTGCCACCTCCTGCGGACGAGTCGGCATCGTACTCCACCACGGGGGTCAACATGGGAACGTTGTAGCTCTTGGAGCGTACCACTGGGTTCTTGGCAACGGGGGAGTGGCCCGGTTTGGAGGGCCAGGAGCGCTGTAAACGCTTTTCTGGAGGGAGAACGAGAGAGTGAAAAACAGAAAATTGCCTTGGAATTACTTTATAATTGAACACATAAACACATAGCAGCTGTGACCTTTAATAGAACTTCCATTGTGCATTATCTGGACACACATACACACTCACACACACATACCTAATAGGCAAGAGGAGCAGTGCAAATTGGAAGATCCATCTCTGGAATATAACCCATGAGTCCCGAGGTAGGGAGAGACCACCTTCTGGATGAGAGACTCTAGACGAAGGTAGTCGTCCGTTACACCTTTCGATTCATGGACTCCCTGCACCAGACACACAAATACACACACACACACACACACACACACACACACACACACACACACACACACACACACACACACACACAGAAACACTAGTTTGTATTAGCCAGTAATTTCTGCTTGTTGGCCGGTGGTAATGGAAACTTTAAAAGCCATGAAGAAATGTAAGAAAGAAAAAAAAAGAGTTTCAGTTTGGCTTTCTGTGATTTTATCAATCACTCATCCTGCCAGTTACCAAGTAAAACCAAAGGTCCCAGATACGTTTACTGAATTCTACTATTGTTTAAAACATAATGGGGTTTCAGCTGCCAATAGGAGACACACTACACTTTTACAGACCCAGCCAGGAAGACGACATGAATAAAACAGCAGAGTAAATTGTGCCCCAACCTTGTATAAACATACTCAGATAAGAAAAGCATCAATAGCATTTCTCAATTTAGACAGAGACAGGACGAACCCTTATAGACAGAATTCCTGTGAAAAAGGTGAGCAGTGGATCTAAATGTAATGTAACCCCACTGTCAAGAATGTAGACAGTGATTATTGGATTAGGCTTTACCAATTCTACAGGGCAAAGACACTGTTGCCTAGTAACAGCTGACATGAATAGCCTTCCAGTTTTGCGTTCAGCTGGAGGGGGGGAAAAAGTTGAATCATAATGAGTCTGTTATTGTTACAGACTAAACAGAACGGTAGAAGAATGGTGAAAAAAAAAAAGTGTCAGAGTAGAGGGAGCTAAATGACCCTGGGAGAATGTAGAAAGAGATTCAAACTGATCAAAAACATTGCTTCAGGTCTCAGGTCTGGTTACGTCTTATATCTGCATTAATGGATTTTTTGGACCCTTGGTGGCAGTGTGACAAACTGTACTCACATTATCACCTTTTGAAGTTGATATGGTGTATTTGGCAGAAACCTGTTGCTTATTTACACATCCAGCAGCGATGGATCAGCATTATTCTGGGGTCATGTTTCTTTCAAATAGTTTAGCTCTGTTTTGGTCTCCACCAGCTCCAGATGGAAATATCTGTTTCTTAACCTGATAAATGTTCCACTATGTTCACCGGCTAGTTGCTTACTTTGTCTGCTGTTTGGTGCTGGGAAGGTACCATAGGTTTATTAGAGTTTTTTTTGTTGCAGAAAATAGCTGTCTGCCGCACCTTCAGCTGTGAAATTGAACTATAACAGTAATGCTGCAGTGAAACAATGAGCTGAAAGAAGCAAAAACACCATCTAAAGCTGAGAGGAACAGACACATAATCATTTGATCCATTGTTGGTAAAAAAAAAAACATTGTTTAAAGTAGCTTTTAAAGTTGTTGTAAAGCAATATTTGTTTGTTAAAATGAGATAAATGATAAAAAAACTCACATGGGTCTCCCAGTACCTACTTTCTGCAGTAAACAAAGGAAAAAAAATTCTGGTATGCCCTTCCCACTTCATCCAAATCAGGAGACACCAACCCAAAGTGTCAACTTGGGAACGAGACTAAACAATATTTCTCCAGAATCCCTTACAGTACAGGCCAGATTTGAGTTTTAAAAGGCCAGTACAGAGCTCTACTACAAACTGAGAACCTGAGTGAGAAAAGCTGCTGCGTCTGCTATCACAGCACAATCACAACCAATTTCCATAATGGAGACAAGTAGGAAACAGTAGGCGTTTCTCCTCGTGAAGGGAGGCTTGCAACCTTGCATGCATCTCGCTTCACCATATGTTCATTCTGCATATGTGGAGCCCTCACTGCCCTGTTTGTTGCAGATGGGCCTTCTTGTTTCATTGGGCTCATGTAATTGTTTCAGTAAGCCCACTGCGTACTTGATGTTAGTGGGGTTTTAAGTAAATCAGTGACAAACAAATTACAATAAATTTGATTCAGTCATGAAGAATAACAAACAGGCACTCTTCTGTTTGGTTAAGGCTTTTTTAGTTAGGTGACTTTATGCTCTATATAACTTCAGACCATTTTAAGACAAAATAATTTTCTTTTTTCCTCCTTTTTAAAAGTTGGATTTAGTTTGAGTCACTTCCAAAATTCAAATCTTCACGCCGAGGGGTGTGATACATATGGGCCCAGTTCCACTCCAAAGGCTTCAAATAACAACGTAGAGATCAATCAAGTTTCAGTTCTCTGAATTATTGAGCCCATGCATCAAAACCACAGCACAGAAATAAACCACATAAATAGACCAGACTTCAGTGAATTGGCGTCACAGAACGAAAGGGAAATTACTTACAGATGAAACAAGTAGCAAAAACAGCTATTTGAATTTTATCTAGCTTACACACAACCTCTTGTTTTAGCTGCTCTGCTTCCCTGTCTGCTTTTATATCTTTGACTCAACCAGTTTTTCCCTTCCTCATCTCTGCTTTCTCACAATTAGATATTCACTGTGGACAAAGAAAAACAGTCAAGTTAAAATGACTTAGCAGCATATATATGTACGTAATGGACCAAACAGGAAATCATTTATCCTGCCTTCTGTTCTTGTGTCTTTTTTACTCTCCATATCATCCTCTGTCTTGAAGTCTTGCCCTCCCTTTGTCTGAGTATGGAAGCAGCAGATTTGGGTCAATGAGTCACTACAATGATGTCCAAAGAAACCCACACAGAAGCAGACTCACAGACTCTAAGTTCATACTCTCAGACACACTCGAGAGCACATTTAACCCACTTGCATTCACTCCCTGACCTACATCTTACCTCTGACCAATAAATGCCTAACTTTAAATGAATGAAAAGGTTTTTGGAAGATTGGCCAACAGGACTGTTAACTGGTAAGTCAATACACCGCGGAAAATGCCACTTTTAACTTTGATCCTTCAGTCGTCAATGTGAAGGAAATCTTGAGAGCTGGTTAGTGATTGAAGAAGTTTTGAGAGATCTTGATGTCTGACCTTGATGTGTTATGCAGAAGCATTTATTGAAGTTAAATGGAGGTGAAAAGAAAATAAGAAATACGAGTGAACCCCTGTGTACTGCCACCCAATTCTAAACATTAATGTTAGGGAGTAGACCTATAAGATTCATGACGTGTGCAGATAAGGTTATTGTTCACCCAGCTTTAAATGTCTAAAGATTCTATTGGGTATTGGATCCTAAACAAGGAACAAGGCTTACTTAAGTTAACTAAGTCATGTTGTGTGTCACTCAGGTCACATACAACCAGAGGAGACAGTCAGTCAGTCTGTTGAGGCTACAGCAGAGTACAGCCTATCTTCCTACAACCTTGGACTCCTGGGAGATGGAGACAGTTCAACCATATCAGGACAGCTACACTGACCATCATCCAGGGAGACAGAATCTGTTTTCTCATATGAACTGCGGACAATGTAAACAATGTCCGAAAAATCCAGTCTGGACATTGTCTGAAGTTGCCCTTTCACACATGTTGCACACAACAGGATATTGTCCTGGCCAGACACATTCTCACCTATTGGAAATACTCGGTTTGGCTAAGGCAAGCGGTTTTTGCATCGGTATCAATACTACATGTATACAAAAAAAGAGTACGAAGCAGCTACATTTCATACAATGTCATCAACACGCCCACTTGCTTGCTCAGAATTCTCTAGACAATGACTGGCTCTATTCATACATGTCGTCATAGGGACATTAAACAGACTCTGTACTAGGCTGCTGGCAGGGTAAAGTCTGTTTAATGAGTGGTCCAGCTGATTCGGACATTTGCGTTCAAAAATACAGATCAAAAGAGTAATGTCTGGAAAAATTCAGGGTAGCACTGCATGTGTGCTCTGAAAGAAAAAAGGTCATGACCTCCAAATGACACAATCAGAACCTGGGGAAACATTGTCATATCACCTTTAGCCTAAAAGAGGAATATTAATTCACAACCAAATGATGCTAAAAACCTATCGAGAAAACTAATACCCATTTGGAAACCACCACTGATAAAAAAAAAAAGTTTTTGAGTCACTGATATAGCTCCTGAAAAAGCCTGAATCCTTCTCAGGTTACTCAAACTCCAGTAGGTTCTCGAAGGAACATCAAGTCCTTTCTTATGTTCCTCCAAAGGACCGAAGAGCCATTTTATCAGTTGTTTCTGTTAATAATCTTGCGACCTCTTGTGGCAGTCCTGACCCCCACTTAAATAGTAAAATTATATCCTTCAATAGTAAAATACGGATGTGACCAACAAGGAATACACATGAATAAAACTGGTGTGAATTTAGTTAAACGAGCAGCGTCTTCACTTGAAAATCCTGTAAGTGTTGTCTGCGTGAGGAGTAGAGCAACACCACAGTTAAATGGTAAGTAAACAACTCTCTTCCTGTTCCCACAGAACGGGAACGTAATGGACAATTAACTGAGTGCAGCTACAAGTCACCACACGATGGATGAATAACCTACTGTTACTATAGTTTATGTTTAAATGTTTACAAACTCAAGCAAATTATCCACAGGGGACACATGAATGTCTGTGCTCTCATCACTTCACAGATAAGAAGAAAGTTTCACATATTCTTTTGACCATTTGTTTCAACTCTAATTCTATATCTAAACTGAAGATTTTTACTAATGAGGTCCAAAACAATGATCATAATTGACTGGCTGATTTTACTGTCTTTGTGAGGATATAAGGGTCTTAAAGGACAATGTAAACATGCATATTTGAAACATGCAAACATTGACACAAACTTTCAGACGCAGGCAGGGTGCAGAGGGCACCGAGTGGTCATGGGAAGATTACTGTGCTCTGTGTTCACACTGAGATTGCTTCCTGTGAGATCCCTTTGCAAGAAAAAAAAAAAAAAAGCTTTCTGTACCCTCTGCTCCTCTTTCCCCCATCTGTTGTCATTTACCCTCTTCCCTCACCCTACATCAGTCATGGATGTTTGTCTGTGCAAGCCATGTGTTTGAGGGTGTGTGCTTGAGGGTGAAAAGGGAAGGAAAAGATAAAAGAAAGAGGTACCTGTAGTATTAGCAGCATCTGTATGATAGAAGGAGGAACTCTGGCTCGGGGTCGGGACAGAGCCTCGTCCAGTTTCAGGTTCAAGGTGATGATGTTCCTGAAGTGGAGCAGAGCCAACTGACGCACTGATGGCTCCTTTCCCTGAGGACACACACACAGTTATGTAAGGAGAATATAAGCATGTGCGTGTGTGTGTGTGTGTATGGCTGTGTGTGTGTGTGTGTGTGTGTGTGTGTGTGTGTGTGTGTGTGTGTGTGTGTGTGTGTGTGTGTGTGTGTGTGTGTGTACCTGTACGGGATAGAAGATGGCCTGCAGCATGGACAGAACATCGCAGAAGAAAAAGTCCCATGTGTCGGCCAGGGAGTCCAGCAATTTCTGACCTGTAACGCACAAGCAGAAAGACACACAACCAATCAGGAGAGAACCACAAAGCCAAAGAAATTACAGCAACAAGATGTCTGGCACATGTAGTCAACAAGATAAGGTCTCACAATGTTTTGTAAGAATCTCAGAATCATAATTTAGAAATGTGCTATCTAAGAACTTCATCTGATTTGTTATTTTTGCAGAGGTTGTTGGTGTCCTTAATCCTTTTTTGCAAATCTTACATGTCAGTAATGTTGGAAAGGAAGTAAAAAACAAGTGGTCCCATGTGAATTGGCATCATCCTTTTTTCCCTGTTTTTATGAAATGGACATTACAGCATTAAAGACAGTTTTAGTAGCTTTTTGGATGCATATTCGGGAGGCTCAGGTGCATCAGCAAGGAGACCCTTTTGAAACAAACAGCTGAAAATCAGAAGTGCAAAATAGTGAAACATAATAAAATGCATGATGATGAAAGGGTTTATTGTACAACAGGCTCAAACTGGACACATTTAAGGGGATTACTTTTTGTTTATGTACTGCTATAGTTCATTCAAAGTCATCTCTTAATAATATTTGTGATTTGCTCACTAAATGAGTCAGAAACACACAATGTTCATGTGATGCATGACGAGATCACACGGGAATCCATCTTGCCAGGACCAATCAGCAGTACTGGCATCTACAGGGGTGGGCAGCTATACTAGAACTGGAGAGTATTTCTTCAAAGCATTCATTCCGCAGTGGTTTGTCTTATATTAAATTTCTCACTAGATGCTGTGCAACTGACGCAAAGCATCACTTCCTGTCTGGTTTCTGTGACGACAGCACCGAAATCTGTCATAGTGTGTGTGTGTGTGTGTGTGTGTGTGTGTGTGTGTGTGTGTGTGTGTGTGTGTGTGTGTGTGTGTGCTTGCGCGTATCTGTCTGTGTTTAATCATTTCAAAAGGTGCTTCAAATAAAGGTCACACATCTACCACAACAGAGAGAACAAATTCATTTCAGGGTCTTGTTCTCACCTCTTCAATGGCGTGTGTGTGTGTGTGTTGTGTGTGTGTGTGTGTGTGTGTGTGTGTGTGTGTGTGTGTGTGTGCGTATGTGTGTGCGCATAAAAAAAATGTGCCTCACCAAGAGAGTAGAGATAAATCCAAGTCCAAACTAATAGTTAACCTTGCATTTGGAATTTTAGTAAATTATTATTTTTCCCTGCTAGACTTGTGACTTTTTTCACACTGAGATAAATTCTTCTCTCCATTTATCTCCCTGTTTCCCTGAAACTACTCACCTAACTTGTGAAATCTCACCAAAGCCAGGAGGCATTGTTAATTAAAGTGAAATTCAACAAACAAGCTATGGGATCTTGATAGTTTTTGTGTTAAATTACGTTTTAATAATTTAGCTATCTGGGAATCTCCTATGCTACCAACTTACTTTTAAATATGATCTTTTTATTACATTTTCTCAATGAAACGACTTCTTTTTAGCATGGCATTTTCTTAACTTATTTTTTAATAACATAAATTTTCTTCCCTCCTGTCAATATGTATTTATATCTTTTTAACCAAACAACAGCCCATATTTGTTTTCAACCACACTAGTAAATATCATTCGTGTTTAGTGTTAATTGGCAAGTATTAGCATGCTAACACGCTAAGCTATGGTGGTAAACATTGTAAACATTATACCTGCTAAATATTTGCATAACATCTCATTGTGTACATGTTAGCATATAGCTTAAAGAAGTGCTATACCTAAGTAAAGCCACACAGAGTCGCTTATGGATTTCTACTTACACTATATACAGACTTGCTTATGTGTTAGTCTTGTCTCTGTAAATCTGACTAAATGTCTGTGACATTCAATTATGAAATGACAAAGATATCAATCTATTTGTGTTCCTTTTTTCTTCCTTTTTATGCTTGTCCTCTCTTATCGTGATAATCACAATGGGAATGTTTAAAGGGTGGGTCAGTTATCAGTAAGTCTTATTTATACTTTGGGAAAGGACGCAAAAAAACACTCCTCCTCCCTTCATTGAATATGTGTGCATACAGTATGCTTTGTGAACAACATTTATGTGTGCGTTACCTTCATAGAAGCGGATCTTGTCTCTCAGTATGACCATGCCTTTAGTGAGCAACTGGTTCTGAAGGTACTCAGTGAAGAAGGAGCCCAGCTCCGTCTTCAGCAGCTGCCTGCAAAAAACATGAGTGCATACATACACCATCAGTAAAACATGGACCAAAACGAATTAGTTCTCATGCACCGGAGAGCTGCAGTGTTTAAACAGCCGCAGACTCAGGAAATGAGAAGAGATGTTATTCACACTGAAAACAAAGACTACAGCTTCATCTGAACATGTCATGTTAACACAGGTACAGATTAGTATGACGGCACACTTGCTGTTATTACAGGAGAAAGAGAAAATTTGACCTTTAATCTTTGTGGCACACAAAACATCACTAGGGAAACAAAAAGTGTAATGCCTGGACACATAAAAATCCTGTTTTACAAAAGCTTGTAAGTCTCTTCTGAGATACAGAAAGAGTCATGACTAAAACGTGAAGCTTTACAGCTCGAGTCCATTCACAACCCCAGGCGATGTTAGACTGCACTCGCTGGGAAGATCTGCCATCACTGTTGCACCAAAAATAATGTGTGTGTGCAATGTAATATTTACTGTACATGACTGGAGTCAGTTGTGACAACCCTGTCTCAACTGCCCTGAGCAACACTGTAATTAAACACACAGGAGTGACCCCTCTGTAACCTTCACCTTTCATTTCCCCTTCGTTTCTGATTCAATGGACAGTCGAGAACAGCAGGAGAAAAAAACATTACTCCTGATGCAGCTGAGAGTGATGCAACAGTAGCTGTTACTGGGCATGTGTTAATGTTTCAGTAAAAACTAATTTTAGCATGCTGAAGCTGCCATTATGAGTATATGAGTGTCTCTGCTGGCAAGAAATGCAACGCTACAGCAAGGGAAGGTGGAACATTAGAGAAGAAAACACTATAATTTAGTCTCTTCCAAAAATACAGACCAGCTCATGCACAACATTCAGCGTTTTTGTGTGAAACTCAGCAAGAGAGTCAGAAAGACACACAAATAAAAAATAAATGAATAAAAACAAAGAGACAGACAGAAACTGCTAACCTGACACCTTCATTCAGAGTGTAGAGTTCATTTTCCCCCAGATCCTTCCTCTGGAAAACTGATATCACTGCATTGTGGATGCTGGGCAGAAACACACACACAGAAGCATTTAATGGACACATATTGACAATGATCAATGTGTAGAACAATAGAATAATATTCAATTAATCAACAACATGCATGATCACTACATGTATATTGCTGTTAAAAGCTATAATATAAACGATTCCTCATTGTTTCAACCTGAGATATCTTGTAGATTTACCTTAATAATCAGTGGCCATTTGAACAAGTACATGCTCAAATAAGTGACACACTTTAGAAAGCAATAGAGAAGGTCTCAGATTTAAAGCTCCATCCAGAGAGAGCTGGATTCATAGATGTAATATAATTCTATTCTCTTGTCTGTTGAGTAAAGTATCACAGGCTGTTTAGGTTGATCAGCTGATGTCATGTAACATAATTTCAGGGTAATAAAATGTTTTTTGTTATTGGTTCTGTTGCTGCAATTTGGTATCACAAACATGTAAATAACTAGCTTTTACCCTGATCCATACACAGGGTTAACAGTAAACCCCAAACAGGCTCAAGGTTCACACACAAACAAACAGGAATGCAAATGCATACACAAGATACACTTTGCGGAGTCTACCACGACATCAAGAACGCAAAGAAAGTGAACTATTTAAATTTGCACATCTGCACACACATACACACTGTTCCACTGCACAGTAATCCAGAGCAAACTGTGTTAAAGTCATAACATCCATTAAAAAAGTGTAAACAAAGTAAAAGACATCAGAAAACAAAACAGGAGAGTAAAACATAAAAGGGTCAGGAGGGGCATGAACTTGTTTCACTGTAGGTTCAAGTCCAGCACAGACCTCCACCTTCAACCCCCCAGCAAAGTGAGAGCTCTTCCTTTCAACTCTCCACTGTCTAGTGTCAAATAAAGCTGAAACGCCATACAACTAACCAGAGAAAAGAGAGAGACGACAGGAGAAGAAAGGGATCTATGAGGCAGAATGAGATGAAAAGAGGAGTGAGGGATTGATAGTGATAAAAAGAGACTGTGATGGACCCTGAGGGAAGAGAGGCAGATAGAAGTGATGTTTATGTGCATGCATGTGTGTTTGTGTGTAAAGGTTTGTATTCATAGCATGAATAATAGCACCCACAGAGCTTTCTGCTAGAGCTGAAACACACACATACACACAATACCAAAAATACATATTTCCACATGCAGTCAATATAACATGGCTCACACTTCAGACCAATTAACAATACATGTCAGTCTCTCACACACTAACCCGTTCCAGGTGGCGTTGGCACCGGCCCTCCTCTGCTGGGTCCCTTTGTCCCTGCTGCACTCCTCCGCCAGTCCTCCAGTTATTCCTCCCTTATCGCCTCCTCCTCCTGCTGGGGTTCTCGCCTGCGACAGGTCGGTCAGACTGGAGGATGAGCCACTGCCTAACCTCAGCTTGCTGTGGAGACTCCTCGAAATCCAAAAGACAAAAAAGAGAGAAATAGTAATAACCAAAAAAAACTCTAGTCCGTTGTCGTACTGGATGATATTGGTGGAAACACTTTTCATCTATGCTAGTGGATTCCAATCAAAGTACATAAAGTGTATAAGTCATTCAAAGACAATAATTGGTGTTTTGTAACCTCAAATGTTTTGTTGGTAAAATGCACGTACAGTCTATCAAAAACATACTCTTGCAGGATGTGCCCTCTTCATGCTTGTGGTCTATGCTATATTAAGGATCAAGGTACCGGACTGAACAGATAGAATGCAGCAACAACACCTACATAAACTGCTAAAAAACCCAAGTAATTCTTCCTGATTTTAACGACTGACAACATAAGCATTTATTGATGGGTGATTTGTTTTTATTAGCCATCTGTTAATGTTTACACAAGCTGAGGTACTATACTGCTTTGTAAACATACAGTAGAGAGACAAGTAGGTACAAGGGAGAGTGATCAGGAGGAGGGTGAAGTGAGTCAACCTGAAGGAGGAAAATCTAAATAGAGAAATTAGAGAGAGGAGAAAACTGGAGTGGGAAAAAGGTGGAAAAAGTAAGACAAAATGACGTGGGGGTGGAGAGTAGGAAAGAGGAAGAATGAGGATGAAAGAAGGGATGAAGGCACTTTACACAGCTTGGAGGAGCTACAAAAAAAGTCAGAGCAGAATAGACAAAGAGAGTGGAGTGTGGAATGGAGATTGAAAGTGCAGAGACATGATGAAGATGAAAAAAGAGGCGAGAGGAGGAGTTTATACAGTCAAGAGAATATGCACCAAATATTCAAACAGAAACAAATGTCAACAATGAGTTTTAGTAATAAGGAGTAGTGGAATTTTTAAATCTTAAAATAGACTCAAACCTACTGAAACTGTAGATTTAATCACATGCAAGTTGTTGTAATTCTTCAAGTGAATGTGTGTGTTTGTGTGCGCTCAAGGTTTAGACCTTGAAAGTAAGGACAAACAGTTTGGAAAGGGGATAGTGAGCAGCAAGTTGGCCTGTCCTAACTTCAACAAAGGGCCGGTGAATTAAGAACTGTTGGATTTTTAGGTTTAGTTTTAGTTTAGGATATGGGTTGGGGTTAGGAATAAAGTTCTGGTGTTTAACACTAGTGGCTAAGTAAGATATTATATCAATGGGGGCCCTAAAAAGTACAAAAGAAGAGGAACAAAGTATAAAAGTGCGGTGTGAAACAGAACCTGACTGAAAATGAAACTAGTGTGAAACAATTAAATGTCGAAATAAAAGTATATATCTTATATGTATAGTCGTATGTATAGTATATACACAGTTCCTTATATTAACTGCTACACTGTCTACCGTACAATGAATGAAAAAGACTAATCAGCCATTTCTGCAAAAGTTGAAAACACACACATATGCACATTATACTTACTCTAGTAACTGAAAAGATACCACATATCCCCACTCCATGAGTGTGTGTGTCACACTGAACCGAACGACAGGTGGATGAAAGAGCATGAAGATAGGGGAGGATAAAAAGTGTCTCTGTCCTCATGGGTCTCTATCTCACACTTTCCCCTTTTAATAGTTTTTTTTCTCCCTTGTTTCATTTCTCTGCCTTCTACTTCTCTCTCCTAATTTTCCTACCTTTACTGTTTCTATTCTTCTCTACCCTCTTCTTTCTTCCTCCCTTTGCCAGTCTGTGCCAGTCGGTGACCATGTGACCCGGTGAGCTTTTGTGCCCAGCAAACAAAGCAACCCTTTGAGGTTCCAGAGCTGCCAAGAGGGAGGGGAAGGATTTAAAGGTGACACACATTTCACTTCCTCCTCCTCTCTTTCTGTCTGTGTGGGGCCCAGAACAGATAAAAGTTGCATTCAATCTGTATTCATCATGTTTGCCAATTCACTAATCCCTGTTCAATATTTCTTTGTTTATCACTCAGATTTGATCTGCTTTTACTTTCATCCGCTGTGGAACTATTTACTTTTCTTTGTTTTAAATACATTTGTAAGGACTGAATGATTGAATTTATATGAATTTGGAGACAGCAATAAAAAAGGAAAAACAAGGGGCTAAAAGGTAAGATAGAAAGTGGGAAAAACAAAAAAGAGGGAATGGAAAATCAGAGGCGTGCAAAAGAATATGGCAGGGAAGAGGAGAGAAGGTGTGTGTGTGTGTGTGTGTGTGTGTGTGTGTGTGTGTGTGTGTGTGTGTGGGTGTGTGTGTGTGTGTGTGTGTGTGTGTTTGTAGGTCCGTCTGTCAACCTGCATCTTAGTTCAGCTCCACATAAATAGGTCAGTGTGAGAAACAGGAGCCCTGGGCTTAGACACACACACACAAACACACACACACAAGGAGATCTCTCTCTCTCTCTCTCTCTCTCTCTCTCTCTCTCTCTCTTTGAAACACACACACACACTTCTTGTGTCTGTCAAAGTGAGGATGAGTTTCCAAATTCTCTCAGAAAAGGTGCAGTGTTGTACCTTGTGCCACTGAATCTACTGACACTGTCAGAAGTTTTCTCCTGAAGAATGGATGATGCAGAAGCAGAGGATACAGAGGAGTAAATACTGAGCTACAAAAGTGTCTAGAGACAATCCCACTGCTGATGGAAAAAGGGATATATTTCTACATTTGCGTAAATTAAAGGATGCTGTTAGAAGGAAGTTCTTGTTTTTTGGCCCTGAAACAACAGGAAGAGTTGAGAGAGAAAACGCTGCGGTCTAATTACTAAACAAAGGAGGATAAGGGGGATGTTTGCATGAATGAAAGAATGAATGAGGTCATTCAGGAATGTGTGAGTGTATGTGTGTGTGTTTTTCACTTTCATCTACCTTTGTGTGTCCCAAAGGACTGGGACAAAGAGAGAAAAAGTACTGGAGCTGCAGTGAGACTCTGCGCACACACTGAATGAGACGTGCCGGCTGAAGTGTGTGTTTTGTTGTGTGTGTGTGTGTGTGTGTGTGTGTGTGTGTGCGTGTCCTTACCTCCTAAATGAGCCCTCGCGCTCCATGTTAGCCTTGACAGACAGCCGCGACCTAGTGACCGCCCTGCAACCACCACCAACGAATCAGCATCTGTAAAAGGAAATAATCAGAACTACTGGTAAAAAAATCAACAACAAAATGATCACCAACAAACTTAATGCACTTGTTGATTTTCTTTTTCTTTACTTTGTCAACTCCCGGTGAAAGCATCAAAAAAAGACACAGTGGCAGAAAGAAATGCACACCCAAACCTCCACAAAGCAACACATACACTGCACCAATTTTCACTGAAATTGTTTAATTTTGCTCTCACTATGATGTGACAGATGCTTCAACTGCATAAAACATTTGCACATAGTGGTTTCAAAGACAATTAGGCAGTTAGCCTAGCATAGCACTTCCTATGTTGTTAAAATATGAGATGCTGGGACGTCCGGTGGCCTAGATCGATTCAAGCCCACGCCGTTGTTGCATGTCATAGCCCATGCTCTCTGTCCCTCTCTGTCCCTGCATTTCCTGTCTGTGTATCTACTGGCACTATTACATAGAGACTAACTGCCCAAAAATAATATATGTGTATAAACAAAATATGAGACGCTGGAATGTGCTCTGTAACCGTTGCAATAAAACAGTACAGCACCAAGTCAGACAGATACAGTAAACTGACACTCACAGACAGTAAGTCAGACAGACAGACAGACAGACAGGTGTCTCTCCTCATCAGTAGATAACAAGACACAGTATTCTAATCAAATTACGATAAAGTGGTTGAGACAGAAATTTGATCCCAGCACGAACTCAAATGCCCCTGCTCTCTCACTCACACACACACAGACGCACACACACATGCCCACACACGCACACACACACACACACAGAGATAGATAGAATGACACATATACCAGGCAGGTTTGTAGTACAGGGCCAAACAGGGTAAAGCTGAGGCTTCCGCATGACCTATATCACTGTCTCAACCAAGGCAATGTTTTTGCTCTTCATTTTCTTTGCTCCACAGCCTTGTAATGGTCTCGATAAAATGTGCAGCATTAAAGTGTCAGGGAATTACGTTACAGTTGCAGCGATGGTTTTAAACTTTTGGTTGCAAAGCATGCATGCAGGCAACGTTACATCAATCAAAGCTTTGTGTTGTTTTATTTTTCAAAATGTGCTGTGGTTGGGCTTTAGGCTTGTGGGCACTGGTGAAGGTGAGGTCTTTATCAGGGCAATAACAGCCTGTTTATATGAAAACTGTAATATGTTTGTCCGCTTGGCTAGTAATGACTCTCCAGTGGTTCAGGCTTTACTTCCTGGAAATTGTATTTGTCGCTATGCAATATAAACATGTACCTGCTGTTGCCTGGTGGCTACAGTTATACAAATTACATAGTCTATCCTACATTATCTATTTATGTCATTTTTATCATCTAATTTTATTTTGTAATTTCTCTGTGGAGCAACATGAAGCAGATTTTAACCTTCTATTCGAATGAGGACTCACAAACTAAGCGTAGTTTGTATATGGTAAAAAAAAGTGAATGATATTATACCCCTAGCCTCTGTCTAGATGGATGTCTGTGTCACACTTGGCTCTGCAGAAGTCTGAATGACAAACATTCACATCTAACTCTTATTTCTGCCACACTTCAGTGTGTTTGAATGCCTTGCTTCAGGGCTGTTAGACTGTAGTTACACGAACTTTGGTTATGGGAGCTTGAGAGTGTTTCGTGTTCCGCCTCTGGCCAGATTTTCGTGAGCAGTCCAGCGAGCGAGCTCCCACTCATTTAAAATTCTGACTTCTCTGAGTGTAAAGCCTACTCCTCCTCCTCCACCTTCTCCTCTTGCCTCTCTCTCTCTCTCAGTAGACAGTTTTCATTGTAAGTAGATATCAGGGACCCCACTGCTGAAAATTAACACCCATAATCTGCTTCAGCTGGAAACCACACATGCACACATACACCATTCTGCAGACTGGCACAACAGGGAAATTACAACCCTGCACCACACAAGTGTAAGAGCAAGTGGTGCCTGTGTCTTGCAGCAGGTTTGTCTGCTCTACCGGTCTCTGGCAGAAAACCAAACCACAAGTTGGATGTCCTGCTGTGCAAATCATTGGTGTCTGTTTTTAAGAGCTCCCCTACTCTCAACAACAGTCTTCAAGTATGCCTCTTATCTACCTGTGGGCAACTAGTGTGCAATCCAACACCTTCAATGTATGCAATACACATAAATCCTGGAGTATGAAGATACAGAGAGGGAACCCCCCTTTAGGACGAATTATAATCCTATGGAGTTAAAATGGAAGAAGTATGCCCGTTAGGTTACTTTGGGGCAACAATAAGTTATTCTTAGCTGTCTGTTCTTCTGTCAGTATAAAACTGACGAGAGGTCCGTTGCTTTTTCTCAAATTTGGACCGAGTTGATCGATTTTCATACAGTATACTCACTTTTTCAGAAGTCCTCATTGGTGCCTTAGATAGCAAGTGTTCTCTATATTAAAATCCCGCAGCAAAAGCCAAAAATAAACTCCTGTGTTTGTGTGAGGGCTACGCGGTGCTAAACAGTCCACCGTCGCAGCTCGTCAGCGCAGATAACAGCGCGCGAGGGCTGCGCACGTTCTCCTGAAAAGATCCAATGTGTGGACCTGACCCCGCGTGAGCTGCGAACTGTCAGCGCGCGCGAGAGAGAGAGAGACAGCGGCAGAGAGAGAGAGAGAGAGAGAGAGAGAGAGGGAGAGAGAGGTGGGGGAGGAAGTGAGAAGCAGAGAGAGAGAGAGAGAGAGAGAGAGAGAGAGAGAGAGAGAGAGAGAGAGAGTGGATGTGTGTGCGTCGGGCTTTGTGTGTGCAGGGGTCGGCGAGATTCAGCCTATGGAAAGTGTCTGTGGTTTTAGTATGGGTGTTTGAGTAGAAAAGTACACGACAAACACATAACAGTTGAAAAGATAGATAGTCTGTTATTAGATCATAACTCTAGTTTATTAGTGTAGTGTAGTTTGTATTCATTTGTTACTCCATATGGTCATTCTACTGCTGCTACTATAACACCAAATGCCAGTGGTGGAAAGTGAATTTGCTCAAGAAGCCTTCTGAATTTTAATGTAGCCTACTTGAACTTTAATTATGCTACTTTTAGTGACATATGTAGAAAACTTTTCATGGGGAGGCAAGAGTTTTTGGTAATGGGTGATACATACACATTACTTCTGTGGTACTGTACTGGAATACATATGAACAAAGAGAAAACATGACGTCCAACTGGATTTGTGGCATGTGGTAATACAGTGAGCTATTATCAAACAGTTCGAATCAATAAACTCTAATGATGAGCCTGTGTGCTCACATTAACAGATGAATGTTAGCGATCGCCTACTTTCACATATATTTGCTCTTCAGATAAAAATAATATACTACACTGACACTGCTGTTTTATAGATACAATCTCAACCAGAACTTTACCTAAATCACTTCAGAGTGAAAAGTCACTGGATCAAATGAAGGGATCACAAAAGTCCATCCAATAGCTGTAGAGCCATTTCACTCAAAGCCAAAACGTGATGGTGGTCATCCTGAAAGGTAAGGAGGATCACCAAAGTCAGCCAGATTCATCCTCCAGGGATCATGAATGTACAAAATATCATGCCAATATATCCAGTAGTTGTTGAGAAGTTTCAGTCTGGACCAAAATGGTTGACTGACTGAATGACTGACTGACTGGCTGACTGACAATTCCTTCTCTAGAACCACGCGGAAGCGAGAAAGAGAATGAAACGATTAGACGCAGCTTTATCAGCAGGTTGCAAACATTGGGAGTCTTTGTTGTCAGCAGATTGGACTCCCATCATGTTTAATTTATAGAGAAATAATTCACAGCCAAACCAATACAACAGCAGCCCACACACCACACTGGACATTACACTGAGTGCTTTTACTGCCGACAGAGAAGGCCACTCAGCAGCTACACAGGCTTCTGTGTGGGTTTTTATGTGTGTCTGTGTGTGTGTTTTCACGTCAGAGCCAACTTGCATTTACTGCACACTATCTAATGTACAGATCACTGCATTACCCACAGAGCCCACTGTGTCACATCAGACAAACTGCACCCTGTCTGCAGAGACTGCATACATATGCAATTGTACCCGTTTTATTGATAGTGCATCTCACAAACGCACAGACACACACTACGCTGTCCCTCCCACTGTAATAAGGAACATGTTTATAATAGCAAAGTCTACTGGTCAAGGCCAGATTGTATCTTGAAAGTTCTCAGGACCATAAAACAACCACAACCACACACACACACACACACACACACACACACACACACACACACACACACACACACACACACACACACACACACACACACAGGCATCTGGAAAAATACAGCTCACCCAGTTCACTAATCACTTAACATTATATAAACAGTGTCACTAATGTCTCTGTGTACACACACACACACACACACACACACACACATCTCTGGCATACACACTGTATTTTGGCACATCTTTATATTGTACAATAAACACAAGCCTGTATTTAATGCAGACTGGTACACAACATATCACATGTCAATCATTTTCTACACTCTGAGGATGTGTGTGTGTGTGTGTGTGTGTGTGTGTGTGTGTGTGTGTGGATGTATTTCTCAAAGTTTTGGGGACTTAAATCTGTTAACACAATAACATTGTGGGGACTTCACTTCCTTCTGGGGACAGATCTCAAGTCCCCATAACGTAAATCATTACATACACTAGAAGGATGTTTTCACATGTATCTGCTGGAAGTGGAAAGTTTCTTCTTTAAGTTTTAAGGTTTTAGGAAATGTTAGGTTAAAAAACAGGCGGTGTATGGGTTAGGGTTAGGGTTAGGCAAGTAGTGGTTATGGTTAGGAGAAGTCTAAGTAAATTAATGTAAGTCAATGGCATATCCTCTGAAGTGATGGGAAACATGACTGTGTTTGATCAACCACATGTGACCACCAAAAACCTGCATGTGAGTGTTTAGGGACACGCTCTTACCCTTATGCTTACAACTAGTGTGGGCATATGTGTGATTGGATAATGTGTAACTGTTTATGCAAGTGTGTATTTTGATACCAGGATATACAGGATTAACCTGCATTGTAACTTAACACTCAGTCATCCTGAATGTGTGTCATTTCGTCATTTACCCTACAATTTATTCAATGAGAGTTTGCTACTAAAACCAATTTTTAGTTACCAATTGTTGGGATTTTACTTTTTGAATACGGTCTATTCCTAACTACACTTTCAGGTTAAACTTTTTAACTTTCTGCAGACTTGTCACTGCTTTTCTGTTTCTCTTTCACAACCTCTTTCTAATATGGTCTATAGCAGGCAATTTGTTCTTTTACAGCACACTTTGAAGTTGATTTTAACAAGGAAGCTGTAGGTTCAGAAGCCACAAAGCATGCTGCAAGAGTGTACAAGCCTGTGCATGATAATAATTATAATTTTATATAATGACAGTAAGTGTACTGTCATTCAATAATCAAATGTGGGTGTTTTAGTTATTAAAAAAAAATCTTATGTGGTTCCTTATAAGTGTGAAACCTGTAAGCTCATATCAGGATGAGTTGCTCTCAGTCTCACATTGTGACGGCTTCTCCTTCCTGGTTACCGTTGCCATGCCAAATAGGTTGAAAAATTGCAGAAGAAAAAAAAGCAGCAAAAGTACAAATTCTGTAGTTTCACTCACAGACATTCAATTAGTTGATGCTCTTACATCCGTTGCCACTGAGGGAGCAGGCAGACGTTCAGTGCCTTGCTCAATGGCACTTCATCAGGACAAAGTGTCTATTCCAGGCACTCAACTGGTGAGCAGGAGATACACTGTTTGTTTGTGTTCAGCAACCCTCCATCTCCTCCAGTCTATTTAAACACACACAAACTCACATTAGGCAGACGGACAAACACAGACAGGGAGACACAGACGCACGCACAAAACCACATTTGGACAGGAAAAGCACTTAAAGCGCAGGTAGTACTTTTACCAGAAAATATACTGAAATACAAATGCACAAAAACAAATGCACACGCATTCTGTCCGCAGACTAACTGGTGCACCATTTAAAACTTGGTGCCATGTTAATCTGGGCAGTGTAAACAGACGAGGGGAGAAAAGACACTCTCCGGCCAAAGGAAACAGCAGCAGAAACCTGTAATGACTCCACTCAGGAGCCCACATCGGCAAGCACAAGCCTGCAGCCTTTGCTTACACAGCTACACGATTACACTAAACACGGCTAGGTTGCAACATCATCGCTACTGCATACGGGAAGGATGGGATTTTTCATTAAATCAATCCAACACTGTGAACATTCAGGTGATTATTCTTCCTTTACTGTGTTTTATGTTGAAACAAAGAAAGGGACTTGTCTCAAAATGATCTCACACCATTTTAACCAAACATTTTAACAATAAAATGCACTTAATCTTACTGTACTCACCAACATGCATAATCAAGTCTCAGTTCTTTCAGAACTTTGAAATAATTCATTTGATTCTTCTTATGTACTCCTTATGTACATTATAGCAAAAGATCAAATCAGGTCTTTTTCTTCAATTCATCACCTGAGAGTAATTTAGCAAAATAAAAAAGTACTGTCAGACAGTCTATTAACTTGGTTGAGAAATTGAGCACAGTCAGTACAAACCTGTATTTACCCAGCTCATAAGTCAGCATAAGTGTTCAGCAGCATCCGGGGCCACACTGGTCACAGTCCAGCTGCAGTTAAAGGTTAAATGCTTCCTTCAAGGGCAGCAGAAGGTAACTGGAAAGCAACTACTACATTGATGAGTAAATCAATTAGTGAATGAGTACGAGGGAGAAAAGAGGGGGGATAACAAGCAGGGAGACATGGCTATGTAAATGTATTTACTGAAGTTTGTGGTAATGAGAAATCATTTAATTTTAAGATTAGATTTTTGCCATTAGATGATCTTTGCAAACTATCAGAGACAGACACTTGATTCCAAGTCCTGCAGGTGTGTTTACAGGTACAAGAAATGCAAGGGTGACTTTTGTTTTGTAAACACACACGCAAACACACAGTCGTCCATTAGGCCCATATGGAAACTCTCAGTCAGCTAAAAAGGTTATGTAACAGGTATTTCTCTATGTTTGTATATATTAGGAAAAAAATCCCTGGTTGGTACCGCCACTGCAATAACAACTAGTTTAGACATGTAATACCAATGTAGTGAATGTTACCATGTTAAGATAATATAACTACAGTATTACTCATGCTATTTCTCTTTAGCTGACAATAGCTTACAGTTTAAAAGTCACACTCCCAAAATCACACAGCAGACTATTTGGACTATCACATATGTTTGTGTAGCCTTGTTAAACAGTCATATATCATTGTCAATTTTATTCTCACATGTTGATTTAAAGACTACATTTCCTATAAACAATGTCTCAAAGAAAATGTTCTTCTCGTTTATATTGCTCAGAATGTGTTTGTCTCACTGTTTTCTTTACTGAAGAGGAAGTCATTTTATCTACTGTTTCTTTAATTTCATCTGACATTGTGAGAAATTCGCTCTAACTATGGTTGAAGCTGGAAGAGCAGCGACCACTTCCTGTTTCGTGCTGTATAACGACCCAGCAGGGTCTTCAAAGTTTGACCTGGTTTCACGGTGTGTAAAAAATATGGGTGTCGCGATTCTCATGCTGACTTGTTATCTGTGGTCCCTGTGGTTTACCTGTGGTTCAGATAGGTCACATTATAAAGCTAAGATTATTGCTTGCCATAGATAATTGAGTAAAACATTTTTTTAATTCACAAGACTATTAAGTGTTCTTAATATGACTCTATAAATGGCAATGTTGGTCAGTTAACTACTTACTTTGGTCCAAATTGAAATATCACAACAACTGTTTAAAGGATTGCAATGTCATTTGGTGCAGACATTCATGATCCCCAGATGATTCATTTTATTTTACCAAATTTGAACATCCCATTACTTCTTAATTTAGTGGCATCATATAAAAATGCTAATTTGTTCATCCCTTTGGTTTATGACCACATACCTGTAAAACTAATAACATTCCCATCAGCCTCAGCTGTACTTTGTGTTCGGTGCTAATTAGCAAATGTTAGCATGCTAAACTAGGATGGTGAACAAACATTACTCCTGCTTAACATGAGCATGTTAGCACTGTTATTGTGAGCATGTTGGCAGCATCATACAGTTTAACAAATCCGCTAGCAAATGGTAATAACTTGAATTAGCCTGTGATTTCAGTGTGATTCTTATTATTAAATATGTGTTCAGTAGGTGACTGACTGGGTGGAGTGTTGTGGCCGTTGACTGGTGATTATTGGTGACTACATGCAGTTTCAGGTTGTATCATTGAACCACGTCTCTACAGTGTCAGGAGTCAGAGGATACCAATCTTCTCTCAGCCGTGCTTTTAAGTGTTTATGGTAATTATAAATGTGCTCCAAAAGTAGTATGACTTACTGTGGTTAAATTATCTCACATGGCACCTTTAAAAAGCTCAAGTCAGTGAAGAGTGTGGTGGAGCCACTTAGAAAGAACACATAAAAACATGAATATGTGACAAAAGATCCAACTCAAACTCAAATTTTTTTTCTAAATATTGTGAATGTCAACATGTCGAGGTTTTACATACATAGTACATAGATTAAAACTGAATTATTTTTTTTTACAGTTCATTTATTACATTTACATAAACTGAAGCATAGAACTGGCAGTTCTTTCTGCCTGCAGTCTGTGCATTTGTATCTTCTCCCACACACTACATCTAAAGACCCCCCCCCCCGTTCCTTATCTGTCTCTCAACACCATTTCCCTCCCCTCCCTCCTTCTCTATCAGTGTCCTTTCATTTCATCCCACCATAGAAAAAAAGGCCAACCAACTAAGTGGTCACGACAACAGGATGAATAGATGAAGGCGACATGCAAATGAAAAAGAAAATCCCATTTAAGCTAATTTTCTAGTTTATTTCACCCCCGTTTATTAATCTCTGCTCTCCTCTGTAACTCAAAAACATATTTAAGTCAATTAACGGTATACCTCTGTCAAGGCTGATTGCCTTATCTTCAATGCTCCATTAAGTGCTCAGTGGTACTTGGACTGAGTGTTTCTTAATTATTGGCCTCTGTTTCTGGTGTAAGCGAGGTCATTGTTGTCCTCAGGGCACAGTGAAGGGTAACACCCACAATTCACTAGCCACCCAGCCAAACAGGACCCTAAATGTTGGTAGTTTCCTGCATGATCGAAAGGAAATATCCATACATGAATCAGATAACATCGTACTATTATCAGTTGTAGTCACAGTCAAAATGTTCTGGCATGTGGTGTGTGATAAAGAAGCCAAATATATGTGTGAAAACTGTGTTGAAGGGGGAATGCGAGACCTTGTAGTTGATTGAGTGTGTGAAGTTGTGGGTTTGGTTTCACCTCATGATTGTCACATTTTATGTCCATCCGCTCTGATTTTTACTCCCCGATGAACAGAACAACCTCAAGCATGACGAGAAAAAACTGTGAACTAAACATGAAAAAACCTGAGAAACTCTTCATCTTGTGCGAGTCCACCTGTAAACCGTGCACTTGGCCACCGTTCACAGTAGGGTGAAAACCAAGCAGTACACTGCAAAAAATGACAATTACAGGGAAATATTGTGTTATATATTTATATTTAAATTAGGTTTATTACATGCCACATAAGTCCCAAATATCTCCCTGCATTTGTTGTATTGCCAGGATGAGTAAAAGTAAAAAAAAATAAAAACTCAGGACATATTTAGGAGCAAACATATTTAGGAGCATTAAGATAACTAGATGAAATGTCTTCTGACAAGTTTGACATGGATTAACATCTGCATAATTTTTTGCAGTGCAGTATTCATATCAAAGCAGGAAAACTGCATGATGGAAATTTATTGTTTTAATGTACCGGTAAGTCTCATTTTCCTTCCTCCCTCCCTTCCTCAGGCATCTCTTTCTCTGTGCTGACAATGTTATTTCCATTGTATCCATGGTGACAGATAATAAGGATAGATTCACACCTCACAACGAGCTGTTTCCTGATTGGCCTCGAAGCGAGAAGCTGTTTTATATGGTCTGGATAACAGGAAGGAGGCCAGTATATACAGTAAATCCTGCAGGTTATGCAGTTGAAAAAAGATAAGTGCTGCAGCCATGTGGAGAAGACAAGTACTGCAAAAGGGGAACTGTAAAGTAGCATCTTAATTTCGCTCAGGGATAAGACAAACCTGTCTGTCTTATTTTGATATGATGGGGTGATGTCTAACAATCTTTAAAAAAACGGGGGGGGTAGTTGTTGATGTTTTACACTTCCACTGTATTTTTTTTCTTCTGATTTATTCTATGTTAGCCTAAAATCCTGCCTATAGCCTATGTTTTTATTCTGCCTTCATTTTGTTTTAATGCTATTTTATGACTGATGTAAAGCTGTTTGAATAGACCTTTTGCCATTTTGACATGAGGCTAAATAGGGTAATCACAGGTGTTACCAGAGACACTAATTGGGGTTCTGTCCCATTCAGGTTAGAGCCAAGGTCCTGAAAATTCTCCAAACACATTTAAAAAAACAAGATTATGAAACTTTATCAGTACTGTGCTCTTACAGCTGTGACTGTTTGTCCATGTCATTGCGTACCTCTCTGTCCATCGGTCTTCTATTAAAATTGTTCTGGTATGTTGTGACCCAGACTCCTGGTAAAAAGATAATTTATTGTGAATATTAAAACATAAACAGCAGTCATTTCTATATTCATACTGATTTAAAGTCCAGTCACTGCAAATCATTTAAACAACTTTTATTTATTAAGTTTTTACAAATAAAGTAACAAATTTCATTGTATTGTAGCGCAAAGCGCAAAGTTTTTTTTAATATGAAGCTTGAACACTCTATACTTAGTGCAAAACATACCTTTAAAGGCTGCCGATGACTCCCTACATGTATTTTGTTTGTTTTTTCTCTCATTCATTCGTCCATGTTTTTTTTTTTTTTATCCAACCACTTTGTACAATGTCAAGCACGATACAGGAAAATGAAACCACTGAATTAAGTTAGGTGCCGCTATAAAGACATTAAAACTGCTGATAAAAACAAGTGAGAAATAAAAAATAAAACATGAGAGCATCAGAAACATAATCAACACGTTCAGTAACAGTCTGAAGGAGAAACTGTTGCTGTGCTCGAGACTCGACATCATTCCACAGGAGCAAGCTACATGAAACGGCAAGGAGATGCACTGAATCAATCAATCTGTGTGTGTGTGTGTGTGTGTGTGTGTGTGTGTGTGTGTGTGTGTGTGTGTGTGTGTGTCACTGAAGGCATTTTGTTAACATGTGGGCACTTCTACAGTAAAAAGCATAAAAGGTTAGCAAGTCCTGAACAGGCAAAAACTGTGAAAACTGAATCTAATGTGTTAGTCTATTAAAAATAACTATTGCTACACTATGTGTGTGTGTGTGTGTGTGTGTGTGTGTGTGTGTGTGTGTGTGTGTGTGTGTCTCACCAGAAAAAGAACCCTACTAGTTTACAAAACTTCACAATAAGAGTGCTTGCACTGGATAACTCTTGAGCCGTTCACAGTAAAACTCCATTAAAAAAACTTCACAAAAATTGCACCCACTGATGTTTAACTCTGGAGTGTTAGAAATAAGAGTCCTCCAGCAAGGTGTAACTGTCAAACACTACCTCAGAGCTTGATAGCATACTGTAACTTTAAATAATATTGCATTGTAGTAGGCATTCCTTTCATAGTAATTACATAGTAGAGACACAGCAAAGTACTATCTTCTACTGTGGAAATCATTTGAGGCTCGAGCAATTGCAAAGTGAAAATCCAGGATGTTACCTGGCAACCAAACCAGCTCCAGTGAGTAAAAGCAGGTAAATACACTCAGTTTTCTTTTTTAATTCTTTACCCCTCATGTTTCCACTCCACTAACAAAGAGTCAAATGGCACTGAGTTGGTGGCAGTTGGTTTGACAGATCATGATAAACAGGATGCTCATAACCAGAACTAAAGCAAAGTGGCTCAATGATTATTCACAGCTTCAACCAAACTTGCCTAGTAGTAAAAATGTTGCATTATTATTCATGAGAAATGGAAAAACATCCCAAAAACAGGCAAAAGCGATGCTATTTTTGTACAAACTTTACAAAGTAACCTTTTTATGTTTTTATGTGAATCCAGAATACCCATTCCCAGCAACAACAAAAAAAAAACAACACAAAATACGTTAAGTGAATGTCAGAGTTTGTACCAGATATGCGTCATTTGCACTGACAAATGAAAAGAGAAAAGGAGGACAGGGTGTCAAAGGCCTTGAATCTAATAGCGCCATAACTCCATTATCACCATCACTTCCATCATCACTACCAGCACAATCATTATAACCACCACCAACACCACAACTAGCACTGTGATGCCCTTATGTTCAAATATTTGTTTTCGTTTTTTGGTTTACAGTCATTTCTGTTATTAAAACCTATTAAACCTCAGTGGTACAGCTTCAGACACATACAGTGGGAAAAGGAGTGGATGAGACAATATTCACAACTTTTGAAGACATGCTTTTTTTGCCCAATAGCAGAAACTCTCAGATGAGGAGGCATTACCAACCAAATCTGTTTCTGGCCTCGTAAATACTGATAATAACAAGGTGCAAAATGGCTCCTACAATGATTGTTCACCTTTGTTTAGCTTTTCACTTTAAGGCCCTGGAAACTTATTTTCTCAATCAGTTTCTTAGTGATGGGTTCCTACATGAAAAAATGATGCCAACATTTTGATAGACTTAAATTATTATTAGTTATTTTCAATGAGAGATTTCTGTATTTCTGTTTCTCTGTTCTCTTCTCACTGGTGGGCAGGGCTCAGGTGGAAAAATTAACTTCCTTGCCTCAATCAAGAAATAGCAAACTCTGAATCAGAATCTGATGACGGTGGGTGTTTTTTGGTCTTTGCCAATCAAATCTGATTCAAAACACACCCACAGAGTCCTGACAAAGCAGAGTTTTAGAGTGTTAAGCTTAAGAAATGCTTATTTAGCCATGAATATGTAATGTGGAAAAAAGTTTTCAGGGTCTTTAAAGTCTGTAATGCATAGTAACTGTATAGTAAATATTCTATTTGGGCATGTGATCATGGCTCTGTAGTCAGTCTGGGGCTTTTCCACTGTGTTGTGGTAATTTCACTGCAAATCCATGTGAAGTTTACAGTAGATGTGCCTTTATAAAGTTAGTGAAACAAACTATTGTTTCTCTCTGGCAAATGTACGCACTCGCTATTCACTGAATAATAATAAAATTGTGCTCAAAACCAGGGCAGGAGACTTAGTTTTTTTTATCCACAGGCCACAGCATCAACATGCGTTTTGGTAAAAACATAAATCTATAGGACACTAGAGATATGTCATTAAAATAAACTTTAGTTCACTATACCAATGCGTCCTCTGCTGACTGTATCCTGCACCAGGGCCAGTGCCCCTAAAGTACAGAGTGGTCCAAGCTTCAAATACAATCTTCAATAACTTCCTCCTTGAAACTTATAAAATATTCTCATCTCGTTTTTTTTCTTCCCAATATCTACATTTAAAACCCTGAAAAAATGGCACTGATTAACTCATGTTCTCTCCATCTTTTATCATGTTGGTGGTGTAACCGGGCCGTAGACACAGTCAATTCAAAGAGCTAAGTTATATGGTTAATAGTTACGATTTTCAGTTTTTCAATCCATGGGGAAACAGTCTTGTTTTTTGGAGGAAGATACACTCTCAATTAGTTGAAATCAAACAGAATTAACCACAAACCAGCTGTAGTGCACACAGTAGCAGCTAACGAAAGCCATTATTACCGCATCTCCACCAATCTACTGAATGCCTGCTCCACTAACACCAGGTCCAATCATCACCACTGACTTCAAAGCGGCACCCAAAAACTCTCCACACATGCTGTTAAGTGTGCTTACTTTAACCCGAGGCCTCAACCCCACAAAGGAACAAGCAACAGGAAGGATGCAAGGCACTAGTAACCACCTCCAGTATTCACCAGAGGCTCTAGGGGTCGGGGGTCAGGGGGAAGCAAAAGAAAGCAAAAAGAAAAGACAGACCTTTTTTTTCAAGTACATTAAAATGGACACCATTGGTTTATACATTCACATTCATCTAACAAAACCAGGGGAGAAAGGTTAGAGGAGGGCTATTTAAAGTGTCTGATATATAAGTACTGTATTAAGAAAAAAAATAGCTAGCATTACTTTATTATCTAAATATCAACTATCCTGCCGTTCACCCCGGTTTGTCTTTGTAATCGGGCTTGGAGGTCAGTTTCAACTTTCAATTCAATCAATTATAAAGATGAACTGAAACTGCAGTTGATTAGTTGTTGATAAGGCATCTGGTTTGGATAGTGTCCTCAGTAACTGGATGTTAAGAGGATTATTGAAAAGAGGGATTTAAATTTTTTTCACATTTTGACAAGAATCCATTTGCTGAAAGCAGTGAATTGAAAGTGAAAGGACCCCAAAACCGTTCTCTGTATGCTTTTGTTTTTTTGTTTTTTATTTGTGACATTTCACCCTAAAACTAATGTTGTCCAACAACATTTTCTAATAATAAACAACAATAATCACAGTGTTTCCACATCGTACACCGATGTGCGCGTATAACAGGTCCATCGACAGAACACGTTCTTGTTTTTGTTTCTTTTTAAATAGAATAATAATCATTAACAACAATAATCATGACAATAATGTACATTGCAATCATTTCAACACAAATGTTGAAACCAACCTAATGATGGTAATGAGAACTGAGGCATTACTCTGTGAATCTATGTCTGTTAAACGGCTACAACACCTCCAAAAATGTGCATGTATTTACATGAGTCTGGCTGTGTGTGTATGCAGGTGTGTGTATTTATATCAATGTCTCATGCGTGTGTGTGTGTGTGTGTGTGTGTGTGTGTGTCTCAGATTGCTAGCTGGGGGCAGCAAGCAAAACAAACCCAACAAAACAAAATAAAACAACAAAATGGAATCATCATAGCTGACATTCTAAAAAATAAACAGAGACACAAACTGTACAGGGACTCTATATTATTCTGATAACAAGGCCACTTTTTCACGCTGAGTTCTCTCATGTTTGGGCTTTTTTTCTCTAAAAGGTTTCTGCTGTTATTGCTTCAAATGGCAACAGAGAGTCGGAGAGAGGGATGGAGGAAGAGGTGGTGTCGTGATGGTGAAGAGGCGTTCGGTGTGCAGAAGCATCTGTCATGTCCATTTAGTACTTTAGCAATGGCGCGCACACAGCCGGTATGTTCGTAAAGTAAGCAGTGGAACACGAAACAGATGAGGTGTTTGACTGTTATTTAACACAAACACCTGCTTGCTGCTCTCCCTCTTCGTCTACTTTCTCTCCTCCATCTCTCTCCACCTGTTTGAATGACGGACAAACAAACAAGGGAGACAAGACAAAGGAGGTAACGGAGGAGTAGCAACCACGAATCGAAACCCCACCATGTGCTGGACTACACCTATTCTAAACCAAGCTCGAGGTCAGCTCTTTGTTCTTGATTTTTTTGTGCTTTTCATGGTTAAGAAAAATTTCCAAATTCTGAATACTGACGAAAAAACACTTCCTGAACAAGAAAAAACTCAAGAGGCCGCTCTAAACATCTCTCCATTCTGCTCTCAAAACTTTTATGAGCTGCTATCTGCAGCCTTCCTTGTACGAATTCATTTGAGGGATGCAAAATGATGCAAACAGCTGGCAGAAAACTGCCGCCGCTTGATTTCAGAGTGATGAACACAAAGAAAGACAACCTTAATGCGATGTGTTCCCTTCTGTCAGTTACCTTAAATAAAAGTGTGAACACAAGGGCTAAAAGTGGCCACCACATTCCTCCACCCCCAACCTGATACAACTCCACTGTCTCACAAGGGTGATTGTTTGACCTGCCTTGTAAAGACTTGTTCACTTAATTTAGAGCATGAAATGGAACAAGTGTGACCGAGCCATAAGTGCCTATACACGATACCTTACACACAAACAGTAATTAACGCCAATCCTGCACCCTGTCAAAACCTCTTTGGCCTTTTAACATTGCACTCATGAGTCTTTTCCTTTATCCTTGAGCATTTGGCTGGCTGTCACAAGTCAAACACAGTCAAACACAGCAGAAAGGGAGATTGTGTGACTGCATTTGGTTCTGTGACAACTGCAGATTCATCACACTATTTGTGGAGATGGCCACATCGCATTCCTGATTTCTTCTTTCCTCCTCATTTCCTTTTTTCCTTTCTCCTCTTAAACAGGTAAGCTCTCATACTCATTTTCAAACTCCCTGCTCTCCACATTCCTCGCAAGTTCTTCCATCCTCTCCGACCGATCAAGCGCATCAGACTCTGTTCCACACCAATCCAGTCCAGTCGGGCCGTGATTCAAACCAGCCCTCACCCCCAGCCCTACGTGGTCCTCAGGTTGGGTCCTCCTGGGTTGCTGACTGACTTCTGCAGAGTGTTGGTCAGATGGAAAGCCTGGAGTGGCCCCTGCCCGGGAATCTGGCCCTGTCCACCAACCGTGGTGGGATAGGGGCCCAGGGGCTGGGAGGTGCTGACAAGTAGAGGCCCAGGCTGTGCAGGGGCCTGGTGTGGGGTTGACAGGCTGTGAGCAGGACCAGACCATTGTGCACTGTACGCAGCGGTGGGGGTGTAGTGGATGAACTGGGGAGGTTGGGGTTGAGGTGGAGTGGAGGAGGCAGGGGGTTGGCACAGGGAGCCCTTGCGAGCGGCCAGAGAGGTAGCGGTGGTGGAGTTTGTAGGGAGGTGGGCTGAACCTCCAATGCTGCTGGTACACAGCTGGCTGGGAGCAGAGTACTTCCTGCCCAGACTGGCTGACTGGATAACCTGGAGAGGTGGATATTTTACACAAAGAAAGAGAAAAGTTTATTCAAGCTAACACTGGCCTTTCTTCTCTTTATTTTAAGACCTTATATGTATACATTATATTACATAAATACATTTTTTGAATTATTAGCTCAATCTGTAGTCCTGTCTTGTAGAGGGGCCCTAGTTTTATTATTTTAGTTAATACTGTACACGGTGCATGTTCCAAAATAAAGTTATCAAGTTACCACCAACTAATTAGGGCACATAAACCTGGTTGATATTGTTACAGTACAGAAGCACTGTATGATCTGTGGGTCTGCCATGTATGGAGGTGACAAAGGAGGATGTACGTGCACAACAGCTAATCCGGCCATGATGTGATCTGGTGTATTTTTAAACTAACCTCGTAGCTGTGTCCCTGTGCTGGGGCCTGCTGCAGCTGTTTGGCACTCCTCTTCCCCTGAAAAGGTTTTAATATTTAGTTCAGTTAGTTTTACAATACGTTTTTAAACAGCAAAAATTAATCACAAAGAACAGTTATTTTCTAAACCTTAGGGATAAATAAAGACAAAGAAATGTAACTGCAGAGGGTTTTAAGTTCGTTAAAATTTGAATAAAATGCTTCACATTTCTTATGAAAAACAGCCTGGAAAAATGTACGCTGTGCAACGGTATCTACTACTGGATGTTCCCAGAGCTTGACTTAAAGTAAAGAAATACCAAGCATTTGCTGTCTCTACTCTTAACCTTTGGAGTATTAGATTAGATTTAATCAAGCAGAATTTTCTTACAAAACTTCTCAAGACTAACTTTTCTTTTCTTAATTGAGGTTCTGGTCAATGCAAACACAAATAAAGAGCCAAATGGATGCAGGACCTGGTAGAGATTTACAAAACATATCATCAGCCAAATGCCGGTAGGTTTTGGCAGAGGTTTGTTTATTCTCCCAGTCACTTTGGCTTTTAACAAACCACCATTTAGAGTTTAGTTTATTTCCTCTATCTGTCTTCTTGTCCGGTAAACTAAATACAGGCACTGGTGAGTCACTGCTTAAGCAACATTTTTACTGTCAAAACAACGTCTGCTTCAGAAAGATGAAACATAAAACAGCAGTAAACCTGTGAGAGGTTCATAGCATCTCTGGCCCAGTTGTCCACCAGTTTATGGAGGTCATCGGTGAAGGTTCCTTTCCTCTGGTGGGGTGCCGACATGTTGGGGGGCAGACACTGAGAACCCCCCTGGCTCTGACCCAAACCACCTGAACCGCTCACTGCATTGGTGCTATTAGTCCCTGTGGAGGGAGACGGAGAGAGAGAGAGAGAGAGAGAGAGAGAGAGAGAAGGAGAAGAGCAAAGAATGTGAGATACTGTTAAAACTAGACGATGATAATTCATGTTTTTCTATTTATGAATGGAAATGCGTTTCCTGTCTTGACCATGAAAAGGGGCCGTTACATGGTGACAGAGGCTGATTGGGGCGGGAGTTTTAGGGTAGGTCAGAGAATTATATTGTTTAGTTGTAATGATGAAAATAATGATGGCTGGCGGGAACAAAAAGAAAAACTATGATACTAGAGCAGACATTTCAAGACAGAACATGGGCACTTTTGCCAACAAATATAACAAATACTGAACCTTTTACAGAATATATCATATTATATGCAGCATTCACCCACAAGATGCTCCAACAAGAAAGAAGCAGAGCAAGTCCCGCTGTTGAACACAGTTACCCTTTGTACTGTACAGCTGATCTCCTGTTTTGATTTATTTCTTGACCATTAGATGGCACTCAAGCTCTGTAACAGTTGGTAATTTGCTTTTTAGCCATCCCCTGACCATCAAACTCATCAGAGCAAATTCAATGCAGAAAAAAAAAGCACACACACTGCAAACTGGCCAGGGTGTCTGCTTGTAAGTGCTGTCGTCACATGTAGCCTCTGTTCAATTTAGCATGAACTATTACATGATGCCATAATCATAATCATGTAAGTGCCTCTCTACAAATCAGTATATGCTGAGAGGTGAGAGGAGGAAAATTATAAAATACCTCAACTCTTTGCTACACACTGCTGGTTCAGATGTTGTCACAGAATTTCAGAACTTAATGTTTCACTTCAATCAAATCTGCATCCACAGTACTGCAGAAACAGCCCTCACAACATACAGGTATATTTTTCACAAAAGTACAGTTTTAACATATCATTTAGGCCAGTGAAAGAGTATTGTACTTGTAATTTACTATCATGTATACGGCATAATAATTATTTACTCACAAAATTGTCTTTATTATTATCTCTTTGCTCTAAGGGATTCCAAAGCCATGCTGACAAAATCAGCTTAGCTATGAAATATTTAGATTATCTGTTGGTATCAGATATTACACAAGAAAAGACATAAAATGCAGAGATTGCTGGTAAAAAAAAAATAACAATACAGTTTGAGAGAAACTGTCATGTCATGCTAAATAAAATGGAGGAAAATAAGAATGAGGAGACGCTGAGTCATGACTGACTGCAGCAGCATGGGATTCTGGGCAATGTAGTCAAGACCACAAGCCATGACGAGGGAAGGAGGAGGGGAGGGCAGAGTGGCTAACAGCTGTTCTGATGTGTTAGTGTTTTAACATGTGTGTGTGTGAGCTTGCGGGTGCATGCGCTGTCAGTTTGAATCTGTGATGGCCGCTCAGTTCAGTAATTTCAGTCCTCAAACTGGATGTTGTCGGATCTTTGAAATGTCTGAATGTAAAAATACAATGTCTCTGTGAGTCATACGAGCTGAAATAACTGAATTGAACTGATCTCAAATCTGGCAGAGCATCAAAGTTTGAACCTAAAGGACATTAGAGAGCAGGAGGAAGCGTGGGAGAGCAAGTGCAAGGATGGAAGAGGGGATGGATGGAGGGAGGGAAGACCAAAAAGAGAGATAGTTACTACAGAGCTGGTTGCAGGGGCAGACTTTTTTCACCATCTTCCCTGTGCGGCCGGAAGACAACAATTGGAGGATTGGGAGAGAGTCAGAGTTAAACCCCGCCCACAACACCCGACAACCAAACACAATGCATCCAAGTATGATTATTTGTACTTGAGGTAGTCAATAAACAACACTTTGGGGTTGAGTTGCCCAATAACATCTTTACAGTGAGATCAGTACCTGTCACACAGTGCACTGGGATCAAAACCCCGGAACGTGAAGTAGTTGTTAATTCATGTGCAGTTTTTAAGTGTATGATTTAGTGGTGTGTCTGCTGTGTGTTCTGCACTCTGCACCGTGAGAAAGGCTGACCACAGATGTCAAGTCACAAGACTGCAATTTTTATACACATCAACAACTGCGTAAAGATGCTTTCTTTCTGCAAGGCCAAGATATGTAGGCAACCTTCTGAGGAAGTGCAGACACCAACTTGGTAAACACTCTTGGTTGACAGTTACTGCAGTAGCAACAGACCAGTTAATACCGGAATATAAATATTTTGTAACCAAAGCTTTTAAAGATAATACTTGTGTTTAACAGTAGACTAACCGGAGTCCACTGCCTCAAAGACTTGCTTATGTACTGTGGCTTGAAGATGCTTTTGGGTAACCAACCCCTGATTCTGAGTCCTCTCTACAGCTCACAGGGCCGCACCAGAACTGGGTCCAAATTAGGATTCATATAAAATCCTAAAGTACGCTGTTTCCAGACCTCTGAATTGCTGCGCACATCTCTGATTTGGTCATCGAATTAAAAACATTTAAGTGAAACAAAATGGCAATTCAGTTTTGTTTTCAGGCTGATATCAAAGGTAATTTACCTTAATGAATTTAATGCTGATGTTAGATCACTTTTTTCCTAAGCTACCTGTTTACGAACAATAAGTAAATATCAATAAGACCCAGGTCTGTCTCTCTCCCCTCCTGGCTGTGCAGTGATAGGGGAACAGGTGAGGAGGGGGTGTGGGGAGGGGGGGTGAAAGGGGGTGTGGGGAAAGGAAGGGAGAGAAAGGGTTTGAGCTGCAGAGGGTTCAGAGGCATTCATAAAAATCCCTTCATCAAGCACAAAACATTTAACCAACGCTACATATTATGATTATAATATGATTTGAGAAAAACAATTTCTTAATCACGAAAATATATGAATAAATAAAGACTGATGGCACAGTATTTGGACAGAACTGTTCTTAAACGAATGAGTCATTGCAATTAAGTTAAGTTTTACTAAAACAAAATAAATTTCCTATTAAAATAAAACTGTACGGCAGAAAACTCAAGTCATCAGGTGTCAACTTGTCTTTCCCTATTAATCTCCTTGTTTTCACAGAGGCAAAGGTTAGAAATGGAAGCAGCCAGGATTTAAAATTCAGACAAACAAAACTTTATCGTCTATCTCTAACTTATGTAAACATATAGCACAATATGTGTCTTTTAGCTGCTGTCATATAAGTGTTTTGTCCACCAGCCTAACTGGTGTTCATGCAATATTTTTTAGGTTATACTACTCTAATTGCTATAACATTAAAGTTATAATCCATGAGATTTTCATGAAAACAAACCCATTTTATATTTTTTATGTTAACATTGTGTAATCAATCTCTCTCTCTCTCTCTCTCTCTCTCTCTCTCTCTCTCTCTCTCTATATATATATATATATATATATATATATATTAGTCCTCATTGTTAGTGGCATAAATAAATAAATATTGCATGGAGTAATAAGACAAGATAGAGTAGCCAAAGTGAGCTGGTAAATGGGTACTGCACAGTATGCAGCATGAAATCAGGTTGCTATTGACTGACTTCTTTATCAAAACAATGTGGGTTTGTTTGGCTGCACTGTGAACAGATAGACGCGTATCTCTTCGGTTCTATTTCTGACAAAGAAGTGTCTGTCTGCCGCCCCCAGAATTTTGGGACCTGTTATTAAACTGCACTTGCTTTTAACAACAGTGACCCTGGGTGTCACCCAATTAATCAGGACTGAAATCAGAAGGATTATAACTTTAAACAGGTTAGTGAAACTCAGTTCCCTATCACTAATATCGCTGGATATAAAGATATAAAGATGTTTTATGCCATAGAATCACATTTTCTCATCTGTGATTTGGCTTGTACACTTCACATGACATTATGATTGAACACTTTGCTGTGTCCTTTCTATCAAATATGATGCGATTTTTCTATTTTGAAAAATGCTCTTTAGTACGCAAAGTTGGAACTGAATGTGAAGTTAAGAGATGACTTGTTTGTCAAGGAAAACTATGTCAAAGGAAGAATACCGATAGAAAGATAGCGATAGTGGGAAGCAGAAGATTAAAAAGAAAGTAAAGATGACTATAGGAAGCTCTGGGAATGTACAAAAGACTAAATTTGTCATTGTGCCAATTTCCTGTGTCCTGCAGTTAGCTTTTATATCTGATTTGCCCTTTTTCTTCTGTACCTAAAAAAATTCTTTTCTTAAACATACACAAACAGTAAAAATCAACTAATTGTATCTGCAGAAAGCTGCGAACCTAATTTTAAGGCCCTGATTTGAGCTAGAAATTTAGTTTGGCTTTTAGGTTTTGAGTACAAGTACTTGACCCTGCCTGCTGCAGTGAGAAAGGTGTAAAAGTGTGTAAAAGTCTGCATGCTCAGCTGATTTCGCCTGGGTGAATAAATGTTTTTCTACTAATGCCTGAAAAGCTGACTTCTGCAGGACACTGGTGATATCAGAAGCAGAGGGTCTTCCTCCATCAAATAAGGAAACCCATGGGAAGACAGGACGACTGTGACTTGACAGATATAGGAGTAAAAAAATAAGAACAAAAGTAAGTAAGGACGACGGGTAAAAAGAGAAGAGCAAAGAAATAAAGCGTTACACACAAAGAGCCAAGCAGGGCGTACTCAGAAAGCGCGTCCTCCTGCCGCCAGGCTTGAAGGCCAAACGCTCCGAACCCCAGCTGAACTTTACACAGCCTGAAGAGAGAGAGGAGGGAAGGAAAAGGAGGAGAGAAGAGGTAAGGAAACAGAAAAGAAGAGTGCAGAGAAGGGAAGAGGAGAAGTGAAGAAGATAAGGGGAGAGAAATTGAGAAGAGAGCGACGTAGAGACAAGAGGACAGAGAAAAACAACAGAGATAAACAAGATAGAGAAAAGGGCAAGACAGAAAAGGTAGATGAGAGGGAAGGAAAGAGACACAGGTAAAGGAATACACAGGAAGAATGTAACAATTAGCCATTACACTTTACACAGAGAGAGAAACAGATAGAGAAAGATAGAAAAAGATGTGAGAAATGTCTTGTTGTGAGGGAGACAAACCAACTGCATGCACTTGTGTTTGTCTGTATGCAAATCATTTCTCATGTTGTGGGGAAGCATGTGAGGCCAGTTGCAGACTGGGATTCACAGTCGCATGCCTACCTGGGGTGGGAGCACACAAGCTGGGAACAGAGAGCGCCCCCTCGCTGGTGTAGGCCGAACACAGGTTGTTACTGGAGGGAGAGGGTTTGAGTGGCTGGAGAGTACTGGTGCCCGAATCGGCTAATCCTCCTGGGGCTAACAGAGCCAGTTGGCCGGGGTACATGGTGGGGACGCTCTGGGCGGATAAAGTGCTGCCTGGAGATAGCACAAGGCATAAGCAGGAGAGGACAGGGCAGGAACGACACACCACACGCGCACACACACACACACACACACACACACACACACACACACACACACACACACACACACACACACACACACACACACACACACAGAGATAACGGACAGATGAGACAACAGCCACCCCCAGACAGTTACACAGACGTACACACAAACACACAGAGAAAGACAGACAGGGAAAGCAGTCAGAAATGTTCAAGCTCTGAGCCTGCTCCAGCATACACCCACATGCACGTGTAACCAAGCAGATAAACACACACACACACATATATGTGCACAAGGATGCATAAACACAGAGACGGTGTAATGTTAGGGTAAACGTATTGACCATCCTGTAGTGAAGTGGACTTAAGGTGAATACTTTGATTGTTCACTGTTCAGAGGTTAAATAAATATTTCCTCACCTTCTTCTGGAGGTATCTAGCCATGTTGATATTTTTGGTTTAATTTACCCGGGATTTGATGAGGTGAATGGAGTTTTTCAGTTCAGTTGTTGCAAGGCTGTACTTTCTGCAGGTACAGCCGTGCTTTGAGCTAAATGCTAACGCCAACATGCTAAAATGCTCATAATGCCAACGCTAACATGCTGATGTTTGGTAATGTTTAACATCTGTATTTGTTAGTTTAGCCTGCAAACATTTGCTAATCAGCACTTTATAGCACATTAGCATATATTTATATGTCAAGTTTCAGTGCTTTGATCAACACAAACCAAGTTTTATTCACCGCCATTGTGTCGGGGTGGAGCCAGAAATCTTACAGATAGGTATATCAAGACCTGGAAGAATCAAACCAACCATTGCATGGGTAGTTACCACCAGAAGTAAGTAAGAAACAATGTTTCTTTGGAATTTGGGCTGAACCAACTCTTTAATATAAATGTTTAAACAAGAGCCTACCTGGCTGTAACGGACTCTTGCTGCCATGCGTGGAGCTGGTTCTGGACGATTTGGAGGATTTGCTTTTGGTAGGTCGTCTCCTCCTGCCAGTCAAGGCTATAACTGGAGGGAGCACTGTGGCTGGAGGAACCTACACCGTGACCAAAGGAAAGAACGGTTGCTTGCTACATACTGTATGTGATGTGATGTTTCTAATGTCTGCACTGATGTAACCAAGGTGAGTTACCTTTCCCAGCTTGGTAAAGAGACAGTCTATTTCGTCCTTCTGGCGGGAATGGAGGGCCTGAATCTCACGCATGTGCCTGGTGGTAGAAGAAGGGAATGAAAAATATGAGGAACAGGCTTAAGAAAGTAAGTAATAATGAGGGTGAGGAAGCAAGGAGAGAGGGGGAGGGACTAGTGTTCTGTGAAGTGCTTAACATCTCTTTTCAAGAAAAGAAGAAGAGAAAGAAGTAATGAACGAAAGTGAGTTCTTGACCTCATTCTTGAGGGTGAGGAAAGAGGAAAAGGAAGAAGAGAAAAGAGAAGCAGAGCACAGCCTTCTATTTTTGGGGGCACAGAGGGAGGAGAAAGACGAGAGCAAAATCTAGTTTTCTTCAGAGCAGTTAACCTCACTAACAGAAGTGTTGATAGGGCAACAGAACTTTCTTTTCTCTACAATTTCTGAGAAGAGAGGAAAGGATAACTTGCTTTTCTCTGAGGCGGCTGACTTCCCGTTTGAAGTCTTCATCCTCAAATTCTGAGTCGTTGTCACTGCTGATGTAGGAGTTATTGAAGGAGTTGTTGTTTAGACTCGGCAGCGAGGCTTTATGAGTGGAGTCCGGACTCAAAATCTGCCTGGGATCACTGGGTCCGTTAGCAGCCTGTGCAGCGGGCGGAGGGGTCTGCCTGGACTCGAGGCTCTGCTCCTGGGCACGACTTACACAGAATCTACCCACACGGGCCTCTGGGTTGGTGGTAACCTGAAATAAAAGTAATAAAATATTGAATTAAATAATGAGTGGGACAAACAGAATATGAAAGCACTGGGTTGTCAGTCTGTGTGGTACCTGTAGCAAAGAAGCCCCTCACTCATTTCACTACAAGATACAAAAACAGGAAATACCTGGAAGCGTCCAATGGTAGTGGTGGGCTTAGGAGAGGGGCAGGGTGAAGTGAAGGGGGAAGGGTGCTGTGACCCTCCCAGAGTCCTTTGTGGGAGTCCGTCCACAACATCTCCTCCTTCCCCTTTCAGAGGAGACAAGGAGTCCTTGTGCAGCGTATTCTCCGGGCTGGAGAGACTGGAGGACGACGAGGACGAAGAAGATGAGGAGGAGGAGGTGGTGGAGGAAGATTCAGTGCAGGCTGGGCGTTTGACAGGAGGCTCCTCAGTAGCCAACGAGACCTAATAAGTGAGAAGAGTAAGAGAAAGGGGGCGATAGAGACATACAGTATTACTTAGTATTACTTTTCTTCCTAATTAAAATTCCATGACTTTTGCAACCAAAAAAAAAAATGCATAGACAGTTGTGTGTGGCCTGTAGTGTGAGTGAAATCTTACCTGAAATCTTCCGAGTTTAATTCCAGGAACAGAGGGGGACACAGTGTCTTCCTCCAGAGAGAAGGGAACTGAAAGACAGATGTAACAGATATTAAACAGACAGATTATACACAGATATAGATGCATAGATTTAATAGATTTAATAATACACATACTTTGTCCCACTGAAGGTAATCCACTGTGAGAGCCCTGGGGTTAACACATAGAGAGAAGATAATGGGTTAATATTGAATTACAACAGTATATACAATGTCAGTGTGAGTTAACAGACTAATATCCAAACGTGTGTATGTTTACCTGTGTGTGTGTGCTGACAGAAACAGTCTCTGGGCTCAGCGCTCTCCTCAACTGAGCATCCAGGTCCTCTAGAGGCTGCTGGGACTGGAAAAACACAAGATACACGTTTAGATACACACAACACACACACACACACACACACACACACACACACACACAAAAAGAAAACACACACACACACCAGTTAATTAGCAATACAAGCGCAGATCAACCAAAAGCACGCATGTACAGCTACTAAGGCTGGACCATAAATCAGTATTATTTTGGAAAGACATTTAGAAGATATGATTTCATTATTTTACAAATTGGTGTTGTCTAAATGAATAATTCCAAGCCAGGTTTAATTAGAAGAGTCACAAAACTGACTAATTGAAGGTTTTGTTTTAATCGTATGAAGAGTTTAGTCTCATGTAATGCATAACTGTGAAACACAACTCATTGGTATTGTTATTAATATTGTGATGAGATTTTAACCATCTTGCCAAGCCCCAGTAGCTACACAAAGCTTTGCACTGTTATCTCGTGATCCAATCAACTGTGACTGAACAGGCAAACACAGAACACAGAACAAGAGTTCATCATCTCTTGCTCCAATTTGTAACAAGGCTTCATTCAAAAAGCATAGAAATTAGAAAGACGTTTTTTGTGGTAAAACTGAAAGCACTGTCAAAAGGCACTATCCCTCCCAGACCCATCTCCTGTGCCATGACACACACAAACACAGGTAAGGGCGTATAAGGTATTCTACTCTCTGGAGCATTTCAACTGCAGTTAAAAAAGTAATCATTAAAATCAAATCCCTTGAGAGCTTCGACTACAGCAGGATTATCTTAATCAAATGGGACAAGTCTCGCCCATGAGAGTTACATAAGGGACGAGAAGTGAATGTTAGCAGGTCAGCTTTTTCATAAAGGAGCTACAAGTCATATCGCGCTGTTCAGTGGGAGGTCTATTTTTACATGGCAGCATTCACAGCCACAACAAAACAGTCTGGAAATTAAAGTCAGTTAGGTGTCGTCTCTGCCCTGAAGTACCCAGTCCTCAGCCTGCCTGCCTGCCACCTCTGTCCAATTTCACTGTCTCTCACTCTTTCTTTTAACCAGCTTCTCTCTGATCCTCCTTTCTTTTATCCTCTATGGTTATTTTTTATTTAAAGTAGAGGCATTTCTTTGCAGTTGAATGCATCTATTTGATGTTACGTTCTTGTTAGAGTTCTACTGTCTTTATTCTGATGTGTATTCTGTTGTTAAGGATGCAATCTTCTTATATTAAAGAGAATTCATGGCTTTACTGGCTTTTAATATGCAGTATAAATTAAATGTCTTGTTGCACAGCAGAAGCACAATTTATGCACAACAGATAGGACATAGAACCGAAACCATAAGCATTACAAGCTCACTTTGAATACAGTATTGCATTGCATTGGAAACTCTAAAAATGAGCAAATAAAAAACACCTGTATTAGACAAGGTCCAGGGAAAGATGGCAGGAGTTCTGAAGGAGGAGAACTGGCCTAATCCCAGGGACAGAAAGGTGATGAGAAGACACAGAGTGGGAGAAATAAGAGAGAAAAGATTTGTAGAGGAGGTTATAAGAATGTTGTCCCATTGTGGAGAATGTTAAAAGAAATTTCCATGCCAGATGAGATTTAAGGAAAGTGAGTAGAAACATCTTGGAACACCAGTCATTACTAAAGATTAAATTAACATCTTGACCTTTAGAAGGTAAAAAATAAACACTGGTCTCCTAGCAGACCACATAGTTAAATAAGTAATTCAAGTACTAATGGTTGAACTAGATCTAATAGCATTGCTGTCTACAGGTAAACTGGATCACTCACCGGTACCCTGGATAAGGGAGTTTTGGATGGAGTGGTCTGGCCAAAGGATGAAGCAGGGACGACTGAAGAAACTGAAATCACAAAGTCAGTCAGCAACATTATTCAAACACAGGTTAACTTACGCTAGCCCATATGCAGAAACACACAGCAATCTACCTACCAATCTGTGCAGGGGTGGAGATAGGCGTTCCAGGACCCTGGATTGGAGCAGGTGACCCCAGTGCAAGGCTGGAGGGGGGCTGAGGGGGATTGGCCGGCTGGCTGGAGCCAGGTGTGGTGACAGATGTGCTGGAGGTAGAGCAGGGGCCCATTGGGGAAGAAGTACCTGGCACGGTGGCTCCAGAGGCAGGGTCAGCAGCTAAGATGTCTCCCTGTGTGGAAGCCATCCCTCCACCGAGATCCATGAAGAGTGACCGCAGCTTCTTCTCCAGGGCTTGGATGTCATCTGGTTTGCCTTGGGACTCCTCACACCTGAGAAAGATATCAATTAAGTTTCCTAATTCAGTGCTAATAACTAAAAGAAACTAGTAGAGAGACTTAATATCTACCACCACTCACCTTGCATCGCATTCCCCACAGTGTGTGTGCGGCTGCCCAGGCAGGGCCGCTGTCTGTGGCTGCGAGTGGACCAAGGTTGGTTGGACCGAAGGAACATTGGTGGTCACTGGCTGGAGCCCCACAGCAGAGGAAGAGGAGGAGGAGGGAGGGGGAGCAGGGTGGGAAGTGGCAGCAAGAGCAAGCTGGGGGCCTGGGATGGCAGTAGTGGGCATGACAGAGGATGAAAGGGAAGTAGTGGAGGAGGAGGTGGGAGAGGCCGACGGACGATCGGAGGAGACTTCACTTGCTGTTAGAGTGGAGGAGGGAGGGGAGGATACAAGGGGAGCAGTCTGGGCGGGAGGAGGGGAGGTAAGCATTGCTGGGGGGATGCTGGCCGGTGGTAAAGTTGAAGGTACTGAAGTAGCAATGACAGCAGCAACAGTTTGAGACTGTGGCTGTGTGAAAGCCTGGGGCTGAATTTGTGCTTGCCCCTGGGGTTGGGACACAGCCTGTATCCCCGGCTGTGACTGAAGGATGGACTGATTCACCACAGTAGGAGGAGGGGAGGAGGAACAAGGAGGGCTGAGACAAACAGCAGGCATTGATGAGGGGGTGGAGGAGGCAGAGGAGGGAGGAAGAGAGGACTCCAAGACCTGCTCCTGTGCCTGGTTTAAATTAGAAGAGACAAGTCCAGCAGTAGGATCCACAGTAGGAGTGACTGTGCTAGCCTGTGAGGGGACAGAAGCTACTAGAGGATGCAGAGGAGGATGGGTGGAGTGGATAGAAGCTGGGGCTGTGCTGGGTCCGGCATCAAACTGAATCTGGTTCTGTCGGAGCTCAGAGAAAGCTTGTTGTAAGCTGATTGCTCCGGCAGACTGGGACAATGCCATACCTTGGCCTGGAGTCTGTGATGGAGCTGGAGCTGATGCTGGAGGAACTGGGAAAAAAAGAAACACTTTCAATTCCCGAGGTCCATCCTGTAGTCTTTGACCTAACAATATACTTTTCACTGTTTGTTTTCACTGACTTGGAGATTGATATTGGGTGTAACTGTCACACATAAAACAGGTCATATATCTGAGAAAGTAACTTTCAGAGGAGGTGCTGTAGTTGAAGGGGAACTCAACTATTTTTTTAAATATCGAGGTCCTGCTGTGTACTACTGAATATGTGGAGTTGTGCAGACTACTAATTTTAGAAATGAAAAATCTGGGGGTGTGGAAGGAAGACAAATGTGTGTGTGTCTCTGGTTTTGCTGCATCAATCTTGATCTTTAAAAGTAGTCTCCCAAAGGATGTTTCTGAGTTATTTCTTTAATTTTTAGAACATTGTGTAAGGTTGTGTAGGTATTTTTGATTTATGTTGATGGAATAATGTTTAAATTCTACAGTATCCAAATGAAGATCAGATAAAGCTATTTATAACCCAGTGATCCACCAGAAGATCCTTTGGTATCAATTTAAATAAATGCCAGTGTGTTATTGCATTTGGACAGAACATTTGGGCAATTTCCTCTAAAAGCATTACAGTTTAATCTGATAACAGTGCACGTGGCAAAGTACACTGTCATTTAGTGAGCATTTGTGTGTGTTTGCAGTAGAAGAAACATTTTTTTTAATTTATTTATTTGTAGTGCTGTCAAACGATAATGTCTACTGTCAACTTTTTAAAAGTAAACTTTCCATTCAGAATATTATTGGCATCCATTTCGGCGTCTCGCGCTCGCCATCCACTCAAAACGTAACGTCTACTACTCTTAAACAAGTATGTGCGGCGTGCCTGTTGTTTTGTTTCCAGTCTAGCTAGATCCGGTGTGGTGTTGTAGTTTTTCTAACGTTACTAGTTGTTGCAACAGCATGTGAAAAAAACTACAAAGTGTGCTAGGCCAAAAAGAACGTTAATCTCGCGATTAAAAAATTGACGCCGTTAAAATGGGTTTGCGTAAACGCCGTTAATAACGCGTTTACACAATTTATTTGATCACTTCTTTCTCTTCTTCAATGTGATACTCATCAAAATTGTGTAATTCTCTTAACAGTAACTTCTTATCTTGCTAAGAAAGATTAGTATCATACTGTTTTGGGAACGAAAACAACTGAGCTTTAAAGGTCATACACACACACACACACACACACACACACACACACACACACACAATCCTTACCAGTTTCAACAGGAGGCACAGGGGCAGGAGAAGGAGAGGTAGGAAACATTTGTTCCTTCAGCCTGGCTTCAGGTACGGGGCTGACAATGAACCTCCGACCTGCTGAATGGACCACTTGTGCTGTTGCACTAGGAGGGATGTCTGGGAAGAGATGAATGTCATTACACAGCATTGTTATTTGTTAATCTCTGAGAGAATAGCATGCAAACTACTATTCTCTTAAACAGTTCAGCTGCAAAATAAGCAACAGGAAGCATTAGGGATGCAAAATAAAAAAGAGAAAATATGTAATATTTCTGTGTGGAAATTCTGTCTTGTCTATAAATTTCATAGGAATTCATTGCTGTGCTCATTGACAGAGACGCTTAGAGCTAGGTCTTATAATTGCCTGTGCCGCCCTGTTGCCCCATGGACATATTCTAAGGCTTTTTATTTTGTTGTTTTTACCTGGCATGGGGACAGATATAGCAGGAATCTGTTGCTCCTTATCACCTGTCATCTGCAGATCAACAAGACAACAATATATGCACACACACTATATAAAAGCAATAGAAATTTCATGAAAAAAAACAGCAGCTAATTTAGTATTTTTCTATCAAAAACCCAACACCAGCAACTGAAACTATGCACCAGCAACTCTCCCAAACTCCCAAAACACGAAGAGAGAGAAAGAAATAAAGACTCGGTGTTGTGTTTACCTGGCTGTTTGTGTCTCTCTCCAGACCCTTCTCATCAGCGTTCTCTATCACCTCTCTGACCTGCTCAATGAACGACTCCCTCTCACTCTCCAGGATGAACTCACTCTGGACCTGGACACACACACACGCAAGGAAAAAAAGTCAGATTAAAATGTATGTGTAACAGAAACAAAACTACAGCCGGGTTTATACTTCCTATGCCAGTGTGTTGGCCACAGAGGTGTAATTTTGCCTTGTGTGGGAACCTGGTGACAACACTCTCAATGAAAGCACAAAGACTAGGGCACAGCAATTATGTGTGCTTCAGTGGTTTTGCTAGACAAAGAGTAGATGGCATGTGCACTGGCATGTGAAGCCTATTACAGCCTTTATAGAGAGTTACTAAATGTTTGGAAAGAGAGTAAATGAATCAAATCAAAGTTGTGGGGGAAAAAATCAAACGAGATGTGTGTGTGTGTGTACCATGATCTGGGCAATCTCCTCGGGGTTGTCTCCATCCAGGTCAAACCTGAATGTCACCATCTTCCTGTTGTGGGTCTCCAGCTGACACTCTGCTACCCTGTCTCCTCGATTGGAGATCTAACATGCACAAACAGCAGATATAGAAGTACATAAAGAAAGAAAAATACAATTAGAAAGAAAGACAGAATGTAAACAGATGATTATCTCGATTAGATGTTTCTCATTACTTTTATTGCAGCTCATAACTCTGTTACAACCAATAAATATCCCCACAGTGGTACAGTATAAAAGAGGATTTATGGTTTAATTATGATTTCATAGGATTTATAGGATGAGCCATTACATTTAGAACATTGAGTTTCGCCTTGGAGAGCTTCTCGTGGCGTGATCGACTTCGCACAGAACGTCTCTGATGCCGCTTGGTGGAGCGACCTTCATGGCGACCTCCACCTCCCTCGTTGCCATCGCTCAGACCTGAAGTCTCAGAGTGGCCACTGAGGTACAGACGGGCACGTTTAATAAGAGAAAAAGTGGTAAATAGAAACTAAGTGAGAGACAGCATCAAAAAGACTAGTTTGCTTTTGTGTGAGGGATGTGGCATCAGTTCAGTAAGTACGTAAATGTATTACCTCTCTATAGATGAAAGAACTTGAGGTGGCTGTAGTTGGGACTGGGACAGCTCTGAAGACTGAGAGGCAGACTGAAACACACACACAGTCACATGAAAAGGCACATACATACACACAATCAATTTGATCGCAATCACCACTAAACACCAGAAATTTAGGGGAAGAAAATACAACAGAAAAAGCATGAAATACAAGCAAAGCATACCAAAAGAAAGAGAGAAAACTAACTAAATTGCAAGATCATGATTTTAGATTTAAAAGGAAAGACAGGGATAGAACACATCAGAATAGAACTGAACAACTAAAACTGGAGCATGAAACAAAAGGAGCGAAGCAAGAACTGCCACAAAAGGAGAAACGAAACTGTGTATTCATCTCCACATGCAACCCTGTCTGATAATAAAGATCTATAAATGATTACTTAAAAAGAAATGGTCCGAGTTACAGCAGAGTTCAACTAAGGACGGCTCTTGTATGTGGACTAAAAAGCAATCTGCGGATTCTATTTGACATCATTTATTCGAAGACCAATCAAAACTGTCTCTCGTAAATCAGTGTTGCTACACTTAAACCAAGCCACAGAAACTGCTCAACATGAAACACCAGGCTGGTTATTCTATGTAAATAAACAGTAAACCAGCATATTATCTGCACATCATCATGGATATCATAAAATGAGACTACAACCTTTATCATTGCCACTCAGTCATCATTAATTATCACTAAAACTCATGAACTTTAAATGTGAACTTAGGCAGTACCATTTAATTAAATGGATATGGATAAGCAAATATGGATCAAATCTAAAATCAATCGAATCAACTAATAAACTGATAACAATAGTTGTTCAGAGTGCATCTCAAATCTGGCTGCCATTCAAAAATGATATCCAAACTACACATGCAAGAACCACTATGAACAAACAAAAAGGTACAAATCAGGTACAAACAAAATTCAAGAGTATCAAATACGATACTTATATTACCCAAAATAAAATGTATAACTAAAACAAACCTAATATACAATTAATATTCTGAGTGTTTTTATGAGTTTTATTGGCATACTTAAGAACAAACATGTTTACATTTCAATTATCAGCTGTCTTTATGAAGGTTGCTTTCCAGGACCATCTTCTGTTGCACTGACAGTGTAACATCCCCTTTTGTAGGCTATCATATATTCTATTATCTAATTCCAAGTTAAACGATTCCCTCTTTATTTATGTCACAGTATGGAGCTCAGGTCCTTTAATACCACTCTACAAACTGCGAAATTTGATTCCTGAAATTTGTCTTTTTAGTCTTGGGTGACTTTTATGATTCAAACTTTGCCACACACAGATGATGGCATTCATCAGCTGAAACGGGCTATTTACAACGTCGTGCAGTTCAGAGTCCCACAAAAACGTTTGAAAAACTCCCCGATCGAATACATATCTCGGACCATAAAAACAATGGTAAAAATCCTAACTCATAACCCAAGGCTCAAGACAGTGATTTCAAACAACAGCCTGCAGCATTCAGCTGCGGACAATGTGAGCACAATGAACAGGGACAAGACATCCACTTGGTGGGTTTGACTGTCCAGTACCTGGGGAGGGGCTTCCATGGGAGTATCAGGCGGGGCGGTGACTACACTGATGATTGGCACCACGGTAGCCAATGGCTGAGGCACAGGTGTGGGCACAGGAGGAGGAGGAGGAGGAGAAGGAGGGGAAACAATAGTAGGCATCACCCCAACAGGGAGTGGCAGAGGAGTGGGAGGGGAAGCCTTAACCGTGGTTGGCACGGTAATGGGGAGGGACGGCGACGGAGAGGGCAGGGTCACCAAGGAAACAGTAGACGGAGTTACACTGGGCTGAGAAGAGGAGGAAGGGCCAGAAAGAGAAAGAGGAGGAGACAGAGAGGAAAAAGATGGGAGAAAGAAGAAGGTAGATAAGGCAGAGGACGGGTCGGAGGACAAGGTGAGAAAAGGGAGGCGGCAACGTCAGAGGGAAGATGAGGAAGTAGATTAACCCGGCAAGTGATCAGATGTGATGAGCACAGACATATTTAAAGTCAGTTGCCTGGGTAATCGAACAGTGAGCTAAAGCTGGTCTTTAGTTGAACTGTGGGTTCACTTAAAATATTAAGACTTCAAAAGATGAATGTTAGCTGTGAGTCTGGGTCTTTATTGATCTCTATCATAAATCATGTTAAAATAAAGACACCAGGACAAAGAGCCAGCCATAGTTCACTGACCCATTACTGACACGTTTCACTCCCGAGACCCTCAACAAACAACTTTCCGAGCAAGACAACTGGAACATTGATCAAGCCGATTAGTGACAGCATCTCAAAAAACAAACTCTGTGACAGGGCGATTGTGTAAAACACACATGACTCTAAGATCATGCAACCACAAACAGCTTAGATCTCTCAGACAAAGTACAGTGTGACTTTACAGACAGTGGAAGAGCAAGCAAAATCTTTACACAATGTAGGCAGGCAACAGTGGAGAAACGGTTAAAAAACTACACTACCTATAAAAGACTATACAAAGTGATTTAAGAAGCTATGAGTGAAGTCTTTAAGCAATACTGCTTTACTTCTGGGAAAACCGTTTGAAGAACGGATGCCTTCAAAGTCATGGAAACAATGATCCAAAGTCGTTGGGCATTGGATGGAAAAATTATTCTAAAAACTGAAGCACATGTAAAAAAGGTCAAAATTAACTTTTCAGATATAGAAATCCAATGCTTAACATGTTGTGGTCATTAAAATGTGCCCTGTGGAGTTTTTTTTCTTGTAAGCAAACAAAAGTTTGTGAAATAGTGCGACCCATGTACCGAGGCTGAGTCCTTGCTGCAGCGGCCCAGGGTTCGAATCCGACCTGCGGCCCTTTGCTGCGTGTCATCCCCTCTCTCTGTCCCCCTTTCCTGTCTATCTTCAACTGTCTCTATCATAAAGGCAATAAAAGCCCCAAAAAAGAAAAAACTTTACTGTCTTTGTTGATGCATTGCTGTGTATCTTGGCACACTACAGCCACCTGTCAATCAGTGAAATAGTGTGAAACCACTGGGAGGACTGTGTGTCACATGCATGTGTGTGATCTCGTTCACAAAGAAACTGCTCCCACTCAGTAAAAAACATAAAAAAATATGTCTTTGTCTATTTATACACAACAACACAAAGATATAAATGCATAGGTAGTGTGCAAAAGACCCTTAAAGCATCTGATGTGAAACGTATATGTTATTATCCATACTTTAATCATATGTATATAACTGCAGATGCACTTTAAATGTAAGCATCAGCTCAGTTTTTTACAGAATGCTACCTGCCTGTCCTCAGGAGGCAGCCTAAATAATATGAATATTTCTTTAACACAATGCTATATTGGATACACACCTTTTAAGATTCTTCACTGCCCATTGTTACCCACATTCACCTTTTACTGTTCACCAGTTCTGTTCCAGGATATATTAGCCATCTTAATTTCCTAACAAGGAACCTATGTATTTACAAGCCGTGCTTTTAATAAGATGGTTAGTTGGAGCATCTGGGATGAACACAGGAGAACTACGGGGCTAAAAGACAGAGCTATATCCAAAAAGCACCAAAGAAGAGGGATGTCAAACAGATTTGCACACTAAATTATTTAGATACATAATTACAAACTAGGAGGCACACATACAAACACACTTAGCCACATACACTGCCATACATAAAATGTACCTGAACCAGAGCTAGCTTAGCAGCTTGGTATAGAAAATAAAGATGTTCTATACTGGGAGAAGGAGTGAGATCTAAAAACTAGAAACGCACAAAACACACACACCACACACACCCATCCATTTTGTGCAAAAAACGCATACGACCAAACATACAAGCACACATGCGTACAGACGGTACAAGAAGGCATGTACAACACATTCGCATTAAAACAAACCCGGTGATGAACACAAGCAGCATGCCGTTGAGAGAGACAGAAAAAAGGAAGGGAAACAGAAGAAATAAAGAGTATACAGTGAAAAAAGAAGAGCAAAACATGCAATAATAACACACAGACCAAGAACGACATTGAATGTGAAATTGGATTGTTTTTGTCAACATGACTTACTCAGTGGCTAAGTGACATATTAAATATATATATTTAATAATGACTAGCTGATAATAACTGCCTGTGAGTCAGTCAGGTGGGTAGATAACTGAATTGAAAAAAAATATAAAAAATCCAATCATATGACCTCGGAGTGGCACACGGTTTGTAAGCAGTGTATGTGTTTGTCAGCTATTTCCCCACGCTGTAAGTGCTTCAGTGTATGAATACATCCACAGTTGAGCGTGTATGGGAAACAACGATAACAGAGAGCTCTTTGGAACCCCGAGGTGTGTTTATTAGATTGGCTTCAGCTTAGATATTACCATAGCAGTGTCAGCCTCTGTGCGTTAGGAATGTGTTTATGAAGTATTGTGTTGCATACACATATTTCAACTTGTGGTGCCACAGTACTTTACGTACCTGTGCAGATGCCTGCGGCAGAGATGTGTGCGTGGGGCTCTGAACTGACGTAATACTCTGATTGCCTGAAACAACCTGGACGCACAGAGAGAGTAAAGGAAGAGCGTGAGACAGAGAGAGAGAGTAGTGTGAGAGGAAAGAAGAGAGGAAATGACTAAATCATAAATGTAAACATTTACATTAACGCTAGTATTCTTTTTAGGTACTTTTGTTAGCTTGCACAGTCATGTCCTGTGTATAATAACCTGGATAAACTCAATTCCCAGTTATGAGAAACCAAAATGACATGGAAAATACCAGCAGGAAATGTATCTCAACAAAATTAATCATCAGTCATTATTCAGTTATATATTATCTCTTTTATTGTTAATTTCCTGTTTTGTTGTTAGCTAATATAACAATCCACAGAAAGTTACAGGAACCATGTGACTGCACGCTTTCAAAATAACTGTTAGCATATAAAAAAATATTAAGTAAAATGTGAATACAATATTAAGGTTTCGAAGACAACTCTTATGTAAACATGGGGTGTAATTATGGGAGGGAATGGCTGTTGTGCTTCTTCAAATAATAAAACATCATACATTCCCTCTTCTTCTGACAAGAATCATTTGATCTCCGATTAACATCCAATTTCATGCTCAATCAAATCAGTTTAGGGCTGCAATTAGTTCCTAACAGCAGTTTGTGCTGGGGGCAAACAGTTCTTCAGAAAGACTGTGCTATTACTGCAGGCAAGGTGCCAGCTCCGTGGGAGTGGTTACCTTGAAGCAAAAGCAACAACTTCAAAGAGAACATATGCGCCATTACTGAATAAGCACAAAAATAGGCTTATTTTTTGTATTTTATCTTTATGGGGATGGGGTATTAAAAGTGTAAGAAAAAGTGATAAAATTACAGAGGAGAAGAGTAAAATAAGTTTGGATGTATAAAATGACTTCAATTTTGGGGTTACTTCAGTTAGTTTTTCAAGTTGTCTAACCTGTTGAGAGGTCCCAGGAGGAGCTGGTTGGGTGGTGGCAGGGACCAGAGGGGGTCCTGGAGAGGGCTGGGAGGTGGGAGCCTGAACTTGCTGCTGAGAAACAGATTTATAGAAAGACAGAAAGAAAGATGGACAGGAGAGGAAGAGATGCAATGTCGTGGGATATAAAAAGGATGGAGGATGGAGGTGAGAAATCAAGAGATTGGCAACAAGGAGAGAGAGAAAACAAGAAATAATCAGAACATGTTTGTAGCTTGTGGACCAGAAACTGTACATGAGTGCAAACACAAGGTACTTCTGCTGTTCGCTAGTGATCCGTTTTTGAGTCTAGATTTTCTTCTTGTGTATGCACACATGCACAGAGACAACACATAAGCACATGGATCTATACGGCAACAGATGTATGCACACCAATACCTACTGTATGCATATACATATATACACAGCTTGTAGTGTAACAATACAGGCACAGTACCGGGGTTAGGCAGGGGGGTAAGTACAGGGGTTTTCTTAACATGCAGGTCAGACCCTATGTGATTGGTAGTGATAAGTCAATGAAGCACAGAGTAGAAGCTGGTATACTGACACCAAACACGAAAATTAATTATTGAACTTAAATTTAAACAAATCACAGCGGTTTTCCATAAAATATCCTAACACAGGCTTCAACCTTTCATCTTTTACATTGGGACCAAGATACAATAAGTCCAACTCTAACACCATAATCAGGAACAGGTAAAGTAAAACCCAAAGCTTGAAACTGCAATATGGGTCATGTTTAGTTGTATGTGTTTGATGGCAGATTGCTGGAGCTTGCAACATAGCCTGATACAATCTTGTTCCAAGTCAAATATACTGTGAGTTTAGGTTTTTGAGATTCCATCCTAACACTGTATGAACTGTCCTTTGTTGGGCTGAAAATCGGCTAACAAAAAACCCATGAAAATGATTTTTAAAAAGACTCCTTAAAGAAAGTCTAATTGAAATGTCTTTTCTTTTCCAGTCAAGTTAAACTTTGGAATTATTTGCAAATTAGATTTTCAATACAGTCTAGTGAGCATCAACCCAAACAGGGCTGTATCTTTCCTTCCCGAAACCTTCGAATAATCTACAGTACTACAGGACAACCGCATACAGACAATTATTATCTCTCTATTGACTGAACCCTTAGAAGGCTGTTTGCAACGTTCTACTTGTCATGAAGCCCACCCACACGAAGTGCGGTAGGAGCTTACACAAGTACGTTGCACCAGACACGCGGCTACCTACCTTTTGTTCTAACATCATAGGCAGTCACGTAAACACAATAACGAATTTCACAGCACAGATATCTATCTAATAAAATTAAATGTATAGAAAGATAGAGAACTTAAGATAAAGGGACATGAAAGAAAAACACAGATAATGACAGTAAACAAAGTTTGAAGAAATGAGAAGAAAGACCAATGATCGGAAGTGGTTCAAAGTAAACAACGAAGAAAGTAAAGGTGACACTGATAATATCAGCATTCTAAGGGTTTAATGATTTTGAACTGTGACCTTTGAACCTTGTGTAGGAAGTTGATTTCCAGTCTGGGCAGGAAATGACAACACAATATGCGATTATAAAGAACTGACTTAAAGCCAAGATCTTTAGCAAGTACAACACAAAACAGCAGAAAGAATCTAAAATATACAAATGAAATATCTATCTGCATGGTTACATTGCTCTCTTTGTCTAAGCCCCCTTGGTTTTGTTGTATGTTTCTGTGTGTTTGTCCGTACAAATCGACAAAGTTCCTGCCACTTTATCATACTTCAATGATTTTTACATGATTCATAATATACTATTCAATGTGCAGTTATTTGTACGTATACGATGCTCAGCATCTGAGGTAGTTAATGTTGTCTTAAGACCGGACTTTGGATTTGTACGAGCAAAAATTCAAGTATACCGCACATACAGTATACCCCCACAAACACACATTTCTCATATACATTCATATATGAACATACAGACAAAATATTACTTACTGATATTGACAAAATAAATCAAATACACAACATAAACACAGAAAGGAAGGGGACTTAGACTTTTTTCTTATAAAGCTTGTACACCAGAGTTTGTCTCAAAGACTACCTTCTGAACGTTGCAATACAATACTGACTCTTATGTTGAAACCAAATGTTTCTGTTTTTGGCGGTTCCCAGATGTGGTGTGTGTCATGGCCCCATAAATCCTATAAGTGCCGCTGACTGAAGCTCTTGACTAACATTTTTCTACAAATTCCTCTATAAGCAAACACTGTCAGAGAATGAATAATGTGAGACATTTTGAAGGCAGACCATGAGACTCACTCTGTAGTGTTGATGTGACTGGAGGGGATTAAAATCACAACCAAAGACTACATGATGACAAGTAAGCATCAGCTGGGGCTCCTGGGTCGGTAGGGTAAAAAAAACAAAACAGGGATTGGTATAACGACTTCTGGGTCAAATTACTATTATGTGTTAATTCAGTTGCTTTTCATAGAATGATTCACTTTACTTAATGGATTACGCCATTTTCTACTTACACTAAACAATACGTTTGTTACAGATTGGCACAAGGCTGTGAAAAATGAATGTATTCATTGCCTTCCCAATATATATGAAATTCTTAGTCTGTGAAATATTGACAAATTGCAGTCAAACAAGAAATTAAGAGCATAGACTACCATAATGTAGCAATTATGATATATCAGCAGCTGGTTGTGGATCTTTGCTAAAAAAGCAACTCATATAATTTCAACTAGTAATTGACCCAGAGGTCTAGGGGTGTTTTTAAGGTCTAAACTCAGTACCAGAGTGGGGTTAGCGGCCTGCATGGCCAGCAATGACTCATGGTATGTCATATCGGGTTGGGCTGGTACCACCCCGCCATGCCTGGCCCAGGCACTCTGGATCAGAGACTCCAGCTGAGTTGATGATGCTCCCCCAAGAGGGAGCTCAGAGGATGGAGTGGGAGGGAGAAAGCTCTGCATGGAGGGTGGATGTCCCTGGGGATCAATGGGAAACACTCCGCAGGATGATTCGTAGAGCGCAGCGGAGGATGAGTGAGGGATGGACTGAGCAGCTGAGGAGTCAAATGGAGGGAGAAGAGGTGGGGGAGGAGGTGACTGAAACTCCCCGGCGTCGGAGGAGGCCAAAGAGTCACTGGAAGGTTCAGGGCTTCTGTCTTTTATGGTTAAACCTGTGTGGTGAAGAAGAAGACTTCCTGGAGGCAAGGGCAGCTCGGGACTGACATACGAGTACAGCTCTTCTGTCACCGGTTGGAGACGGCTGTACGTGCCTGAACCACCTGATCCAGTTCCAGTGTTATCCTCCAGAGGGAGGTCCATGGAGCTCCTTCGAGCCCGGAAAAGTCTGGATGCCAAGAGGCCTGGGTCCCCAGCAGCAGCTGCGGCGGCGGCAGCTGCGGCTAAATGGAACTCAAACACACTTCCAGTTGGTGGCGGAGCATCAGCCATTACTGGAGGTGCAGAAATAGGGAAAGCAGAAGGGGAAGCATGCTGTGGTGGAGGATAGCATCCATCAGATGATGAAGAAGGAACAGAACCACCAATGGGTGCACTCATGGGAGGTAAGGGTGGAGGGATCGGGCTGTGTGCACTCATTCTTTGCATGATGTGTGGGTGCAAGAACCCAGGTTGAGGTGGAGGAACAGGATCAAAACCCAAACTAGCAGCTGCAGCTGCTGCTTGCCTCTGCTGATGGAAACTCAAGTGGCCAAGCTGGTGTGCAGTCATTGGGTATCCTCCATATGCCATGGCTTCATAATGGTCCAATAAGGCAGCTTGATTTAGACTTAATCTCCTCACTGCTTCCTCATGCTCTGCTCTCATATCTTTGTAGCTGTACATACTTGGGTCAGATTGTCCTGGGTGATGCAGCGGCTCCCCAACACCAAGTCTTTGAGCAGCTGCTGCAAAACCGGGATTTACCATGAAGAGAGAGGGGGTCTCAACTCCCTCCATCCCAGAAAAGGGATGCAGGCTGCTCCCATAGCGAGTGTAGGCAGGCTGGAAGTGTCGGGTATGTGCCTCGAGAATGGACGTGCTCTTGCGTCTCTGGGTGTTGTAGGCCTTAGGAGGCCCAGTGGGAGGAGGTGAGAAGGAAATGGGCCGCTCAGGGATGGAGGGAAAGAAAATAGTAGTGGGGTCTGGGAGAGCTGAGAGGGGGATGCTCCCTCCTCCTCCTCCTCCTCCTCCTGCTCCTCCACTGTAGTGGTGCGGCATTGAATGCTGCTGCGACAATGAGATACAATGGATTTAAGAATGAGACTCAGAGAATGCAAAAGAGAACACCAGCAGGCCGACATGAAATGGAGAAAACAGTGTGTTAAAGAGCATAATTTTAGGACAATACCAAGAGAAAAAAAAGGACATATATTCTCTTGACACACTAGAAACAAAATGATGTGGTTAAGATAAGACAGAACAACACTTAACAGCTGTATTAAAGGAGTGATGAGATAAAGAGAACAGGTAATGTAAAGACGCAAAGCTGCAGTAAAACAGACAGACAGACCAAATAACAGACTGTTACAGCACAAAGACAAGCAGACAAAGAAAAGACAACACAGTAAAAGTGGGAGACACAGTGCGAGCTCACAAGTAGACACGTAGTGGGATAGTAAATACAAAGAGAAGAAAGGCTGGATCCAAGCTCGATAATATCCTGAGGTATCTGCACTCAGGAAAACTAAACTGTCTTTTATTACAGAGTTTCTCTCTGCAAAATGTTGACCTTCTAACCAAGTGGTGGCAAAATGTAACTTCAAATTGAGATATACAGAACACAGAATAACTTTGATCAAGTAAATAGATAATCTGTAAATTTTACGACAAATTCTATTGAGGAGTTTTGGTTGTGGCCTATGTTTGCATCATAAATTGTGTTATATCAATTTTTTCCAAGAATGGATACCAGGAACCAGGAATTTTCACTGGCTAATACCAATTTTTAGGGGTCAAGAGGACTTTATGATGTGATGCTGATTTTTTTTAACTATCTAGACTAGACTATCTATGTTTTCCATGTTGTCTTCACTTCTAAAGTAAAAAAAACACCCTGGTGGCCTAAGGGTTAGGGCGCTGAACACGAGACAAAACTTTAGTTGCATGTCACTCACCATCTCTCTACTGTCAGCTGTCTAATAGGGACATATAATGCCCAAAATATCATAAAACCACTACAATAACTTTTGCTGTCAAATGAGCGGTTTTCCTGATGGCAGATGCATTTGATATTAGACATTTGTATCATAGCGCAAAGTTAACGCTGAAGCCAGTCAATCTGTATGTGATATGAACACATGGTGGTCTGACAGAGGGAGGAAGAGAGAGTTAAAGAGAGTTGGGTGGCTAGAATGACTCACAGCTGTGTCTGAAAGCAAATTAAGTTTGAACAGTCTGAGGTCACACTAATTGACTTACTAAAGATAAAGGTGCCATCTAAAATGCCTTGAATACAGATTATACATGTAGCTTTTATTATACTGACTTAATATTGTAAGATTAGATTTCAAGGCAACATTCCGCATTGGCTTAGACAGCACAATTTAAACCTCCTTGCTACATAGTTAGCTCAGCTCTCATTACAGTACACTTTATCAATGTGTTAACTATGAAGAGGATGGATACTGTATACATATCAATATTCAGTCAAGGAGACTGGGAAGGCTGCAGTGGTACTAAACTACTTCAATATTTTCTTCAAGGTCTTGAACTTTCAATTAATTAGCCAATATATTGCATTGTTCTGGCTCCATGTGGTTATTTACTTGGCTCTACATAGAAACTAAGTTGTACAAAGCTGTGACAAAAAACTGTGCACCATCAGCATGAGTAGTACAAGCTGTTTCATTAGCAATCCTGTCATCCAGCAGTTAGAACAAATTACTGGTATTTGTTAAGTACACTGACTTTTGGGCATTCTTCTGTAATTACAAAAACATGTTTTAGTAGTTAAATCTACTTTCAGACATGTGTGTGGCCCATATCCCTCATCTTTCTCTCTTTCCCTTACCCTCTAGTGCCCACCACCACTGTGGCCCCTGGGAATTAAGATTGTGCACCTACAGGGGTGGAGAACAGGGCAGGTAGGCTGGCCCTCCGCTGCCTGGCCCTGGGCACAGAGGAGGCAGAGTGTAGGGGTAGGACTGTCTCCAGGGCCTTGGAGAGGCGCCCAGCGAATGTGTCTCTCTCAGCTGCGAGAGGCATGCAGGGGGAGGTGGTGGCGTAGGATGATGAGAAGGACAAGTCTGGAGGAGGGGTGGAGGGCTGCCTTGGAGGAACAGCCAGGGGTGGAGGAGCATGGGAAAAAGAGTAGGAGGAGGGGGGGACGCAAATAGACATGCTACGACATCGACGGCGACGCAGTGCAGGCTGTAGGCCAGGGAGGGGTGATGGAAGAAGGTGGGACCGACATGAAAAACAAACAAAGAAATTAAAACACAAAAAAAATTACAAACAGCAGTAAAATTAAAACAAAACCACAGAACACATGCATAGACACAAAATCAATTATATGATGAAAAAGTTACCAAATAAATAATGATACTATGTCATGGTTTTACATTAAAAAAATACATTGAATTGTTATTTCCATAATTAGAACTTACATAAATAAATAATAAAACCAATAATATCACAGCCCCTACATGAAGTAACTGTTCCAGCTGCAATTTTCTAAATAGGGTGAAGCCTTTCCATGTTCTCCATCAAACTGTTAAGAACTTATAACACAAATAGCACAATGACAAAATAAAAATACAACTTGTGAACAAATACAGTAAAAAAAAACAAACAAATGAAATAGGAAGAAACAGAAAAAAGTAAAGTCAATTTAAAACAAAATAAAAAACAAATCAACACAATCTTAAATAAAAGGAAAGAATGATTATTCAAGATATTCAATAAAGTAGTTACTTAATAAGATAAACAAGTCTACGCAGAGTCCACTGATTCCATGAAATTACCTTATAAGGATAAGGATTTATAAGGATAAAAGTCTACTGAGAAAAGTTACTTCAAAGAAGCAAGACTTAAAAATAAGCCAAAACCATCATTCAATTATCCAATCAATCAGCCTACAAACTGAATGATCATCCAGTTGGACAATAAATCCGTCAGTGTAAGTGCCGGTAAACTGGAAGTCAAAAGGTCACCAGATGGAAAAGTCTTGGGTGGGAAATTAAACAAGAAATGCTCACCTCTCCATTAGCATGTACTTATAAGGTGCCCTTGAGTAAGGAATGCGATTCATCTACTGTTGTAACTGCTAAAAGGTCAACAATTGAGCAAACATCCCCTGAGTGAGTAAAGTAAAAAATTACGGGCCATAAAAAAAAGGTCAAACCTATAAGAAAACTCTTATATTGTAGCACTGAACATGCTTTTAGTTGTCTAGTTTAGTTTCGAAGAATTGAACATTTACTGACATCAAGATCTTATTCCTGAGTTTGAATGCACTTATTGTAAGTTGCTTTGGACAAACGTGTGCCAGATGTTATAAAGAGTTCGGTCTAGACCTGCTCTATTTGAAAAGTGTCCTGAGATAACTTCTGTTATGAATTGGCGCTATACAAATAAAATTGAATTGAATTGAATTGAATTGAATAGAATAGAAGACTTTAATGTAATGTAAATAAACAATGACGTGTGGAGTTTCATCTACAAATGTATCTCTAATATGCATTATAGAAAGAAAATCTGATCTTGCATCATTCCTGAATAAGATGTTTCTGCATGAACAAAGCATGGGCGAGGAGTTGATGTGTTAACAAGCACATATTCCCAACTTGATGTATAAAGCAAGCTTAAAAATATGAAAACATGAAAAGAAATATACAACACAACAACTGAAACAAAAAGAATACTAACTGAATAAACAACAGATGAGGGAGCGTTACAAAAAATGAGGATGTACAGAACGAGGAGGATTGAGGGAGAGAGAAAAAAAGGCAGAGAGAAAGAGGGATGCGTGATATCTGGTAGGCTGAGGAAAGAGTGACTTACAGATGAAATACAACAGAAAATGAATGGTTCGCTGGCAAACTATAAAAGCAAAGTGGTTGACTGACTACCTGGGATCTGCTGCCAGCTTACTGAGAATAGACTGACAGATATCAGATGGTGTTGTTAACTGACTGATCTGTCTAAATCAAGCAAATTCCTTCTGGTACTCCTCTTCTTCTTGTGGGAGGTGAATAAAAAACCCACCAACAACACGCTCTTGTGTAAATACCAGCAAATTCACCAACACCGCAAACTTCATTCCAACTCATTTAACCAAAAACACAATGCAGCGCTCACTTCAAACTGAGCGGTCATTTTCAGCACACCTGTGAGCTACCAGCACCACTCACAGATGTGTTAAACACGACCTCGGCCCTCATACGTGCACGTGATTCCTACGCGAGTAATTTGGATGACGTCCCCACTCACCATTTGTTGCGGCTGCTGGGCGTAGCCCGGGTGCTGCTGCGGGGTAGCAGAGGGGGTGGAAGGGTAGGGGGTTTGGGGCTGGGAAGGGGTTTGGCTGGAGGGGGGGCAGCTGTACGACATGGTCAGCTGACCCAGGTGGGGGGAGTCTGAGGAGAATACTGAGGAACCCTGGCCGCTGTCCAGACCTCCTTCAGCTGAGAGAGAGAAACAAAAAGAGGAGGGTAATCCTTTGTCCTGTCTCCCTTATTCTACCACCCCTACTGCAGTCTAACAAATCCCATTTTAAAGTGATGACTCTAACAGAAGCTCACAATCAAGTAATTATTTACCAAAAACGAAAGTAATTTCCTCGCTTGATTGAAAGACTGCGTCGGCCACAGGGGAGCACACGTTGTTTATAAAGGACACAACAACTTCAACGGCATACAATTACAGGAAGGAAGAATTCATATTTCCAGTGAGTTTTTAGTTTACAACAGGATGACTGTAAACTGTAGCAACAATAGCAGCCCCTGGTTTACAGGAAGACAATGACAATATGATACTGGAATAACTCTCTCGACATATTATGATGATGGGTGTCACCCCAGCAAATATTTTGTTAGATGTGCGCAGTAATGTGTCACATGTTTTCAGAGATGGATGAGCTGGAACAAAGTTCTGACCAATATGTGAGAGATGCTTAACATATGAGTATGTTTTTTTAAATAGGAGTAAGGTTTTCATTAACCAAACATTAGCCGTAACAATGGAATTAATCTAAGATATTATTAATGTATGCATACAAACATATTGTCATAAGTGAGGCCCATGGTGTTGAGAAATTAAAGTGTTCAAGGACCTTAGCAGGCTAAAACAAATAAAGTGAAAACAGAAAATATGCGAGTGACGATGCAGTGATATCGATTGTATTTACTATTTGTGGTTTACGTGTTGTCTTACATGCGTGTGAAATGCCGGTCTGCTGATAGTGAAGCTGCTGTTGCTCCACCTCTGTCTCCTCTACCTCTGCCTGCGGGCAAAGAAACACAAGCCACGGTCAAACTAAAGAAAAAGTAACAAGACATAAAAACCTCACATTTTTATGTTACAGAATACAAAATTCTACAACCAGTTAAGGACCATGTGGACTGCCAGGTGGAAACGGCAGTCAACATAAATCACAAAATGATACATAAACAGTGAAAATGTATTGTGTGATAAATGCACAAAAAAACAGTCTTATTTACTCCTGATCAATGTTACAAATAACAATAATAATAATTAAAACTATGCTCACTAGCTTACTGTTTAACAAACCTGTGTGTGTGATGTTTTGAGTGCCTCTTGTTGTTGTTGCTGCTGTTGCTGCTGCTGTTGTTGCTGTTGTTGTTGTTGTTGTTGCTGCTGTTGTTGCTGTTGTTGTTGTTGTTGTTGTTGTTGTTGTTGCTGCTGCTGCAGCTGTTGTTCAATCTCCAGTTTTCTCTTCTCCTGTTCCTCTCGTACCAGCTGTCTCTGCTCTCTTTTCCTCCGGATCAGAGACACGCGGTCCTTGATTGCCTTGGCCATGGTCTTATGGTCACCCTCAGCAACGTAGCCAGACTCAACCTGGGGAGTTAGGTGAAGTCACACAGGTACTCTTTTAAAGAAAAATGACCCCATTTTCTTACCTCTGTCCATCCAATATCCTTTTCTTCAGTCTATTCTCTCTTTCCTAAATCCATTACTTCCTCCCACCACTTGTACCACCATCTGTCATCATTGTGCATACCATTTCCTGGGCCACATCTTCAGGGACGTCCTTGTTCAGGTCAAAGGAGAACTCGATGGCTTCGTTGTCTTTGTATTTGCCTGCAAATGAGTTACAAATGGCCGGTCAGGCAGCTGCCCTTCTGTTGTCTTTAGTTAAAATCTATGGTGTAAATATGTTAATGGTTATATACCAAAATAAGCACTTGGATTTTTCAGTAGTTAAATATTATAATATCAGCAGCAACGTGTAGAAAAGCTGCTATCTGCTACTATTTGGTTAGAAGTATGTGTTTATGGGTTATTTTACAATGGCTCTGAATAGGGCTTCGACTTAGGCTTAACAAAATATTCCTGTTACAATTTTTCAAGATATAAAAACATTTTAATTCAATGGAAAATTAAATTACTCCTTGCCTTTGAGCTTCTTGACGTCTTCTATCCTCAGCCAGAGTTTGATGGCAATCATTTCCCCATCATCCTCCTCTGCCAGTTCAACCCTGACCCCCGTGTCTTCCTGGAAGAACGCATGGTTCAACAGGATCTTTATAGCATACCTAGAAGAACCAGAGACACAAAACAGATTTATATCAAAATAGACTTATTTCTTGATAGTTCTTGATACCAATTTGTTCAAGACCAGCGACGCCTTGTGAGCTGGTCTATAATAAGCTAATAAGACAGACATGGCATTTCATTTATCTGATAGGAATCACAACATGTTGACAACATTTAGTCTCGTGACAGCCTTCCACATATATTTCACATTGTGTCATTTAGTTGGCTGGGACCTTCTTATGGTTCAGAAAAAGAAAAAAAAACAATCAGATGACTATTCTTCACCAAGAGACGAAGGAATTTGGAAGGAACTATAAGCAGTGGGAGTATGTAAAGAAAAACAAGAGAGTAGAAGAAATGAACAACATTTAGCTTCAGTTAGATTTCTATAAAAGTAGACAAGAGGGTAATTGTGAATGTGGGCAAAGAGAGACAGAAGACTTCTTATTTCTTAACATAGAGGTTGTGAATCAGAACAGGATTAGAGGTTGAGGTCACACAGATACTCCGCTACACTCAATAATGTTTGCCCAGTATTGTTTGCTATCAAACACACGGTGTAGTGGTGATATTGTGATCTGTTTTAAGTAAGAGACTGAATGCAAATGTCTATTCCACAAAGTTATCATGGAGAGTTCATATCACATAAAAAAAAAAGATAACACTAAATATGTATGTATGTGTATGTGTCTCACCTCTCATCCTTGTTGGTTCGGATGCAGCCCTCTATAATTTCCTTCACCTCAGGAATGGCTACCTTGTCAAAACTGCCAGGCTTCACTCCCTGCACACACAAAAAGAAGAGCAGTGAAGGCGAGGAACCCTTAAGAGAAAGACACACACACACACACACACACACACAGACACACAGACACACAGACACACAGACACACAGACACACACGCATTTGGGGGAAGACTAAAACCCATTTGTGGTCTTTCTCACTAATATATACCGGTACCCCTAGATTGCCATCTTTTAAACAAACTGTACATGTGCTGGTACATTCATTCTCTGAGTCTCTTAATTAAGCCACTTCCAAAATAAAGATCTATGCTTGCATGCTAGTTTTTTTTTTTTTTTAGCCTCTGTGTGTAATATAGCATAAAATTATTCTTTGGAATATAGAAAACAGGTCTGTCTGAAATATGAAACAAATTAGAAAGTGTCAAAAGACTTAACTGCAAAATCCCTATTATATACTGCAGGATTAAAGGATACTAATTAAATTAAACTGAATTACTGGGAAATACCCATAATGTAATTCAAATTGATGAGCCATGCAAATAGAGCATTTTGCTGTAACAATGTTGTATGAAGGTTAAACATTTGACAGGAGTGGTCCTACAGTAAGAGAGGCTGCGCAGGGTTAATTCCCTGATGGAGCGAGATTTCCTCTCAAGAATAAATAATGAAATGCAGCCATTCAGAGCCAATTAAGACAACTAGAGCCCAGTTTGATGGATGACACTAATAAAAGGAATCAGTAGGGACCCATTCTGAACTTTGTCAGTGAAAAAAAGGCACCTGTAAGGGCCGAATATTAGGAAAAAGAAACACTGTTTGCAGTAGAAAAAAACAACTGGATCCAGAAAAAAGTAAACAGATAAAAGCCGACATATCCTACAGCATAATGCAGTACAATGAAATGCTCAGTGAATGTTAAACCAAGGGCAAAATTGCCATAGTTACAGACTTTTAACTAAGAACAAGGAACCTCTAAAGGACCATCACAGTTTTTTAGGTTCACCATTCAGAGGCCAAACACTGAACAGAAATTCAGCTACACAGCTCGCCAGAAGGCATCTTAATGACCAGCTCATTTCGTTCAAACACTGCCAATGGAGGAACAAAATAGAGAGAGAAGCAAAGACAAGCACAAGGGAGCTGAACTTAAACAACAAAAGAAAAGGAAATACTACATTCTATGTCAGTCATACACCTGTAAGGAGGATGCTAGACTGTATAATATGTCATGTAATCAGTTAAATGCATTTGGTTGTTCTGTGTAAAATACAGAACAGCGCCCACTTGAAATGCAATTATTAACAGATTACAGGCTGGTGTATCTCACAGATAAACATATCCCCAAGTCACACATAATATGTTAAACACAAATGCACAACCTAACTCACAAAGATGAGTGCAGATTGGAAGGAAGAATAAACTCACAAAACACTCAAGTTTACAAGATGGAGGAAGAACAAGAGAAAGCCAAAAGACAGTTGACTGAGGTTTAAGATGAATCAAATAAAGGGTAAATAACTTACCAAGAAGGTACTGAAACAAGTAGACTGTTTGAGAGATGTCTTGGAAATAGTTCTGGACAACTGACAGGCAGAGAGACGGACTGCTGACTGTTTATCTCGACCTTTTTGCACCAATAAATGACCACCTCCTTCTGCTCTTTTCCTCTAGCCCCGTCTTCCCTTCCTCCTTTCTTTTTTTTACTCTGTTGGCCTGTTGCTGTCCTGCAACCCCCCAGTTCACCATTACATAAAATCCCCCCATCTCTCTCTCTCTCTTTCTCACACACTCACACTCACACACACACACACACACACACACACACACACACACACACACACACACACACACACACACACACACACACACACACACACACACACACACACACACACACACACACACACACACTTCCAGGGCCAAACAAAGTTAGGACTTACAGAGGAAGTAATGGTATTAAGTCTGACAGAAGAAGGGAGGATGGAGGAGAGATTTCAGTTTAACAAGGCTGATTGGAGGTAAGGAATGTTCCATGAAGTACATCAACAGCACTGTATGTCAAGGTACTATATGATGAGCCGTAACATATATTCTCCACAACCCCTGCTGCCTTACAGCCCTCCAACCCTTGAATGAGGTATTACAATGTTACTGTGGGCGCTTTTTATGATATTGAGCATGAGCAAATATCAAGAATGAGATATTGATGTGTATTTTCATTTCTTATTTTTAGATATTTTTATTCTGCAACCCCTTTTAAGGACCCAACCATCAATTTATTTAGGAATCAATGTATTAAGCATCAGTTTCTTTGGGTCCAACTGACAGATCAGGCAGCAAATACAATTTAAGATTGATAAGAGAGTCTGGTATCAGTAAGGAGATGCCCAAGATGAAAAGAAAATTACATGGCGATGTCCAGAAATGGCACAAGAGTCAAAAAAGGCAGAAGTTACTGCCAAAACTTCCTGAAAGACACATTCTGTTAGTGACCTGCAACCGGTCTTAATAAACTTAATGGACCATCTACAATAAACTGCAGGTGAAAAGAGGCTACAGTTGAAAACAGTTGAACACATCAGGGGTTAACTGAGGTTTCTAACTTCGTAAGGACTGACAAAAAGAGAAATGGAGGGTGGGAAGCTGTAAGGATGGATTAGGCAGTGAAATGAAAGGAAGCAGGTGACTGGGGCACCCTGGGGTTGTCACAAGGTTATGTGTGTGTGTGTGTGTGTGTGTGCATGTGTATGTGTGTGTGTGTGTGTGTGTGTGTGTGTGTGTGTGTGTGTGTGTGTGTGTGTGTGTGTGTGTGTGTGTGTGCGTGTGTGTGTGTGTGTGTGTGTGTGCGCATGTGTGTGAGCATAACAAATACAGACAACTGAACTAGGTTGTTTGAGTACATGTCCTGCTGACTGACTAAAAAGAAACATAAAGCCCTCTCAATTTCAGTGTATGAGATTACGGCTATTAAATTCAAACTCTAACACACTAACAACAGTTGTGAACCCAAAGGCTGAGGTCGCAGCGATAATCAAATACAGTGTGATCAAATTGGGGATGTGAAAAGGGGAGGGAAAGTGAGGCATAGAGCCAGACGGACATATGGATTGAAATATACTGTCGGAATTTATTCTGCACATGAAGCTTCTTAAATTAAATTGAGAGATTCAGAGACAGGGACTTTTCTCTCTCAGTGGCGGTTAGAGACAGCGAGGCAAATCTTAATCCAAATCCCTTCCATTTGAATTTGCCTGTCAGATAGTGCGGATGGCCACCGAAAGCATTTTTATCAATTCTATTACTGAGCTGAAAATTTTCACTGAAACTGAATATACATTAAAGCATATAATATATTAATAATATAAGAAATAAACCTGACATTTGTAAATACTAATCACAAGTGCTCTTGCAGCCTTTGTCTGACTATAATTATCTAAACAAGAAAATGAAACAGTTTCATTTTTGGTATACACATTAAAAAAAACCTTTCACTGCTGCCAATGTGTTTTAAGTTACCAGTAAATTTTAAAAGGTAGACTTCACTAGAAGCAGTTGTTTTAGCTGAAGGGGGTGTTGCACTCCATAAGCTATAAACAGCACTGTATTTCCGTAGTATTACCAGCCGAATATTTAGGGATAATGGTGGTACAGTAATCCTCCTTTAGTTTGAAATCTCATTGCAAAAATAACTCAGTAAAATTGTCCCTGCATGGTTGCGCTGGTGCTTCGTTAAAAATACAAAAATATTGAATGTTTCCAATAAAAGCTTGAACTGAATTGAAATAAAAGATAAGACAGACAGATGCAGATAGAACAGAGTGATAATGGAAGGGCTAGAGGTGGACAGAGGGAGAAAGAGAGATATTTCTAGTAAATTCCTTCCGTCCATTAAACATCACTGTCAGCCTGCACAAAGCTGAACTCAGTCCCGTGAGGAAAGGAGGCAGACAGCTCTCATCTGTGTATGTGTGTGTGTATGTGTGTCTGTGTGTGTGTGTGTGTGTTGAGGTGATGACCTCAGCAGCACTCAACTTAAAACAGCCTCTGATTGCATCTGTTGTCCTCTCTGTCTGTCTCTGTCTTTCTTTCCTCCCCTCAGCCAACTGTCATCTACATTTTAGCAAATGTTACAAAAACTAAAAGTGAATTAAGGACATTTAAATCAGACCTGGTTTTGTCTGTCAATTTCTGATACCGTTTTAAGAGGTTGTGTTTTCCTTTTTTCCTCATTTCAAGCCATGTAGAAAAAAAATAATCTCTGAGGAGCTGTGTGGAAGTGTCACACTCAAGGCCAACTCATCATCAGTCTTTGAGGTAACATTTGTTCTGACTCGATATGATTGGTGTTGCTCATTAGTGGTGGAGAAGAAAATGCAGCCAAACAGTGTCTTCCTATTGTGCAACTGTTACTTTTGCAAGATGGAGCAAGGGAGGGAGGTGAGGAAGGAGGGAGAGTAAGCGAAAAAAACTAATCAGAGCGAAAACATAGTCATATGACTGGATCTCCTGCAGCTCATGCCAAACTTATTAATACAGTCAGTAAACAAGTATGGGGGGAGTGGCAGACAGAGCCGGATAAAGGAGAATGGAGATTAGAGACTAAAGAAAAAAGACAAACAAGGCTGTTAGATAGAACACATAAATGTCACTCCACAGTCTACCATCATTCACAGCTGAGGCAGTAAAAAGAAATAGTTTCACTCTTCCTGCCACACCCACACTGTACAGGAAATGCAGACTTACACTAGTGACCCGCCGGTAGATCTGGGCAGCGTTTTGACATTCAGAGTAGGGGTACTCTGAGGTGGCCATCTCCAGCATGCACATCCCGAAGGCGTATACGTCTACAGATTCATCGTACTTCTCCTCATACATCTCTGGAGCCATGAACTCCGGGGTTCCTGATGAAAAGGATAGGACAAACAAACTATTACATTGCGCTGGGAATTTTGATTTCTCAGTCATCAATAGTCTTAAAGAGAGAGGTGTAAGACAATATAGAAAGATATCGTAATGCAATATTTTGTTTTGTGATTTTGTATCTAATCTCAAACACACAAACAATCCGTTTTTGTGTTTAAATCCCCAACAGCTAGATATCAGTGTTGTAAACATTATAGTGATCAATTCAAATGCAGATCCTACTGTTTGGTTGCATAAAAAAGGTACATTTATTTAAACTTAGATTTTATGCATGTCGGTGTGTTTTTCTAAAATTTGATTTTCAACATCATGATATATCTCCTTAGTTACAGTATTGCGATATATATCGAAATATATAAAACCGTAACCCATGTATCGTGATAAGTATCGCCAGATTCTTGCCAATACTTGCTATGTAATTAAGTTTTTTAGTAAAACTGTAGATCTGTAGTGTAATATTGCATATCATCATTGCTCCAGAAGCAACGAACATGTTGGCGGGTTTTTTTTTTCCAGTTGGGTGAATATATGTAAACCTGCTCGGTGCATTTCTTACACAAACAATAACTGCCACTGATCAGAGTTTGGCAAATATTACATGTCTCATTTAATCTTGTAATCAAATCTAGTAGATTTAAATCTTTAAAAAATCCCTTAACACAGCTGGAAATTTTAACTTACATTTACTGTTGTGTGTGTTTATGCACATTCATGCATATGTGTGTGTGTGTGTGTGTGTGTGTGTGTGTGTGTGTGTGTGTGTGTGTGTGTGTGTGTGTTTACGGATTTCTGCAAGTGTCCAAATACTTGAGGTCTGTCTAAATTACTACAAAGCAGCTGTGAGATTTACAAAGCATACCATTCTTGCCTCAAATGCATGAGAATATGTGCATTTGTGTATGTGTGTGAGAATATGTGTGAATACCAGAATAACTGTGGTCAACTGCCCTCTCCACTCCACTTTAATTTGTGTGTATTAAGTGTGTATTCAATGCAGGGTGTGTGTTTGTAGTGTATGTTTGATGTGTGTGTGTGCAGCCATCACATTTGCAGACAGCTTAATCCTAGCTTACTAGCAGACTAACTGGTGTACATTTCACTTTGCAAATACCTGCGGTTCGCTTTTATAACCCGACATTTTAGAAGCAGTAAAATTAATCTACAGTAGGCGTGCATTGTGGTGCAGAATGTGTCTGTGTTCACATCCTTGCTTATATGCGACAGCGTGTGTGGACGTGTGTGTGTAAAGTGGCTATTGTTATGGCAAACGCTCATAAATTATGTCAGTTGTGTCAAAAATCTCTCTCTCCACCTTTGCAAGTCTCAACATTTCAAACTAACTTTACATCCGACTGCACAGGTATATGTTCATGCAAGAGATAAGGAATGTGTGTCTTCAGTGGCTGTGAACATGTATTTTCCTACCTATGACACTCTTAGCAAAGGAGGCCCTCTTTAATGTAGCCAAACCCAGGTCCCCTATCTTCACTGAGCCTGTAGGCCCCGTGATGAAGATGTTGTCACATTTCAAGTCCCTGTGAATGATGGGCGGGGCTCGGGTGTGCAGGAAGTGAAGGCCTTTGAGGATCTGTCTGCACCATGACCGCAGAACCTTGATTTTCATCACCTTGAAACGCTTCAGGTAGCTGCAGGACAACAACAAAGAATAATAATAATCACACATCATTCAACAAAGCAAGATAAAATGTACAAAAATGCACAGAGAGCAGCAGGTTCCACCTTCAAGTTGCCCGTGTTTCCTCTTTGAAAGTTACCAGTTAAAAAAAAACACACAAAACAAAGCTGACCTACTATGCATCTCATATAATACATACATACATAATTAGTGCGGATGAGGGGAATGACTCTTCTGAACTGTTCTGAATGTACTCCACTAGTATTATTGCAGGACACTGAAAAACCATCCATAGGGGAATTAATTATTCCAAGGCAAGGCATCGAGAGTCAGATGATAGCCGGATAAGAGCAACAGAAACACGGATAATGCTTCAATTAAAGATGAAAGCTTACACAACCAAAGTGGATTACTGTCAGACAATTCCAGCTTAAAGAGGTGCATCATAAATACTCACGCAAACATGAATGTGCACACACAAACACACACTGACAGACATTCTGGTGTCTGCATGTTAGAGAATAATAGTTGCAAAGTCAATGAACAGAGCTTTGTGTTTGTTCAGCAGAACTGAGAAAATGATTTAGATTGATATGTGTTCATTTATTTTACCTTATAAAAGGTTATTCTCTTAAAGAGTGAGTCATTTAACAATTTTTTTGTCATTTTTACACCACATAAAGCAAAAATATCCTATCACAACATTGTGTAAATGTTGCAAATTGTTAGTATGTTTTAATGAACTGTAGCCTGCAAATGCACATCATCAGAGACTTTTTAGTGTGGCTTGAAAGTGGGAGTTGTCCATCGTCTTTGAGTTATGAGAGTCTGGAACCTAAACCAGCATACACTGTGTGGAAGCCCTTTGACAAGCTGCCAGGTCATCACTGAGCTAACACACATCCACACCTGTGGGTGCCCTGGAGTCTCTAGTCCACCTGGTTTATATGCCTTTGGAATGTGGGTGGACACACAACAGGATTACAGGGACACCAGGACAGGAATCTTACTGTTTTATTCCAATTAGCTACAGAACAGTATATCCAGATTAGACATCTCTTTCACTTTTAGTCAAATAATAAATAATAATTATACAACGAAAAGGCTTCTGTCAAAATGACTCTTCATGAGCTTTGAGAACTCATTCAAAATTTGACTGTCTCTTGATTACTTGATTTAAAATCAATGTTTGAATTCAAAGCAGTATTTCCTATTTTCTATTATCAGCTGGGGACACTGTCGGTCTGTCTCTCCTCAGCTCTTTAGCTAAATTCAAGTACAGAGTGAAGAATGTTGCGTCAATTGTTCCACAACTCTCACAAATCTTTTGGCGTTTTTCAATTCTGCTAGTACTTTCACCGTTCAACTTTCACTGCATCGCAGCAGGCAGTATAATCTGATTTGAGCTAAGTTATTTGTTGAAGCACTTCGTAAGGCTCAAACTGATCTCATCTTTGATCTATTTACTGCAATTAATTCAATGTCCAAGCTCAAATTAAATCTTCCCATGGTCCTGGCGAATAACTGGCAGCTGACTGAACTGCACAGTGACCCTACAAAGAATACTGTCATCTCCACCAGTGCTCTAACAATGCAGCAAGAAAGGGGGAAATTGTCAGCTATATATATAAAAAAATAAAAATAAATAGAAAGTAATGCCCAGCAACCGTCATGTTGTTAGAAAACGGTGTATTGTATTTATATCACAAGGTATGGGCTGGGTCCAGACGCAGGCCGAGGTCCGGGCTTTGAGCAACTCTGTACTACAGCATACCTAAAAGTATGTTCTTCTAATGGTTAGTAAAACTCTGTAAATCTTTAAATGAGGAATCGTCTCTTACATGGGTTCTCACTATTTCTATAGTAGTTACACAGAAGAATTCAATTAGACCAAAATATCTGGGTGGGTTCACATATTTTCATAGAGAGTTTGCCTTAAAGGCACAGAACACATTAACAGACTGAAAATAATCTGTTGGGGGCCTCTTATGTGAATATACCCCCAAAATGCACATCTATAGAACAAAAAGACCTTTCAAAGCCTCTCCCTCATCCTCACATCCACCCAAATCCTATCCCATCCCTCTCTAACTCTTGCTACTCTTTCTACTTCCCTTTACCTACCCACCCTTCACCTCTCTCTCTCTCTCTCTCTCTCTCTCTCTCTCTCTCTCTCTCTCTCTCTCTCTCTCATCCACTTTCTTAACCTCCCTTTTCTGAAGTCAGAACAGTGTTGACGGAAAAGTTCAACCCTGTGGCATGCAGTGCTGGAGTGACACTGCACAAAGCATCTCTCCCCCACACACACACACACAATCACTCAACCATGCTCTCTTTTCAACACACATATAGAGAAATATGCAGATATATATGTATGTACAGTACATATAGAGTACACATGCATAGATGAACAGATACACATTCATACCAGACCGACATGTACAATAGCAGCAGCACAAACACATGCCTCTCTGCCTCTTTCTCTGTTTCTCACACACAGACATGCACACGGACAGGGACAGACATAGATAAGGGGCCTCTAATACCCTGAACCCTCTCTGGTCAGTATTTCCATCCTCACCATCTCCCCCCTTCGCTATCAGTCCTCCCCTCTCATCATCTCTCTTTCTTTTTCCACCACCTCAGCGTACAACAGTCCCTTCTCCTTTCTGAGTCTCCATCTGGATGATGGCCAAATGCCTGTGCAGCTGTTAATCCTGTTCATATATGTACATGAATGCAGTACACATAACTTAAAAAACATACATGTATGTGAGAGAAATTTAATCCCAAGCATATATTATATAGAGCTTAAAAGAGTTGATTATTTTATTAGTTAACTGAAAAAAGTTTTCTTAAGGCAAAAATGCCAAAAAAAAGTTTGGTTTTCTGATGTTATTCAACTAAATGTTTACTTGAAACTTTAGTAGAGCAAAACAAGATGAAGACAGTATAATATTCCCCCATTATCATACTTTGAGGCACACTTGCCCTGCTTAACATTAGCTTTTGCATTCTGGTCTCATATCTGAATATTTAAATCCCTCTAGTATAATTCCTAGAAACCTTTTAATAATACATATTTCCTGCTTTCCCCTGCTTTCCCCTTCTTTAGACTTACTTCCTCTACCTGTTATGTGTGAAACATGCTGGAAAGACACAGGATGGAGAGAGTCTGATCAGCCTCTGCATTTGTTAACTGATTTATGAAGCTTTTTCAGTCCAGTGGAGGGCGCTACTGTCCTTGTCAGTACTGTGCTGCTGGATTAATACTCTCACTCTGTGGTCACAGGTGGTTCATTGGTTTGCCAGTGACTCTGCCTAGCTGCCTTTAAACTGGATATATAGTTATTTATTCATCTACTGTTCTGACCACTTGTGCGTCTACCTACCTCTTTAGCCAACTGTCTCACTACCATCTATTCAGACTGTCTCTCTCTTTCCATCACTCTGCGTAAAACTAACTGTATATCTGATCATCGACCTCTCCCGTCTGTCTGCCCCCCCGCCCCTTTGGTCTCTCCCTCTGTCTGTCCCTCTGTCAGGAATGAGAGGAATCTGCAGCAGAAGCAGCAGCTGGCAGGTGGGCCAGTGTCCCACGATGCACTGCATAGGGCACGCCGTGCGCCACACGCCCCACATTTAGCCTTTTATTGTGTCAGGAGCTCAACAATCACATTCGCATTCACAGACACACATCTAATCTATACAGGCTGGTGTGCAGTCATAGCATGGACAATGACAGCCACAGATGCATCAATTCACCACAGTGAAGTTTGGGAACGGGGGGGCGAGAGACTAAGAGGAGAGACTGACAGACGCCCCTGTTATTGACATACTAAACATATATGTACAGTTTGTCAAACACACAGAAAGGAGTCTCCCCATGATTCCTGAACTTTGAGCCTTGTTTTTGACAAACATCACAGGCTTACATAGGGCACATGACAACACTAGAAACATTGGACACTAATGAGTCGACACACCGCTGACCCACAACAACTGCACTGCATAAATCCTGCTGGATGCGAGCACTCGAGGCCATTGAACAGTTGAAAATTGAGGAAAAATTGCATGCTGGGGTTTGACAGGAATGAGGATGACACGGGCGTGAGAGTGTCGTTTTTGCATTGAAAAAAAAAACTGGAGATGAGTCATCATCGGTAATGACAGGGCTCTTCAGCAAAGGGGAAACGAGGTGGTTATGTGTGTGCATGCGTTTGTGCATGTACCCTGCATACAGTGGTGCACATGATGAAACCTGAACAATTTTGCCAATGTGGTGAGTCTTTTTTCCCCAATGCGAATAAGGTATTAGCCAGATCCTATTTTTGTGTTTATATTCAAAATGGTTAGCTGTGACTAAGTGTTTTATACCTTTCAGTCACACCGTTAGCTTCCTCTGATTCTCTGACAAAGTTTTTTCCCCAGGTTACTAAATTCTTGGAAAATATTTTTTCTGTCTAAAGTACTCACGTTTTAAGCGTTCCAGATGTCATGAGCTCAGTGACCAGAACAATACATTTCTTTCCTTTGCATGGTCCCTCCCAGGAGTCATAGAAGCGGACAATGTTAGGATGCTGGAGACCCTTCAACATGCCGGCCTCCTCTTTGAAGCGCTGACGTTCTGACTTGGACAGCTTGCGATCCTACACACAGGACAGAAAAGGAAAATTACTCATACATACATAAAAACATTGTTCATCTTAAATCTAGAGGGAAGAAGCATTTAGCCAAACAAAAAACACTCTATTAATAGTACAACACTATTATGGTGAGTGTGATTACAATTAAATTAAGCAGGAAGAGGGTTTAAGGGGTGGAGAGGAACGCTAATTAACAGAAGAACAAAAACAAGTTAGGTAGAGGAGAAGCGAGAGGAGCTGATAAACGATTAATGCTTTCAAAACATACAACTACAGTATGATTTGACAACTTGATACAACACATGTTTTATCCCACATCTAACACTGATGCATAAACAAATGCAATGATGAAATACGAAACAAGGTACTATCAGAAAATGGTGCCATATTACATTAAAATAGAGCACTAGAGAAGGATGTGGATAAAACAGTAGACTGTCGTTTCATCTTGTCTCACAGGAGCCACAAACATCCATTACAGTGAGTCTCAGGCTTTGTTTTGATCTTTTTAAGCACCAGCTTAATTTCTCAGACAAACTGGTTTGTAAAAGTTATTCATAGTAAACTGATGTGACTTTACACAAGAGGCAAAATTAGTTTGCGTGTGTTAAATTTATTTCCCATATTTTTCCCTTTACTGTGATTTTTGTCACTAAATCCACTGTTAACTCTTTGGAAGGTTGTAGACAGCATGTTTGTCCTTGTCTGAAATCAGTCTTTATTAACTATATACTGTATATATACACTTTGGATTACTCTGTAGATAAAAACAGCTCATAGTAAGGTAACTAAAACACCACGAGGCTTATGGTCAGGTGATTTTACACTAATAAAAACATACTTGAGAATATTATATTCAATTTCTGCCAATATATTCTCCTAAATGTTACACACTAGACCTTTAACTTGTCGCTGATTCATTTTATGTCGATCAGCTGGTTAATTAATTGACTAATCGTTTCAGCTCTGTTATAGAGGGAAAGCGAGAAGGATGCACTGGTTTTGGATACAGGTCTGGTGTCACCACTGGCTGCTTCTTTTCACTTCCACATGACAGTGTAACATGCTATCACCTCAGATCTCCCTGCCAAATAAAGACATGATCCCTCACTGGCTTCCCATCTATAAACAACTCCTAACTCTTTCCTGAAACACACATCCTCAGGTACAAGCTCGTTCTTCTTGTGTCCTTTATATTTTTGTTGTTGAATGTGAATCAGTCTTTATTATCAGTGGTCGAAGCCACCCACTGAGAGCTTGACCAGGACACGCTAAAGTTAGGGTCTACATTCTTCCATCCTGTGGTAGGCTAGCTTCTTAGAAAAGTCCTATACGCATACATGCAAACAGTTTAATGGGCATTCCAGCTCTACCACTGATACTTCAATAAAAACAGATGCAAAGGGCAGCATGGGCGGGTCAGATCTTGTAAAGAAAGTGTGAGCGTGTGCGTGTGTGTAGTCATGCATTCAACTGTGTCTAGCATGTCAGGAGAATCCATTATTATTTCACTGTAGGTATTACCTTTTAATTAGCTCTGTTGCTGAAGTTTTAGTAAGAGAGTGTGTATGTGCTTTTTTTGGTAAGTGTGAATGTGTGTGCACGTTGATGTTTCCAGTTTCTTCACCAGCTCTGTGTCTAACCATAGCTGACACATTCAGCACATCACTACCCCAAAAATAAACAAAATCACAGCTGCCTGACATAAATAAGGTGACAAAACCTCAATACTTAGAAGATTCAAGCCCAATAATGGTTGCAACTTCCTTCGTGACTCTAAATGGTTATGTTGCTCATATCGTCACAGGATAACCTGCCATTACAAGTAGGTTGCACCAGATATGAAAAAAAAAGAGAGAGAGAGATTAAAACAAATATGAAAGAGACGTTCAATTAACCTGGGTCAAACAGAAATGTGTGCTTTGAGAGGAATTCATGACACACATGCAGAACATTTCATAATGTCTGTGACCCTTTTAGAGGATGAAATTACAGGCAAGTGAACAGACGGATCAGTCTGCAGACAAACACAAAGAGCAGCAGGACTGACACAAAGGCTATGTGTGTGTTTGTTTAAGTATCAGTGACCGAATAACTAAAATACAGAGCGAGACCACAGCAAGGAGCAACAAGACATGTCAGAGCTTGATGAATTTAAGATGTATTTAAGGAAGCAACAGTATTTTTAAGGTGATGCAAGATCAGACGTTGGAGGTTAGACACCTACTCCTAGCAACATTATCAGGATTATCACCATGGCAACCAGTTTTAAAAAAAGGTCCAATGAGGGGCAGCCTGCTTCCAATTCAACTGTTCGGTTATTTCATTCACTAAATCAAACATATTTAAACATCTTACAGATACACCGATAATATGTTGTGAATCTGCATCTTGGTGTTTTATTTGAGTACTTTATTTGAATATGAAATAAATGTAAAAAAAAAACAAAAACAAAGCATCCAGTGTGTAGGTGCAAACCCTCTGAGATGAAGCACGGGCTCAGCATCAATCATTCATACTGTTTAAAGATACAGCAGCGACCAAATCCCAAAAATCAGGGAGGTACTATTGAGTGCAATAACATCAGAAAGATATCTAAATAATCCTATAACATTTCTTCTTTGATAATCCATTCCAACCAATCAACAAATCAGCACTGAAGATTCTGCCAGGTCACAGTGTGTAAGTCTTTAGAAATGTCGTAAAGCTATTAGAAAACCTTGTGAGCTGCTTCAGAGATTAGGACAATCTCTGAGGTGATGATCTCATATTGTCATATTGTATAACCTGGGGCCTCATCTATATCATATGACTTACACACGCGCACACACACACACGTACAGAAATAAAGTCTGAAAGCTTCAGTGTGTTTCTAAGTGCATCAATGTGTGTAGAATCTGTGTGTGTGTGTGTGTGTGTGTGTGTGTGTGTGTTAGGGCCTATAACAGCTTATCCCTTCATCCTGCAGCAACCATTGCACTGATGATGTCCCATTAGCACACAGAAACATCCATGTATGTGCCTATCAACCCTCACTCCCATTGTCTCACTTGCGCCACTCTTTTTCACATTTTATGATCACGTGACCCGGTGGTCACATGACAATAGCCGCAGGTCACCTGACTGACTGGAAGCCAACATTCCATTTCCCAGCAGCACTTAGAAAAGACCCTGACCACCCATATCACTGTTAGACACCTCCCTCAGGGCACTAGAAGATTACTTCTTCCTCTATCGCTCTCTGTATTTCTCTCTCTCTCTCTCTCTCTCTCTCTCTCACAGAGTGTGTGTGTGTGTGTGTGTGTGTGAGTGAGAGTGTGTGTGTGTCTCCACAGATGTGAGCACAGAAAGCAGACAGCAAGTCTAAAGGAGCTTGCTAATACATTATTAATGTTTCCTTCTTCATTCTAGTGCATACATGGGTACATAACTCTCACACATACAGCAGAGGCTTTGTAAGAGACATTAAACGCATGTTTAAAAGAAATGTATATTAAAAAAACTGTTGTTAGGACGTGGGTATTTAAGGATTTAATTTGATCCATGGTGCATACGTCCTCCTGTTGAGAGTGGTTGTTTTCTTTCTTTTTTTCTTTCTAACCCTTCTTTTCTGCTCTGAGCTTCAAAACATCATGAGACTTGAGTTTGTCAGACTCAAAAATACCCTCTCACTCTCCATCCTCACTCTCTCTCACTCTCCATCCTCGCTCTCTCTCACTCTCTCGGTCTCATACACACAGCCTCACGCAAACACACACCTAAGCTAGACAAGCCTATACACTCAAATCTGCAGCCTCTTATCTGACACACACACACACACACACACACTCGCACTTCTTTTCGACATGAGGACTTCTCACTCTCTAAGCCCAGCTTCGCTTTCTTGCTATCTTCCTTTCGCCTATCTGAGGACTTGAAAGAAGCCACCTATACATCCCTGTGCAAGTGACAGTTCTAAGCCCGTCTGCCCTATTTCTGTTCTGTAACAGCCAACACACACACACACACACACACACACACACACACACACACACACACACACACACACACACACACACACACACACACACACACACACACACACACACACACACACACACACACACATCTAGGCAGCCAGACAGGCAGGCAGAAACAGGATCAGCAGTGTTAAAGCATTATGCAGCTTCCTGCAGAGAGGCTGAAAGCTGATACCCTCTGATCAACTCGTCTAGTCTGGACATCCCACTGTGCTTTAACACTCAGTGATCATCTGCTCTGGTCTACTCTGGTCTGTTGCACCCCAGCGAGTGCAGCACTCACAGCACCAGATGGATGGAGGTTGCAACAGAAGACAACACGGCAAGTGCCAGAAAATTTAGACAATAAGCAGTCAGACATGGTAAACTTGAGTATAATACAACAAATGATAATGCTATAAGGTAACTTTAAAGTTTCTGGGTACCAAACTCACAGGATGTTATCCAAAGTGCCTAATGTCTCCTGGGGACAGTGGAAGCCTAAATATAGCATAAATAGTTGCATATGAATGTCTCTGCATAGAGATGTCTGTTTCTCAGGCTTTGCATTATATAAGAGCAATTTTACTGTTTAATGTTTACATAAGGGAAGCAAACCCATAAGGGACAGAACGGAAAGAAACTGTTCTGACATCCTCAATGGTCTGAAACCTTTACTATTTCACAGCCAAATAGTTTCCGATCTAACCAGTTTATTATGGTTGAATATCAGTATTTGAGATCTCGGTATTTCCCTGGAATTCTTACCAAAATCTGATTCCATTTCCCTGGAAAAACACCTGCAGGATCCTAGGAATTTTATCATTCATGTTCTTGTGTGCGTTCAGAATCTGAAGAATATCCAATTCACTGAAACAAAGATGCCTTTTCCAAAGCGTATCTATCATAGACACCGTCCCACCATAAATTCAGGTCATTACAGTAACATAACTGGATACATTTTTCACTTATCCTAATTAGTTTACAGTTAAGCTGTATAGCAAA